TTCTTTTTTCTCTGACTGGAACCCCATACAATCGTACATCGCCATCCTGTTAACTTCGCCATTCGCCTCTCCTCAAAAAAAATGCAGACAGCACGACTACAACTCGTCCGTCTAACTGAGGCCCATGTGGCTGGCTACCACGCCATTTGGTCCGACCCAGTGTCCACCCGATGGAGCGCCCACGGCCCATGCAAGACACTGGACGATTCCCGACAGTGGATGTCCAGTCTGTTACTCGACGCGAACCCCATGGGTGAGAACTATGCGGTACTCCTTCGGCAAGATACCGACTTGGATGACATCTCCAATCAGCTCAAGGGGAGTCAAGAAGGCGCCGATGATTACAAGCCATATGATCTTTTGGCGCATGGGGGGTTTATTGGATGGGTTGGAACATGGAGAACGGACCCTCTCCCAGAAGTGGGCTTTATATTTCACCGATCGACTTGGGGGCTGGGGTTTGCAACGGAAGCTTTGAGAGCGTTTGTGGAATTATACCGGTTGTGCAAGCCGCAGTTCAAGGTGTTGGAGGCATATTGCGATACGGAGAATGACGCGTCTGTTAAGGTCTTGCGCAAATGTGGGTTTGAACTGGTTGACGTGACGAGGAAAGACTACGTTCTTCCTTGGATGACACCGCCCGAGCGAGATACAATGCAGTTTCGTCTGATCAGGGCCGGTACTGTGGAGGAGTGAATGAAGGGCTAGGGAAGTTATATGTGCTGTGAACTACGCTGGGATTCCTTTGGAAGGAGTGATTTTGTGGACATTTTCAATATACCCGCATGTATATGATTCTCGCTGCCAGAGGATTTAGTTATACATGCCTGTTACTTCTAGACGACCTTTGTTATCGCATTGAATATTAACTGTATTCCTTGTTAAAAGGCCAACACCAATCCTTGTCCATCTTTTCGTAAGATATTGGGTTACGCGATGTTACCCTGGATGCGTCAGTCTGGCTTCTTTAATGGCAGCTCTTGTTTGCACAGCTCCTTAAGCTTATGCGATATTATGACGGACAAATCACTGTATGAGGGCGTTATATGGGGGCATTGTGAATTAGAGAATTTATAACGATTGTATACATGCGATAATCTCGGGTGCTTTACTCCCCAAACAAATGGAAAATCAACATTAAAATTGTACATATCATGCTGGCCTCGTCGTAGATTGCCTGGTCACAGGTTGGTATCGGCTTCGACGATTCAGTAACCTGCCATGACAAGTTTGTGGAACGATTCCTCCGACTTTGACTTGGTGCGAGGTCAAGTATTTCGAATATCCTCTCTGACATAATATCTTTCAGTATACACAAAGGAAAAGTGGGTATATAATTTCGGCCATTAAAAGTTCCTCATCTGCGCGCATTGTCGAGTAGAAGCTGTGTTGCTTCACTCCAGCCCGATGCGTCCACCATCTGCATCACAGTCTTACCAGTCTCATCTTGCTTTTCAAGATCCACACCTCCGCCCTTTTCTACCAGAAGACGAAGGAGCCTCACATCTCGGTTCTCGATGGCCTGCATTACCGCGTTCCATTCCCGATACGTCTTGTTCGGGTCTGCGCCCTTCTCGAGCAGCAATTCGATCATCTTAAAGTCTCCATCGTGGCATCTACGGACCGCCTTGACAATGGGAAGATGCTCACCGGGCGCATTGGGGTCTGCGCCGGCTTCATTCAGCAAGAACCGCACAATATCTTCGTGACCCTCGCGAAGCGCGGTCGTTAACGGGGAGAAAACCCCGCCATTCTTGTACTCGACGCTGGCACCCGCTGCTAGCAGCAACTTGATACTCTCTAACTGATTCGCCAGCACGGCCATTTCCATGACCCCTTTGTGCGCCGACAGGTCGGTCACGGCGGGGAGGAGCTGTTCCAGCAGTGTTGGAGAGCGGACGGCCATACAGACCGGCCAGTCTTGGCCACGCTGGTTGGGGTCCGCCCCATGCGCCAACAGGAGAGCCATTAGATCGACGCGGTTATCACGAATGGCCGTTGTGAGGGCTGTATGTCCTTGCGTATTGCGATCGTTCGGATTCGCACCGCCGTGCTCCAACAGCCACTGCGCCGCCTCTGCGTTGTTGACTTGCACTGCCATTTCGACAATGCCTGGTGGCTGGTGCAGGTCTGCGCCGGCGTCGACGAGATCAGGAAGAAGGTGTGTCCGGAAGTGAGTAACACACTTCCACGCCGGATACTCGGATGCCATGACATTGGGGTTCGCGCCGTTGGCCAGCAAAAGTGCAAAGATGTCCCCACGGTTGTCTCGGATCGCGGAGCATAAAGGCGTATAAATGCCGTCTTTTTTAGAGTTTGGGTCAACGCCAGCTTGTAATAGGATGCGCACCGAATCAATGTTGTTGATGCTTGTTGCCTGTTCCATAATACCCGGACTCTTTCGGACATCGGCGCCACGGGCCATCAGGATTCGCAAACATGCCGGCCGATAGATGGCTGACCAGAGAACATGTTCCGGTCCAGGGAGGTTTGGATTCGCCCCATGGTCTAGAAGTGTCGTCACGATCGTCACTTGGTCGGCTTGGACTGCTTCAAACAACGCCGACTTCCCTTCCCGGTTCTTCAAGTTTGGATCCGCACCAGCATCCAGAAGGAGATCGACTAGACGTTGAGGAGCTTTCTTCCGGATAGCTTCGATTAGCACCGTGCTTCCATTCCTCATCTCATGATTAGGATCTGCTCCATGCGCAAGTAGGACATGGACGAGACCCGTCTTCAGGCTCGTGATGCACAACCCAAGAGGAGACTCGAGCTCAGACCCAGTCATGAGACTTGGGTCTGCACGGTATTTCAACAACAAGGTCGCTCCATCCATGAACGACCCTTCCACGGCAGAGAAGAGTGGTGATTTTCCTTCTTTGTCTGGTCCATTCGGGTCGGCTCCAAAAAGCAGCAGCAGGCGCATCCCTTCAATGTCACGGTGCAGGATCGCCTCATTCAGGGGATGTGTATTCTCGCCCATGTCTGGTGATACGCCACTATCCAGCAGCTGTTCCATTAATTGATGGTTTCTCGCCCGCACGGCAGACGCTAAAGCATTCTTAAGATGACCGACATTGGCAGCGCTGGTATTACTCGGCGTCCGTTGCGGCATACTAGGTAACTCCTGTTTCCGGTATGATGCTTTACTCGGCAGGATAGAGCTAGGGTTAGCATCTATCTCCTGAGCTAGAGTGGATGCTGAAGAGCTCTGGAGGTGGGGACGATCTTCTCCTTTGCTGGTTGTATTTCGAGTCCTGATCTGTGATAACTCGAGATCCCTGCCATGGTGAGAGCTCGATAATGAAAGGGAATCCAGCGAGAGGACCGACGACAGGGTCTCTGGCATTGACTCGACCAATGTTCCGCCCCGACTGCCCACGCCAGGCTCTCGGCTGACATCGTCCTGGCTGAATGATGGCTTCGGCGGTACTGGTGGAACAGGCACCGAGGGAGGAGGCCCAGCGGGCGCTGTTTTCACGGCCTGCGGTGCTTGCTTCATCTCAGCGATCCCGCGTTCTAGCGTCTTCGCCTTATTGATTCCAGCCACCGACCTCCCCTTCGCCATCCGATCTAGTGCTGCAGCGAGCCCTGCGTATCCGACTCCGACTGATTCTTCCGGCTTAGCATCGCCAAGAGACCAGTGAAAAGCCAGGACACTGATCTGTAAAGCCTCCATCGTCTTCTTGAGCGACTCCCGGATCTTGCCCAGCTCGTGGCTAGGTCGGTTCCATCCCTTTTGTAGCTTTCCCAGTGCCCCACGGTGTTCGTACTGGATCAGCCTAGTCACGACCCGGTCCAGGTGCTGAAAGTCACGGTATGCCTCTATAAACTTCTTCTCCACCTCCTGAACAATGATTCGGGGTAGCGGCCGGTTCGCTGTCGTCGACTCGCCGAGGCCAGCTTCGATAGTCCACAGGGAACGGCATGTATCGAGAAAGACTTTGGAGAGATCACCAAAGCCATCTGGTATATCGTGAACCGTACTTAGGTAGTCGAGCATCCGAACGGAGATGCGATTGCCTAGCTGAGTTGCCTGGGCAGAAATTGCAAAGACGGCATCCTCCGGGGTAGGAGCCATGACACTGCGGGGTGGGAAGAATGTTTCGTATCTCTAAAGGGGGTATTCTTGTTTCTTTATGTCCTGTTGCCAGTTTCAGATGGTTGTTGGATTCTTTGTTCTTCGTGGAAGGTACGACGTCGGGGTTAAAGGAAGACTTAGGCCAATCAAGTCCGTCAACGCACACGATACCTGTTTGATTCCCAACGGTGGAGTCAACGATTTACAACTGAAATGGGATTGCCTTCGTGAATTGGTCTCATTGGATATTAGCCAGTTGCTCCGCTGGGAAAGTGGACCACGCAAGAACCCGTCGCAGGCACCATGTGCTAGTCAAACAATTGGGGTTCCTGGTGGGCACTCCCTTAGCTATGATGATCCTGTGTCTGGAGCCAACCAAGATCCTGGGACCTCAAAGACCCATCGGAGACGTACAGTCGAGTATTGTGCACGTAATCTACTTCTCAAAACTGGGCCAAATTCTGACCCCGCGACAGTGAGCCGATCGACATTGGTTCTGTTGTGTTTACAAACAGCATACGATCAATGATTTGCAGTTCCCAGCTTCGCGGATAATGACCACAACTGCTCCCCCTTACCTTGCGGGAAAGGAGCGTCTGCATCTCCGCAGGGTCAGAATTTTTTAAACCGAGTGGGCACCATCCCGTCAGCTGCTGGCAATCTGGGATAGAATGCGCGAGAATCTGACGCGATGCCAAGGGGAAAGTTTGGCGAACAAAGTTTAGGGTTTCTTGGCACGTGTTCGAGACTGCGCTTGGTGAAGTGGTTTGGGTACATCCGGAAAGTCTCGTCCGCGCGACGCACCGAATTGGTCATGGTTGCGAAAGATTGGCTACTGGGGCGCTTCGTGCATCAAGGGACAAAGCCGTTGATGTTGCGCTGGTGGAGCCTGGAGCCTGGAGAGAACCAGACTTTGTCCTCTGGCGCCGTGGTGCCAAATGCAAAGAAGCATGGCCTCGGTGTATCAGCATGCGTAGTCTAACCCTCCTTATTTTGTTCCTTTTTTTCACCACAGATGTTCGATAAAGAATAAGCACTTTGCTCTTAATTCTCGTTTGTACTTCACCCATTAATATTCCCCCCACCCCCACCCCTTTTTTTTTTTATCCCACCAAGAAACCCAGCCTCGTGGTAATCTCGGAGGGAAGGGAAGAAAGTTGGTGGCGGCTAGTGGTCTAAACCTTTGGAACCGCTGAAACTAGACTGCTGGCTAGCGGTAAGCCCTAAACCTCAAGTTGGGCTTCAAGCGTGTGATCGTCACTTTCAAGCCCTGGCCAAATGTCTCACTAAATCTCGCACCGTAATAAAAAAGGAGCACCGGGACAAGACCCCAAGACTGTTATCTAACCCTGATATCTCCGCGTTGAAGATTGGCGGACGGTCGCATCCTTGTCCTTATCCATGTTTCAGACTTTGTTTTTCGCTATCCACGGCTTAAGTGAACCTTTAGTCACAGTTTCCGCATCTTTTCGATTTCAAACCCCGAATCTTGGTAGCTTTATACACTTTTCGCCTTCCGTCCATGGGTTTGCATAATTACCTCAAGATTGGGTGAGCGCAGGGTTACATTCATATCGTGGATCGGATTATTCAGCCGTCTGGGCATTCAACGCCACAACGAATGACAGTTGCCGTCCAGGTTGAGCGATATACTATCAGGTGGAGTGCAATGCATCGATCTTTCGAAGTTTAAATGACCATGATCTGGTCCTGTTGTCCGCCCAATGATGCTCTCCCATAAATATCTCCACCTGGCCCACATCGTTTTCAGGTCATGGGCCCAGTCAGTTTCTGCAGGTGCATTCGAGGCATTGAGCACGAATAGCTGGGCACACAGGAGGAGCATACTATGTCCCTTAAATCCTGCCTCAGAAAAGTATTAATTGTGGACAATTCAGTAGAACAATGCCCCATCACGATGTGGGTCGTTGGACGAAGCGAGTTGCCAGAAGAACACTCACGTCAAGTAGCCTTTACTTATGCCTAGTCCCTGTTTCAGGTCGACGCACGAATCTGCAGTTACTGCCGAACTCAACTAATCATTCGGATAGTACGTTTCTACTATAATGACCAATGTGTCGTCGATCATCTCTCACAGGTAAGTTGCATAGTGTCGGTCGGGGAACGCGGCAATGACCGCTAATCAATGCGACCTTTTGCCTTTTTGGAAGTAAGATGTGCCATCGCCCCATGGGGGGTCTGTGCATGACAGCAAGAAAAGGGATATACACACTGTGCTTTCAAAAGGGGCTCCTCGGGATGCCTCGCCGTTGTGAGCCTCCTTTGTAGATCGCAATTCGCAACCCCATTCTTGGTGTTCGACTTTATTTCAACATTGGCGTAACTCCTTAATCTCCCAGTATACTTTACCAATGACGTGTATGATGCGCATCAGGGAAGCGCGAAATATGCTCAGGGGGATATTCATTTATTTAGCCTCCAGCAGTTGGGTTACCTGTTCCGGCAGTTTTGGAAAGCACGAAGTTTGCACCGCTGCCTCATATTCCAGATTAATAACCAACCAATTAGAGTTTACGGTCTAACTCAGCTGTTCAAAAACTTGGAATTCAACGGATTACGAACTCGCCATGGCAGGGCAACGCCCCATGAAGTCTGTTGTTAGTCCAGACCTCCGTATGGCTGTGCCCAGATTGTGGCCTACGGCTCTTTGATAACAATGTCACCCTTTTTTCTCATATTTTGAGTATGTGGTACAGGAGGCTCATCCCCAACACTTCTAGACCGGGATCAAGGAGCCGAGGTATACGACTAAAAAATGCCCTTTAAGTGAGGAACGTTTGTAGGAAGCTGGCTGCATTGAGATTCTTCGTCCTTTTGACGAAGGATTCACGCATCACTTCTTATCTTCTGCTTGATATTTGTTTTTTCTTCTCATTCTTATACTCGTTGGTGGTATCAATCTTTGTCGAATTAACGACTTGTCGTTCAGATGGATATATATATGCAAGATGTTAGCACCAAGATACATGTCAACAACCATGTAAAGCTGAACCCCATGGTACTGAATTCATGTATCCCTCACATCGAACAGCGCCTAGGAAATCAGATCATTTCCATATTCTTCTCCATAAATGTATTATAACCAATATTGACGATGAGATGTATAAGAACGTGAATAGCTTCATCTTCTTGTCTAAAGGGGAATAGCCTATCGCCAAGCCGGATCTCGGTAAGATCCGATCCCGAACACGTGCTTCTTTTTGAGATATACGAGACGATATACTTGCCAAGTTCTGCATACTCAACGTTGTGGAGCACAACTTCTTTCTGCTGATTAATCAAGAAGGGGAGAAATGAAGAATCATAGCTTCATATGTGATTATAAATAATGAGACAATGTGAGAACTTTTGTACCCCATACGATGGCGATGCTTCGTGAGCCGTCTCATTGTACTCTCACTTGCGATTGATTTTGCCCATTACATCCTACCTACCTCCTGCTATAATGAGAGTCCTGATCGTTGGCGGCACCGGGACCATCGGTGGTCACGCAGCTCTACATCTCCAGTCGATTGGCCACGATGTTTCAATCGCCGGTCGTCACCCACCACCAGAGACAACCGCTCTTATCCAGCTTCCATATATCCAGGGAGACTTTGTCCAAGAAAGCTTTACAAAAGATCACTTAACCGGCTTCGATGCAGTTGTTTTTGCTGCGGGCCACGATATTCGTCATGCACCAGAGGGGGAGAACTTTGACCAGCATGTCCTCTGCGTGAATGGCGAGGCCATCCCACGATTTGCTCGTTTAGCGCGTGACGCCTGTGTGAAGCGCTTTGTCTACATCGGAAGCTTCTACCCGCGCATTGCGAAAGATTCGATCGATTCCAATGCATACGTTCGCTCTCGAAAGCTGGCTGCCGATGGTATACTTGGTCTTGCAGGAAAAGAGTTCAATGCATGTGTTCTCGAGGCCCCCTTCGTCGTAGGGATCGTACCGGGAATGAGTACGCCCATGTTTGAAGCCTACATACGCTACGCCAAAGGGGAGTTGGGGATCCCATTCTTCGGGCCACTTGGTGGATCGAATTTCATGTCGACTCAGTCCCTATCGGAGGCAATTGCAGGTGCTTTAGAACACGGCGAGTCGGGCAAAGCTTACCTGTTAGGTGACGAGAATCTCAGCTTTGCAAGTTATTTCCAGAGGTTCTTTGACGCTGTCGGTAATAACGCGACACTCCCATCGCTCGATCAAGAACACCCGCTGATACCTGATGCGGTCATTTACTCGGGTCGAGGAAACACAGTGTCATATGAACCAGACCCAGCTGATGTCGCGCGACTTGGCTATCGCCGTCACGATATCAGTAGAGCAGTTCTTGAGATTGTCTCCTTTTTCTAGCTGATTTACGAGAATTCAACCGATGTTTTAAATAATATAATCTCAATATGAGGAAACTGTTCAAAAAAATATACTTTTTTTCATCCAAATACAAAAGTAATTATACTTTTGTTTTTAAAAACAAAAAGGAAAAAAAGGCAAAAACAAATAAAATATACTTTTCTTTAAAAGGAAAGAAAACAGAGCCAAAAAAAAAAAGGAAAAAGAAAAGAAAAAGAAAAAGAAAAAGAGAAAGGAAGAGGGCGTATTAAACCACCTTCGCACTCTTGAATATTTTATGCCAAGGTTTCTGGTACTTTTTGGCCTCAGGACCCCCAAAGGGCCCGCTGGTTGTGGCTGCTGCTGCTGCTGCTGTGGTTGTTGCTGGGGCCGTAGAGGGTCTCGAGCCCGTTGTCCCTACCGGGGGCACTGGGGGCGCCGGGGGCAAACGGCCTTCCTCCATCAGGAGGGTTTGAACGTTTGTCTTCCTGGGTTTGACACAACAACAAAAGAAATTCTCACCCTCGACCCTCCACCACTTACGTCGTGCTATAAGATCTTGCTATTAGTATAGACTTTCCTAATGATTAGAGATTATCCTACGTGGAGGGCGGGTGAGATGATAGGCGCGGTTCCAGTCATCGAAGGTATTGGGAGTATACTCCCCAATTGCGTATCTATATAGCAGTACATATTCTCAGCCTTGTTCCAAAGCTGGATACGACATAGTACAGATAATGCATACCTTTGTTTTGCTCTTAGGAAGCAAATGGCAAGATGCCACCTCGGATGAACGCTGGGAAGGAGGCCAAGAGCCAAGAGCAAAGAGCCAAGAGCAAAGGCACACAGATATGAGTGTGTGCTGAACCGAATAGATACAGAGGTATCGTAAAGAGTATACCTTATCAGGAGTTACTTCGATATTACTGGGATCAAATTTCCCCGACCGGATATCTACATAATAGTAGACATTATGCGTTGATTAGGCCAACGGCGATGGTAGAAAGATGGAATGGGGTATGTTGGCAGCCGAAAAGCCCCAGGGTAGAGATGGACAACAGATGGAGATGTTGAGCAGGATGGAAAATGGAGCGACAGGAAAAATTTGAGAATGAACAAAAGAGATGAGTCAGAGCGCTATTCGTCTGCGTGAATCGTAATACTAGGGAGGGAATACACCTTCCTAATGTAATTTATAGCCGTAGGAGTTTCTGGGAAAGAATTGCCGGTGCAGTTACCAAATACCAAATACCGTGTCCCAGCTAGGAGAGAGAGCAAGACAGTTCCAACCCCTGGATATCATCTAGTATACATTCGTATTCTGGGAGAGACCCTGATGCAGAAGACATGGTAAAGCTTTTGTACAGGTCCGTCTTTATGTCTAGTACTAGATGAAAGAGAAGGGAAGAGAAATAGATGATTTTCATACGAACAATCCCCAGGCCTTTAGCCCGGGGGCTCTAGTCCTGCTCTGTGACCGTTTCTGACTTACTGCAATATTGCCGTCCACAGCAGTAATTGAACCTGCTCAGATGATAGAGCAACAAACGTATTTAATTCTTATCAAGAAGCTAGGGGGAAAAGCACAAATAAGCAGAAGTAAACAGCCATCAAAGCCCCCAGACATAGGCGTTGATCAAAGACTTCGTATAGGAAGCACACGGCCCTTTGACGTCTGCCTCCCCAACGCCAAACTCTATTACTGTCGGATCCTCTTCAGCCTCCATAAAATCAATCCGAAATCCTCTCACATCCTCGCAACACTTGCACGCTATTGTGCAGTGCCCAAGATGATTTGGGCGGTTGGAGCTTCGAGGCTTCATGCAACAACCACACCCTCTCCCACAACATCCACCCATATCTGCACATTCGGTTTGCAGCCATTTTGTGAGATACCAATCACTGTTTCGGCGACGACAACACAGAGCACGCTTTAAGGGCCCATCTGGAAAAGCTCTGAGTATAGTTTGTGTCTCTAGTTCCGCCAGCCAAATACCACGATTAAAGCCCTGGAGGTCATTTTGAATACTCTCCATCTCTGTCACCAAGGTATCTGCTACTGACGGCGTCTTACTGAGTTGCTGAAACAGAGTGTCATGCTTGAGTCGTAGGGAAGCCTCGTACTGTATAAGGCAGCGCTTGCCACGCTCGTTTACCCAATAGGATTCAAAATGCTCCCAGAGTTGGGGCTGATAGGCACGCCAATCTTCTTGTTTTTGGCGAAGCTGCTGGGCTTTTCGTAAGTGGCCGCCCTGCTCGAGTTTATCCTCGACACGCCGGAGAAGCGGTTCAAATCTCTTTGCAAGGTAATCTTTCAGAGGCATTATTAACTGTGGGTACGTATTGGGGGTTTGTTAGCTTCAGTAAAAAAAAAAAAAAAAAACAATGTAGAAAAGGATCATGGGCAAGGGTAAAACGTAGTGAGGAATTTTACGGTGAATATGTCATCCAACATCATTGTTCCATCGCCCCAATTTCATCGTCGTCTAGCTTTCTACGTCCGAGACCGGCCAATCTTCTCCTCACGTATTGTCAACCTAATAGGTACACCTATATCCTGACGTACATGGTGAGCTTCTGCCGCCAACCTCTGCATTCAGGTCCAACCTCCGTCCAAAGTACGGAGATACTACGCTAACCCAACCTTCCTTCTACCCAGATATCCTCCAACTAGCTTCTGACTAACCTCGGGAGTTCGCGGCGTTGATGACGATGGCACCGATTTAACTCTGATCCCCCAATGCCGAACGCTGCGACAAACTAGGGAGGTACACACCCACCAGACTGTCCTGGTTGAGCTCTTCATTCTTCTGCATTCTGAAGGAAACTGTACCGATTCTCATTTTTGTCATAATAGCATGGTAACGCCTGCCGGTTACTCTTGAAATTTGAAGTACTGTTTGTTTGGATTTCCAGCTGCGTGTACATAGAATAATCAAAGCAGTTTCTAAACATCCTTATAGAAATAATAACAAGGAAATCGAGTTCAATTTATCAAGAACGAAGAATCAATTTCAAGTACTCAAAGAAAATGAATACCACCACCACAACTCCAACGCCCGGCAGCCCTCTCGATACCTCAAACCCGCTAACTACCGGGACGCCGAGGGGTGATCATATACACCCGGGGTGGTATCTGGGGTCATCGGCCCTGGGCCTGCTGGCAATTGTTCTTATAGGGGTTTCGATTTCTTGGTCTCGTATTTGTATAATGCGTGCGAAGCAGAGGTATGTATAGCCTATAACAAGCTTCACTTTCGTTCGAAGGATGGTTAACAGTATCCCCTATTATATAGATATCCTGCAGCGGGGTTTACCCCCACCAATATTGACGATGCGGAGCGACTAATGCTCCTGAATAGACGACCGCGTAAGATACTACATGATACTGAATAGAATCGATACTAATATGAAGATCGTATAGCACGAAGAAAGTGGTGGCAGGTTGTCGGGGAAAACCTATGCTGTTGCTGTGTTAAACCCAGCGAGAAAGACATGAATTATTGTCTTCGCCTCTTAGAGGAAGGCAGGATGAAACAGCATGAGGCCAGAAATGCATCTCAGACGCCTGCGAACGCCCCCCAGGAGGCGCCCAGTACTACGCCCCCGTCGCCCTCCAATGCCTCCCAGGTGTCCGGGAATGCCTCCGCACCCTCCAATGCTTCCCAGGTACCTGGCAATGCGCCCCCTGGGTCCCCAGCAGTTCCCTTGGCCAGCGGGAGTGCTGGAAGTCCTACAATTGCTAGGACCACGCGGGAAAGGTGGAAACGCTGGTCGAAGAAGGGGATAAAGGCCATGTTTGGTTAAATAAGCCCTTTTCTCTTTTTTCTCTCTCACTCTCTTTGCGCTTTTGTTTTGTTTTATTTTTATTGTTGTTTTCTCGTGAAGTATAATTACTGTGTATAATTAATAAACCAATATATTTTATTGATGAGTTTTTAGTGTCTATCAACTCAACCAAAGTTGGTTGGAAACAACATATACACACAGTGGTATCGTAACATCCATGCATCTGAAAGATATCCAGGTCTTTCTATAGTCCACATCAAACACCCCAAGCAAAGCAACGCATTCTATAGACTCTGCTTTCCGGCAGTTTCAATCGGCAGCAATACCATCGCCACAAAAGAAACCAACAAAAGGGCACCGGAAGCATAAATGGGGGCACTGGGGTTGCTCGAAGCATAAATACCAATAATCGGAGCACAGAGACCGGCAATGCGGTTCAGACAACTCGCGATACCGGTTCCAGTGCCTCGGTTGGGAGCCGGGAAGACTTCCGGGGTATAAGCATACAGCACACCATACATGATCATCTGAGTGAAGGATTCTAGAGCGGAGCAAACCAGTTGAGTATCGGCCGTCTTGGCCGCGGTAAAGCAGAAGAGCAGGACGGCAGTGATACAAGTGGAAATGGCCATGGTACCTTTCCGACCGATGTACTTGATGTCGACCATGAAGAGAGCAAGAATCGGTCCGAAAAGACCGGTGACTGACGTGATCGCGTAGTTACGGTAGGTCTCGTATGTCGAGGCCGTCGAGCCGAGATATTGGGGCAGGAAGGCATTGAACAGCGTGTATCCCATGCCGATGGTGGTCCAGCAGAGCCAGATGAGAATGGCTAGGTTGGGCTGTCAATTATCATTCAGTCACAAAAGTACCCCGGAGCAAAAAAAACTTACTAGTGATTGCGAGGCGCTTGGATGAAAACAATGGAGCGATCTGCGAGGTGGAGAACTTGGAGAGAGACCGGGCGATGATCTCCTTAGAGGAGAGGTTTTGTTTCTCGGTCGTGTCCGCGGATCCGCCAATCTCATTCAGGATTTCCGCCGTGAGCCATGTCTTTTTCTTGTTGCGATGGGCAACGCCGTGGATCGCAGCAACGGCATCCTCGTCCCGACCTTTGGCGACCAGGAACTTGGGCGATTCGTACAGCTTAAAGAAGAGGAATCGACACATCCAGAAGACCATGGTGATGGCACCCAGGGTCAGAACGAGGTACCTCCAACCCATGTTGTCTGCCCGAGTACACGTGCTCGCATCGGTACAGGAGTAATTAGGGATGAAGGCCCAGGCAAGCATACTGATCGCGGGTCAGTACATTTGGGAGACAATGATCGTGCGAGTACATGGGATGGATAGACGGACCTGGCAATGAGAGTCCCCACCGACCAAAATACGGCCAGTGAGCTCAGAATATGTCCTGAAGACTGGGGTAAAAATTCGAGGAAGATGGCAGCGTCCACCGGCAGGTTTCCACCCACTCCCAATCCCAAGCAAGCGTATAGTGCGCAGGTACCTACCCAGCTCGGACCACCACCCGACGCCAGACCAAAAACGCCACACAAGAAGAGGGTCGTGTTGAAAGCCAATCGACGTCCAATGAGATCAGACGCAAGACCCCAGAAAGTGGCGCCAACAATCAGGCCCACAAATAAGGCACAGGTGGTGAAACGAACATAAGATTCAGAGATGCCGAATTCCATAGACAAGGGGGTTAGAGTTAGGGCCACTCCCTGCGCGCAATTGAGTTAGTTCGGCTACCCGTCTTCGTTCGACACGTTTAGGGCGAGAATCAAACCGTCTTACCTGTAGCCAAAGGCTGTACGCGTGAAGTGGTTAGCATGGGATCATCGACGTTAGAATAGAGCTTGGGTCCGCTCACTTGTCGGCCGTCCAGCCAAATCCACACAGAATATAGAGCTCCCATTGATACCGGCCCATGCCGATATCCTGGATGGCTTTATTGATAATTTTAGCCTTGCCTGTGATGGTCTCCCAGTCAGACATACGAAGTCCTCAATCTAATCAGGGTAGCGAGCCATGGCTAGGGGAAATGGAACGAGATAAGGGAAAAGGGTTGGGGTGTGGCAACAGTGGCATCGGTGCAATAGCCGGCTCATTTGGAGTTGAATAAACTCTCCCCCCACAAGGCAAAAGTTAACATACGATCATAGACAGAGTTATGGCCCGAAGCGGCCACGGAAGAATCAACCTCCGCACGAAGAGCCTCGAGCGTTAGCGTGCTGCAGTCAGTCGCAAAACCAGCACCCTTTTCTTGAGAATCTAAGCTGTTGGCGTCCTTTTCCGCAAGGGGGATCGAATTTTGGGCATCGGCGAGGGGGATCACGACATCCGGGATTTGCGAACGGTCCCGTTGCAAGGACTTAAGCCAATCCATCTTGATCAGGCGTTCGGGAGTCGCAAAGGGGGACACGATCGGAATGAGGCGCGTGGCAAAAAGAAATGGGCGACCTAACAGCTGCTGGGGGTTGTCTGTCGGGGTCCTAATATGGCACTGGATACCTTGCGTCTGGGCTGACTCTGGTGTCCGTCCGTCGGAATTGTTGCTGCTGGGAAGCTCTTTTACAACCTGGATCGTGAGTGGGCAAGTTGTCGCAGGGCGCTATTCAGGGCAGATGCTAGATGGCGCAATGGCTGGCGTGCGTCCAGGATTGGGCAACAAAGCTGCAGGGGGTGTCACGATGGGAGTTGGCGCAATGGAATTCTATCAACACAGGTTGCTCTCTGGGTTTTCCGCCTGGGCGCGTGGTTGAGTTGTCCGGGTTGGGTTTTTCGGTCCTAGAATTGTTATATCTAGTGTTGTCCGATACCACAGAGCAAAAGTGGGTAATAATTTTGTTTCGTATATTATCTCGGCAGAATAGCGCGGGTAACCACAGTCCTTCGCAACCCAAAGATGTCACACAGTAAAGAGGGAGGTCAGATGATTCAGTCGTAGTCAGAATCAGACTCCAGGAAACTGAGGGGGGTAACGGAATACCTCCTCCTCTAGATGGGGCAAGTGGGGGGAGGGGGGGAAAGGAAAGAATGGGGAAGAATAGGGTAGGATGGAGAGTAAAGCAGCGGACGACGGAAGGGGGAATTTTTGCGCGCTATATAACCCACGATTCATGCAACAATGTATCTCCGTCATAGGACTAATGGGAAAAATTTCACATAATATCAATGCAGAACGAGCAGGCCCACCGCACTAGTAGGCTCAACACCAGGGCTAACGAAGGGCTGATGGTGTACGAAGTACACTTCAAATTTGCTCTTGCCCAGTACAAATACATAAGGGCACACCCTATTTTCGGGGTGAACGACCGGCATGTCGTCTTTGCGCGGACCAAAATCATTGCTAGCGGCACATCTAGTACTATGGAACTTGAGGATGCTGGATCGCTATCCTCATGGCGCTTCGGGGCTGAGGCATTTTGCCCCTTCCTACTCGGGTCGACACTGGGTGTGTCTGTGTGTGTGCGTGTGTGTGCGCGTGCGGCTTATGTGGGTGACGGTGGAGAATGGGAGAGGGCCGGAGAGAAGGGAAAACCAGGAAGCAACAGAAAAAAAAAATTTTAACATTGTATGATTCGATGTCGTTGGGGTAGACTTCGCGGTTCTTAACAAAATCGGCTGGTGGGGCGGAATGTGAGTCGATAATTTCCTTCCGAAGGCCTGCCCAACGCTCATTCGCTTCCTCCTGTCGTAATCGGACGTGCCAAGTCCTCGAAAGTAGGCGAAACAGGAAAGGGAAATGAGCGTTCGGTCGGAAAGTGTCGTCGGCTTCGACCGCTCAACACCCACTTCGTGCTTGCACTACGAATTAGCCGAGTATCCACTGAAAAAAAAGTCCTCGGGATACTTCCGGTTGTTTTCGGAAAACGACGTCATTCCATTTCTCACACGAGTCGTCGGGAAAAGACGATGTACTCCGTATGGTACGTGGACATCATTCTCATCCTGAAGTTCATGGGAGAATATCGGGATATCATTTACGCGAAGTGTCTCCCGGCTTCGGAACAACCTTCCGAATGAGGTCACGTGTCTGCCGGAGGTCACGACCATTGAGCAAGGGAGATAAGATATATATATATATATATCTTTCGATCTACGGAGTATTTAACCTCAAGTCCGTTGGTCTATCACACCTCCCTTAACAATGGAAATTGTTCCGATCATAAACAAAAATACGAAAATCATGCTGGGACCATAGGGATTACCTATTCGTAAATATTAAAAAATTCATTCTGGCCATCTTGAAACTATTTCGTTACGACTAAGAGGGAAGGGCGAAAAGAGGACGAGCAACGAAACCATAGTGAGGAAGAACAGGTGCCAGATCTAATCCAAGAAGACAAGGTTGCCGTCCTGATTGGAGATCCGCTCATCCAACCTCATCCATGCCCGATCCCACCCCCCTCGGCCGTTCGCGAGTTCAGCCTCTAGCACTTTACCCCCTTCGATCAGCCGAATGTTCCGCGCCGACGCGGCAAAGTTCCCATTTCGCGCCCACACAAACTTGCCAAACTGATTAGACAGCACGTTATTGAGCGGAATCGAAGAAGGACGCATTTGACCCGAGATGGCACCACAGTGGGCGACGAGGTCATGACCCCTCTCCAAGCGGATGTCGCGAGATGAGGCAGAGAAGTTCCCACGCAGTGGGGTTGGATCGGGCCTGTGAGGCCCATGAGGCCCATGCTGCGGGGGCGGGGAGAACATGGGAGGGGGAGCGTGTTGCTGAGCGTATTGTTGAGCCTGTTGCTGCGCTGCTTGCTGAGCTGCTTGCTGGGCGGCCCATTGCTTTTTCTTCTCCTCCTCTTCCTTCTCTTTTTTATGTTTCTTCATCGCGTCCTGCGCGACTGAGCCGGTTATCGCTCCACCGATGGCGCCAAGGAAGCCGTGATTGACCTTATGACCACCGTAGGCACCAGCCGCCCCGCCCGCGACCGCCCCGAGAAATCCTCTCTCCTTTTCCTCCGGTTCACCATTCGGGGTATCTGTGCTACCGGTGGGCTGGGGGGAATAAGGTGGTGGCGCTGGCGGGTATTGACCGTAACCCGTCTGTTGCGGGGAGGAAGAAGGATATGGTTGAGGAGGGTAGGCGTCCTTCTCGTTCGGTCGGGGGGATTCAGAATGGGGATATGGTGGCTGTCCCCCATATGGAGCGTTTTGATATGATCGGTTCTCCGGCTGCTGGTAGTAGGGGCCGGGTGAAGGCGAGGGTCCACCCCATGGCTGCGGCTGAGGATATTCCGACTGCGGGGGGTAGTACTGATTCCCAGAGTTGTAGTTATAATTTGTCTCCGAAGGGTTCGAACCCGAAGGAGGATACGGATAGTAGCCACTGGCGTTCGGGTGGTTAAAAGACTGAGGCGATGGGTTGCCTTGTCTGTTGTTGTTTCCCCCATAGCCATAGCCGGTGGGGGTTTGCTGGTCTCCACCAGGATATTCTCGCATCGTCATGGTGAAAAGATGGAGGTAGTGACGGTGGAAATCGTTACGAATAAAGAACTAGTACCGACACAAAGGCAGAGAGTCAATCCAAAGTAGTAGGAAGATCTTTGTCCTTTGCCAGAGGAAGTCGAAGTGAGGTTATTTATATTTAAAACGCCGTGACCCAAAGAAAGGATGGCATCGGGTGGGGTGGCTGTGCCTTACAAGGCTGTGGGCACTGCCACAGCCGAGGATAAGGACAAAGCAAGCCACAATTGACATTCTGGTCCCTCTTCAGAACTTCAACCTCATCCTGAATTTAACAACATGATCCTCAGAACAGGCCTTAATTGCACAATTTTCTTGATCCTCATGACCATAAGCATATTTAGCACTTCACGGTGCTAATTTTAATCATGGATTACACCCCTCCAGCAACCTCGACCCTTCCAATCTTCCCTCGTTTTCATGGTTGCCTAGTAGACGATTAAGTGTATCGTCTCCACTGTCCACCGCCATAGGGCTGATTCTTGGCCAATCAGAATCGTTCTCGGAGCATCAAAAGCGAGTCTAGATTGAAGCTTCTGCATGGCACATCACACCTGTCTCGACGGTGTTATCTCTGAGATATTCCGACTCTGGTTACTCCGGGTGACAATAAAACACAGTGACCTGACAGGATGTGGTGTGTGTGTCGGGAACTTGCCGCTAAATGGAGCTGCTGGGACTGGATGCGCAGATTGACTCGGCGGAGCGAGATAGGAGAAATATAACGGCTGCCTATCTCATGTTTCGACAGCGTTCAATCTGGGTGTGACATTAGGAGACCCTATTGGTGCTTCTGGTCAGGGAACGGGCCATCGCCTGCAGGAACCCAATGTGTGACCCAATCCAACACTGATAATAAGCGCCTTGGATTGTCGACACACTCACCTGCTCGAGGAGTCTTCCAATCAATACCCCCTCGCACGGCCATGCCGTCCAGAGCGTGCAAACCCTCAAATGTTCCCCTAGGTCTTTTAAGATATAAAGCCATGGAGGGATTTTTGTTGACAGGATCTCTGACTTCCAACCATCTGAGAACATCGAGTTTCCCTTTCCTACCATAAGCTGCTCACCTTCTTCCTCCGCATCCCACAAGCATCCACAATCATGGGTGTTCTAAAGGTTCTGCTCAAAGCGATCCTCATTCCCATCGTGCTCCTCCTGGTCATCTCGGTCGTTGTGGTCCTCCTCATCAAAAGACACCGAAGCCGGAAGCAGAAAGAAAGGCAACTCGAGAATGGGTTCCAGCCCCCGCCCATTGTGCAATGGGTTCCAAATCAGGACTCCATACAAAAGCCGCCGATCGCCCATACGTCTCACCTCCAACCGGCCGGCTAAGAGCATTTCAGAATATCATAGCACTGAGATAGTATGTGCACCAGATTGCGTGTTCGTCTGTATCGAGGCCTCGCTGACTAGCTTGTTGATAGCAGGATTCCCATTCTATCGCATACAACCGGCTGGCTCGGATATCATTGCTGTGTAGTGGGTTTAAGAATAGTGTTGCTTGCAGATAATGACAGGCTTAGGGTTGGGACGCCAGTGGACATGGTTTATTGTGCTCTGTTGATGCGTTTTAAATTTATTACCCTTGCTAGGTTAATCGGAATAGCGTTGGTACCTGATGTTATTTCATTATCTTTGTGCTTTACTATCGTTCTTTCCTTCCAACCAGAGTCATTGTGGCTGATAGAGGGCAAGGCCTGGCACGGAGCAACCCAACTAACTGTTTCTTTAACCACGGTATTACCGATTGGTACCAAGAGTGTATAACAGGCAATGTCCCTCTGGACAGACCTCGCTCGCTGTAGGACAACTGATATAAACCTACAAACCTTGAAGCAATAAACCGTAGGACGTGCTAGAGATGCCCGTCGCTTGGTATCGTCGGATCTACATGGTCAATGTAAGGCCACTTCAGTAACCGTAAAGAGGCAGCACGACATTTATCGGACTTCTCCACTGTCGGATAAAAGTTTCTAGAAGACTTGCTGCTTGTGTGCCTAGATAAAGTTACTGGTATTCCTTCGCTGCGAAACCTTGCATAGACTAACGTACCATGGGCTCAGTAGCGTGAACCTGTAGGACACATAGTGAGGCCGGGTCTTTGACCTACCAGATAGACCAGTTGTTAGCTGAGAACAACAATAGCAGGGGTATATTGCCCGACGTGCCCCATCCAAAGTCTCATGCTGTCGCGATCACCATAGCAGGGGTGGATAGGTTAGTCCTTGGTAACATGATTACCAATATCAATGATTTCAAAACAAGCGTTAGCCGTGGAGAGAAGGATACATAGTGTACGGAGAAGATTGCAAATCTGAAAAAAATATACTTACAACGTGATACTCATATATCATAGTTGGATATATCTCGGTCAATCCTGTAGTATGTTACTAGGATAGTGACAAGAACAATATGAAATTATGCAGCTATGTGCGCCATCCGGGCTGTTAGAAGAGCGGGATGGCAATATATTCATCACGGCTACCATAGGCCTCGACATCAGTGCTTGGGGTGCCCAGCACAGCCATGTCCATGTGTATTGCCTCTCCTGTATATATTTTTAACCCAAACCCCCCTCCTTCTTATACTTTGAATTCTAGATAGATAGTACCAGTTATTTCATTACCGAATTTCTGTCGTATCTGTGGAAGACCAGCCAAAAGCCCGACGCCACAACGACTATTGTCGCTACCAGTGCCGTGTACAGATATAGGACCTTTGGATCCCTAGAAAGTGGAGACACAGCCATGCCAAGGGGCAGAACCTATGCCTGAGCTCACCTGTACCAAGGACTGTACCAAGGACTGTACCAAGGACTGTACCAAGGTCCGCATATTCGTTGGTGCTTCAGAATAGCTATACTCCGCTAGTGTGTTGAATCCCAAAATCTCAGCAAGACCCAGAAAGAGGAAGATTGGTATCTGCACCTAAACACTGATGTCATTCCCTATCCTGCCACCATCTGAAGCTCCACAGGCAAGGGGTTCCTCGTAACATGGACCTCGGGAGTAAATCAATTTCTGAACCCCAGCAGCAAAAGCCATCGATCCGCTCATTGTAATAAATGCCCAATGCCCAAGTCATCCGTGCAATTGGTCCAAATTGGATCCCGGCCTTTGAAGCCCTGGATACAGAAATTTCTGCAGCAATGGACCCAGTATTACGCAAAAGACATGGTTAATAGCCTGTATTGCATCGTTTGGGACCCCATCCAGACGCATCTCACCGGCTTGGGTAATCAGGCTATTCACACTCTTGATTATTGCATAAGTGGTAGGGGATAGAACAGGCACTTGGTTATAAGAATGAGCGAAGGATTATATATGAATGTGGGGACAGGGAAGACGAACATGACTTTACAAGGACTAAGACCCCGTTTGATCTCGGACGCAAATAGATCATCCCAGTCGACTTCTCGATGGTCCCTCTCGGCTTGGTAGCTTGGTTTGGCCGCATCCAGCCTGAACTTGTCCCGAGCTGAGAAGCATATGACCTTAGCAAATTGTGGAATCACACTTCCTTGTGGTGGCAGCTTCACTATTTATCAATGTTAGTGCTCCGCACGAGTAGCGAGGTTAAAGAATGGCTGACTACCAAATGCCTTACGCCACAGAATCAATAAAGGTAGCACAACAGCGAATGCACAGAGCGGCATAAGGTAGGCTGCCCAGTATCCTACTTTCTTCTCCAGGTAGGTTGACGTGATAAGAGACAGGGTCGCAATTACTTGTGAACCTAGAGAAATCATATCAGGCCCAATAGAGGATGGTATTTAGATGATTCCACATCATACCAATAGAAAACGTTATAGATATACTGCACTGTAAGCATCCGGTCCGTCACAACTCGCTCGCCCTTTTTCGTGATAATTAGTTACGGCGATTTATTCGGATATTGGTCTCCTGTTCAAATCATATCGTAAATTAATGTTTCCGCTTTGACGGCCTCTGCTTTTGAACGAAAGCTCACCGATGAAGGGTGTGATAGTCGCTTTGACGCCTCCTGTCCCGAGTCCAACCAGGATAACCGCCAGTATAAATCCAACTAGCTTGACTGAGCCATCTGTTATTGCTGGAAGGGATGCCACAAAACGATCAGACAACCACAGAAGTCAAGGCTGTTGATAGGTTAATTGAGAGGACGGACGTCTAACTACGTAAGATATGAACACCAGACTTACCGAAAGCTAAGACACAACGTTATATATCGTCCGAATCAGGCATCTGAAAGAACAGCGAATGCTACAGACATCAAGAATGTAAAGCGTAGAAAGCACTTGGGATGTTTTGAAGCCATCGCTTCACCGAGACCTAATGCACCCGGAATCGAGGTATTCTCGCGGTCATACTGGGCATAATTCTCTACACACATTTCGACGTCGGTCATACGTATACTGCAACGGTTTAAGAGGGTGAAACCAACGCCAAGGAGTTGTCGCAGCATAAAATAAGAACCGCTCTTCACCGCTAACCACAAGAGCAATCCAGACAATGGATGATATTGAGCCGGCGATATGTGGTAACTCGTTTATCTCATCTTCAGTAACATCACGTCGTTCGTAGTCAGCTAGCATTGTGTGCACCCCGGCCAGAGTCATCGACTTAGGCGCTTTCGTCTAGAAGAAATAAGCTCGGGAGGAGATTCCTGCGAGTACGATTGAATGGTTAAAGGCCAAATTAACTGACAATGTTTTTTTCCGGATAAGTTCCTGGAACTGATCGTCTGTCGAACCCTGACTCGACCGATGTACCAGCACCGGGAAAGCCAGCGAACAAACGTCGGTAAGTAGCATTTGCAACCACGACGGAAAAATAGATGTGCCTTCGTCTTAGCGGAGCAGAATGGTACAATAGCAGCTACCTACCTAGAGGGGTTTACTTTGATGACGTGGCCCTGTCAGTGCACCGATATGGTAGGTAATCGCGTGGGAGGATTCTACTTTCTATGATCGACAATAGCACGCAAATAAGGGGCGTAATGGTGATAGTACAGATGCATATTTGACAGCATGAGAAGCTGCAGGGGTAAGCATTCAATGTTATCCTGTGGAATTAGATTCATCCTTGCTTGAGCTCGCGAGGTGGGGCGAAACGATACTACAACACCATGAACTAGCTCGCTGACGCCATTGTACTTAGCACCACAAAAGGATGTGAAACTGGTGTTCTGCCGACAATCCCTGCTTGTAGGAATTTCAGTGAAAGTAGTACTTTAATGGTAATGCTATCGTTCTAAGCTATTACGCCACCCAAGGATCAAGAATGCAGCGATAAATAACCCCAGTAGCTAAAACACTGGCACTCTTCGATGCCTTGAAAACAAGAATGGTTAAGCCATTACCATCATATACTAACAGCACACACTTCAATATATGTCCTTCGAAGACAACCATGAATGAATCATTTATACTGTCCGAGTTCGACAGGCTTGTCAGTTCTGGTACTGTCATATACAATGACAAGGAAGAAATAATTGAATATATTGATGGAGGCCTCAAGGTATGTCCCACGCCATATCTGAGTAGCAAACATACATACATGGATCCTGATCATATTGTTCTAGTTCCAATTCTTGCTTACCTCTGCCCTTGCCAACAAGCCAACAATTCCGTTGAATCCACCGGCGGCAAATAAAATTGATGAGCGGGATCAAAAGAGGGAGGGAAGCGATATCAGTACTCAGGGCTTTAAGATGGTGAAATTAGCACCTCTCACTTTCTGGTCGCCAACAAGTTCTGCTGGGCAAGACCACACCTCATGCTCGTAACCTCTGACGGCTATCGGAGGCAATATGAGGGTCTCGATCTCCATGATATCAAATCGGTGTGGTTTCTTTTGTCAACCCTAGACACAGACTACGTGGCCTTTTACAACTGTGGGCAAGATGGAGGATGTAGCCGTTTGCATAAGCACGTGCAGCTTATCCCAACTCCTCCAAAGCTGTTTGCGTCCTTTCTTGACCCAAAAGATAGTCAGCCACCTCGAGTTCCGTTTGAATGGTTCTATCGTCGCCTGAATCCCCATGACTCAACGCCAGAACGCTTGCTAGAGATCTATAATCATCTTCTGGAGCAGTCAACCAACAAAGGGAGGAGCCTCTCCGAGAACTTTGGCACGGCCCCACCTGACGCTGCGTGTCCGCACAATTTTATTCTCACAAAATGTTGGATGGTGGTCTTCCCCAGGCAACGCGCTGCTATCAATAAAGAAGCTGGGGTCAATGCAATTGACATGCTGGGGCATATAGTCGTTGCCACCCAGAACGAGATCGATAACTGGATACGGTTGGGGCCAACTAATGCTCTACGGGAACTTGGAGTGGCCAAGCAAGAGGCCTTGTAAGCAATATATTCAGGCTGGCCGACGAAACAGCTACTCTCGTTTCACCTCGTGATCTTCTAGACTAGGCAAAGCCTTCACTGAATTCAAAAGTTCTATAATTACAGTTTCTCGAAATTGTGGACTATCTTGCCCAACAGGGTCATGTAGTAGAATAGCAAAACTTGCGAATCGTAACAATTTGATCATCCAACGAGGCCAGGAATTACCCGTTTTATCCATTAAACCTAAGCGGCCCATACATAGAGGCCGTATTGGAAATTATGGTAGGCGTTTCAAAGCTGGAAGAATAAAGGTATCTAACGGCTGTATAGGCTATAATTTCCACTTTCATTTTCTGCAAACTAGGTCAATGCCTGAGTACTGTGATCATTGACCTTGGTCTGGTCTCCGATCCCTATTCCTGGGTTACAGTGTTGAAGGCGTGGCAACGGCAAGGGATCAGTGCTAAAACCATTGTGGTAAAACCAGGAAATCAACTGGTTCCTCCTTCAACTACATGTCACCGTATAAGGCAAAGAAAGTTTGTAATAAAAAGCCATTTTTAGATCATCTGCAACATTCTCAAAGATATGGCCGGATTCTCCTCCGTGCCGCCCAATGATGTTTTAGGGTATACCTGGTCTAGAACAAGCATGTTGTGCCTGTTTATTTCAGACTGTAACACACATCTGGGCGCTGCGGGACCCGTAGTCTGTTGTTCGGATTGAAAAGGTAGAGATCCATGAGGATGCGAGGAAGGTGGACATGATGGGCTTCTGGGAGACACTTGTACGGTATTTTCCAAACCCATCTGAGAGCAAACCGGTAACTGACTGAGCATGTAGGACTCCTTGACCATACCTGGTCGGACTGGCGGTCAACTGACGCAGTCACCAGTGGTTTGATACCTATGGTCCAGGCGACGCTAGGATAATCCCACAGTGCCTTTCTAGTAATATTCATGTGCAGCAACCAAGTTAAAAGAATACCGCGAAAGACCAGAATGTAAATCCGAATACCACAGCCTGACCGACCGGATCACAGGGCATCTTCTTGAGCTCGTTCCTCAATGTAGCTTGGATAGTGAGAAATACTTGCTATTTTATGACAATCTATAATGCGATAAATTGGAAGTCAACTTCTCTTAATTTATTTTCAAATATGGTACAACTTTAGACCATATTAAACGTTTCTATCACATTTAATTGAGGGAAGCGAGGAAAAGCTTTCTGGAGTTCTGGATCTGGCGACACGGCACAACGAGAGGGCTCTGGGATAGCTTGATCGGGTCCAGCTGCAGTGCCAGCCGTCCTCAAAACGGGCATTTCCCCGCATCCTGAAATGTTTAGCATGAAGAGAGCCTTTGGGTGCGGCATTAGGCACAAGCATGAGTGGGCCATTGTCCACATCCCTCCGGAGCTATAATGTGGGGAAACAGACCAGACCGAGTCCGGTGGAGTGAAAATGTCTCTCCACGAGAGTCCCTCCCAGCTTGCCTTATATTGGTGCTAGTCTTTATGATGTCACTGGAGTACATGGGACAAACACCTCGTATGTTGCAATTCAATGTTAGCTCCAGTTTGTGCTGACTCGGAACAAGGCAGTGCCAGTGCTGTCGGTGAGAACAGACCCCCACCGGAATATCACCGTGCTGATATTTATCCTGCGCCGATCTCTCGAGTAATTAATTAGATTAAGTTACTCAATCAACCGTGTTCTACGAAATCACCCCATTGACTCTACCCCCACTCTAGGAATCTAAATACATCTTGCTGTGCCTCAGTCCTTGTCAGAACATGAACCCTGCCAGTCGGTAAAGCTGTTCAATACCGGGAAAATGTCGTCCTGGCTGCCATCCCTCCTTTTCTTTGGCAATCTAGCGATTGCATCTTCTGTATCTACCGTTCATATACCCTTGAACAGTTCGTCCAGAGTCCTGAGGCGTGATTTGTATGGCTATTCAATTGAGCCTGTGTCTCTAGCGCCGTACCTCCAAAATGACCTGGCGACAAATTTATTGGGACATGTCGCCGAGATAGCTGGAGTGCCCGCACCAATCCGAGTCGGAGGCAATATCGCCGACCAGACATTATTCGATCCGACATTGGGAGTGCCGTCGGAAGCCCTACCGAATGATACCACGGTAGAGGTGTTACGCATCCGTCGAGATTGGTTCAATGGTTGGAAAGAATATTTCCCGGAAGGAACGGACATTCTATACACGTTGAATCTGCGCAATGAGACGCATTCTTGGATTAACGCCATGCAGGAAGCCCAAGCCGCGATGGAGGCGCTGGGAGATTCCCTATCACACTTTGAGCTGGGCAACGAGATAGATCACTATATCAACAAAGGCTGGCGGGGGGAGGACTGGGACACGAAGGAATATACGAAGCAGTGGCGCCGCTTGACAGGCCAGATTCTGTCCGCCAAGTTCTATAAGAATGCCACGCACAAGCCCCTTTTCCAAGCGGCTGTCTTTGCCGACCCTCCAATGGTCCCTGATCAACATGATGAGATAGACGACTTTGACATCGTTAACGTAACCCGTGCAGGACTGGTTGACCCTAAGATCATTGAAAGCTACGCGGTGCATCTATACCCCCAATCGACTTGCGATGCTGAGCGTTACGCGCGTCTTTCCTTGAACTTGCTCTCGGACCACAACGTTATCTGGAGGAACCTGTCTCAGTATATTCCACAAGATGCAGCTGCCCGAGCGGCAGGCAGCAGACTGGTTCTGGGCGAAACCAACTCGGCCTCCTGTAGTGGGAAAAGCGGCATCAGCGACACGTTTGGAGCCGCTCTTTGGGCCGCCGATTATGTGTTAACGGCAGCGAGTATTGGCATCGAGCAAACTTACTTCCACCTCGGTCACCAGAGCGAATATTCTGCTTTCACGCCTCTTCCGTACGAGTACAAGGGCGAGAACCTCACTGCGGGTGTCCGAGCCAACTTCTTCTCGCATATCTTCCTCGCGCATGTCATCTCCGGCAGGGAGGCGGACTCGTGGAAGATCAGTGCGTTACCCGCCGCGAATGCATCGGACTTTAGCGGATATGCTATCTTCAGCGATACCGCGGAGTCCAACCTGGCGAAACTTGTTTTCATCGATTTGGGCGTGTGGAACTCCACCGTCGGGGCACACAACCCATCCACCCTGGCGGCCACTGACGCCACGTTTGCTTCCCCTGGGGACCGACCGCAACGAACCGTGGAAGTGCATACGCCGTGGCGCCCAGGAACGAGAATAGAAATTCTCAGACTACAGGGCCCAGGAACCAATGCGAAGAGTGGGGTAAGCGTGTCGGGAGTTGGCATCGATTCAGCGACGGGTAACTTGGTAGGCCAAGAGAAGATCGAGCAAGGTATTGTCAACGAACGTGGCATTGTTCGCTGCGAGCTTTCCCAGGCCGAAGCTATCCTCATCCAGAAGCCCTCGAATTGAGTGCTGTGCTTAGTCTGGAAATAGCGACATGGCCTCCCTTGATTCTTGATGTGCCAGGGGGAGGCAACACATCATGCGTGGTTATGGTAACAATGTTATCAAACCGCACGTTCAATGGATGCTTAGGAATTGTTTAACTAGTCAGTACTTCATCTCTGATTTTGATGGATAATTGAAACCAAGGATATCTGTAACTGTCGCTAGATTTGTGGAGTCCTTTTTAAACATCCCTCCCTTAGAGAAAAGCCCCAGCACATCCAGCATATACAGACTAGATAGATATGTTAGAAAGGTATTTCGTTATGGGAGAAAGTATTCAACTAGAAGATCTCACTTCCCTCAACGGCTGCATCCGATTTGATGCACCCAAATTCCAATTCTCCACGCGGTCGCATTTCGATGATTGTTCACAGGTTACCAAGATAGGAGATGCTCTTAACGGAGTAGTTGCTCTGCAGGAGAGTCAAAATGAAGGAAAAGCCCAATGTTCATAATAGGTACAGGCTCCACAAATGCGACTTGAGGATGGCGTGATATGGATCGCTACGTTTTCCGGGCCAGGAATCTGTCATAGACACTTCACACTATTTATCATTCTTTTCCAATTGCCTGATTTTCGGGAATGACAATCGCATGGTCTCTTGACGAAGAATCCCAATCACTGCCGATCGAGCTTTATCGGGTAACATAACACGCAAGAAGCGCTTCGACGTGAAGTCCACGGTTCTCGGCGGTCTAACATATTTGGCATCACATCGACAGAGAAACAAATTCACAGCCGAAGGAGCATCCGGTGTCTAACACATCCCGAACACGTCAGAGTTGAACGACATATGATACTGACATGGACCCTAGTTCGCCTGCCTAGGCAACTCACGCTAGTGGTGCATCAACATGAACTAGGAAACCACCATTACGTCGATAAGTAAACTAATGTCACCTTATGAACCGATGGCCAGAAATCACTATGTTCATGTGTAATGACGTGGTCAACCCGATATCTTCTATGCCAAGGGTGGTATAATGCTCCCCTTGCACATTTATTTTCTCTCAGCCTGCTACCCGCATGCCGGTCAACCAGGATTCCTTGATTGCTCCCTGGGCACCAGAATGAATAATTAATGTACGATGCTATAACACCACCATTAGTCACAGTTTCCTTGAAGTTTGAAGCCAAGGAACACCCTCCAGTTACACCCGTGAGCCGACAATTTGACCAAATGGTCTGGCGACAGTGGTGAGTCCCTGAAAGATCTGGCTCGGAAACTGCACAGATCACCCGGTGCTCTGGGCGAAGACTGTCAAGGATTGACTAGCTGTCCATCAGTAAGCGACTCCCTTCTAGCCGGCATCTCATAATGCGCGCTATGGCATAAGATACGACTAATAAGAGCCTAAATAATTAGTCCAGTTCGTATGCTTGCTGAATTCGTGAACATGGAACTATCGCACGTGAGATCATTTGTTCGGGCATAGCAGTCCATCGTCATTTGGCTGCATGGTTTGGTCAATATACTATGTACCACTGAGTGAATATCCGCAATGTTGCGGTTGAATAGCTCGAAGCTTTAGCTGTGTACGCTTGCGCATCGCTCTCGCTCTCATCTTGACGGAATTCCAGTCTCCCGGGTGGAACAGATGACAGACCCATCAATACTGCCGATAATCACCTCAGCTTCGAGTTGGACAAAACTTGAAAGCTCGGGATTTCGTACATTGCACATGATCTAGCCCATGAGGTTCCTCTACATGATTTCGGTTGAAGCCGCTTTCGGATATTGCGGAGCTGTAGATAGGGTTATGTTGAACTCAAAAATATAACCTTTGTCCAACGTCATGCGGCATGCTAGAGAAACGTGGAGAGGCCCAAAGGAACGTCCGAAATAACATCCAAGTATGTATGAACCTGGCTCAGGTATCCACCGGCCATCCTGAGCGATATCCTACCAGGATACAGCAATTTATAATCGCGTTATCGTGATAGTATCTGTAGATACCCAGCCGACCATCATTGCCTTTCGCCAAACAGACTAAAAGAAAGATAACGAAGGGATTGAAGATAAGATATGCGATAGGCTACATATCAGCACGGTTAGGTTAGTAATCTGACGCCCAATCCATTCCTTTGTTACTCATTATCCCCGCCTTGCTGCGGCGATGATCCCTGGGGTATGATCCCTGCCGGGAGGAGGAATGAGCATTGAGATAGGGCATACTTGACGCTTTGGGCCCTTGCCAGCCGCGTGACCGCGCCACGTCCTCTTTGTTTGGATGATAGCGCTTGCGACAGTCCTTGTTCATATCTCGTTGCCTGCTGCTTTGTTTTAAACACTTCGCAAACTTGGGCCTCGGGTATTTCTCCACTCGCCAAGCTTATACGTCGAGTATATATACCTATCCCAGATTCGGGAGCTGGAATTCGCCATAAGAGCGAATACAAGAAGACAAGCTCGAACAAAATGACGAGTGCGAACTTCCGTCGTCTAGAAAAGGATTATCCGTGGATCGCAAATCCACTCATTGCATCAGCGCCCATGCTCAATATCGCGACTGCAAAGCTTGCAGTCGCGGTCTCCTCCGCCCGGGGGATTGGATTCATTGCCGGCGGATACGATCTCTCGGGCCTGGAACAACAGCTCATTGAAGCACAAGATCTTGTCCATGAGGCCAATTTTCACGGTTCTCACCTTCAACACAGTCTGAGTGAGCCCCCCATTCTCCCCGTTGGAGTGGGTTTCTTAAACTGGGGTGCATCTCTGGAAATCGCGCTGCCCTTGATCCAAAAGTACCGACCCTGCGCAGTTTGGCTCTTTGCACCGAAGACTGGCGCAGACGACCTCTTACCTTGGGTCCAAGTCATGCGGTCCAAGGTCCCTTACCACATCAAGATCTGGGTGCAACTTTGTTGTTTAGAGGATGCAGTAGAATATACGGAGAAGTTGCAACCGGATGTTCTTGTCGTCCAAGGAAATGATGCCGGTGGTCATGGATTTGCTCGGTCTGCCAGTATTGTCACTCTTATTCCCGAGGTCTTAGATCAATTGGAGTCAAGGAAGTCGAGTTTGACCTTGAACGTCGGAAAACCGTTTGTTGTTGCAGCGGGTGGCATCAGTGACGGTCGAGGGTTGGCAGCTGCAATGATTCTGGGCGCGGATGGATGTGCTATGGGGACTCGATTTCTGGCTTCCCCGGAGGCACAAATCGCGAAAGGCTATCGGAATGAAATCCTTCGAGCCTCGGACGGTGGTGTGAGTACAGTACGGTCGACCGTTTATGACAAAGTCCGAGGGATCTATGGTTGGCCAACGAAGTATGATGGACGTGGTCTGATCAATCGATCATACGAGGACATCATGAACCAGGAGGTCACTGAGGAAGAGAATCGACGTCTGTACGAGGTGGAGAAGCTCAAGGGGGATGATGGTTGGGGACCTCAAGGCCGTATGACCACCTATGCAGGAACCGGGGTAGGCCTTATACGAGATGTGATGCCGGCAGCACAGATCGTGACGAAGACCCGGTGCGATGCGATGCAGAATCTCCAGAAACAACTTCATCCTGCTAAATTATGATGAATAGGCATTTTCTTATTATATAACTATACTGTCGAACTGGACTTACATGTCACTCTCGCGGGCGGAATCTAGCAGATTCAAATCTATGGATGGCACATATTAGTCTACACGAATCAATGAAAGGAGAGTCACAATTTCTGACGAGACCGCATACAACCAATCTAACCAAGATCAAGCCTACCGAAGAGAAGGACACATAATATGACTACTATATATTGGGCTATCTTTGTGCGAAAGGTTTACAACTTACTCTTTTTGGAAGTGCGCTATACCAGCGCCACCTTTTGCTGAGTGACTCATATTGGAGCGTAGCGTAAGTTAAGGAAGAAATGTAAATTAATATACTGAGCACGCTTAACTGGCCTATGGCCCTAAGAGTCAGGCTAGCACCGGCCCGACCGCTAGGGCCCGACGGGCTTTGACTATTTAATCCCCAACCGCCTCCTCTATCTTCTATTTATTTATCCCCCGGTACATGCTCCCTGCATGACAGTCACTATTTAATGAACCTACACGATGTCCAACGACTCATTCCACTACTTCGCGCAGCTGCCTCTAGAAATACGCCGTCTTATCTGGGAGCACTGCCTACCGTATCGTATAGCAGAAGAAGACATCCCCGCCTTTCTTCTCGATGGCGACGAATCGCGTCAAGCCTGTTTTCCCAAGCGTACAACGTACCTAAACACTCGGCTGCCGGTCATCGCATTTGTAAATAGCGAGTCTCGGCACGTCGCGCTGGAACAGGGACGCTGGGAGCGAGGACAGGAGCCAACTAGCCTGGAGTCGATCTGGGTGCAGCCGCGTCGGGATGTGTGGCATATCAACTGGACGCGAGCGAGCTACGATGTCATGGGACCGGCCATTGAACCTGACAGTCCAATGGCCTATACCCTGTGGCATGCAGCAGAGCTTGGGATGCAACCTTCTATCGTGGCAGAGATGATTAACTACTTTGACCTGAAGGGGCTATTAGATGGCACTTATGGCACTGCTGACGCGGATGACGATGATGAATTCTGGCGCCGATCGTTTCACCATCGCACCATGAGATACCCTCTAGACAATCAAGAAGCCAGGGATATTGCCGATCTCGCAGAATATGCACGGTGGCTCGACGTAGCAATGGTGGCAGTTACTCTGCATATCAGTCGGGAAGCGGCTCTGAGGTCTGGCTTGTTTGGGCTGTTAGGCGATGCGCCTGTTCAGATGGTTGATGTCGATGACGAAGCTCGGCTGAGGGAATTTCAAGCACTATTTAGGGAGCGTGCATTGGAAAACGAGCCGGCCGTGCAGACGCTCTTCGAATTATTCACAGGTACTCAATTCCGAGCGGCTGTGGAAACATGGAAAAGACAAGCTGAATGGATCTTCCTCGCGTCAATGTGGGACTACGCACGAAAGGAAAACGACAATCTTCGGACGAACCCGGGCTCTGCTTGGATTCCTTACCTATCGGGGCCAGAGTATATCGACTTACATCGGTATTCGCCTAATGAGAACCATCCGTGGGTCCAAGAAGCTAGACAGAGTATGCCCAAGCTGCGACCGCGGATCATGGTGCGATATTGTACCAGTGAGTGTTATAGATACCCGCCACCTATCACCTACTGGTAAAGGTTTAAGTTTATGTCTATACCGATAGAGAGTCATCTTCTATATAACCCCACAGAATATCATATTTTTCTACACGCTTCTGCAAGGTGGTCATGCACACCCTGCGTCTTGACAATAGCCTCGACATGGCTTAGTGAAGTTCCCGCGCTATTATATTTGGCGACATAGTCTCTGACCGTCTGCTCCACCTTGTCAAACCCGACCCTGCCAGTGTTATGCCTGATGGTCTGGTACGCATCAATCTTCCTGTAACCCGGCACTGGAGGCCTCTCTATGAGATCGGTATACGCGACAATAAAGCCCCCCAACTGTCTCATCTTCTCTTCAAAGGCTTCGGCGATCTTATGTGCTTGATCATAACGGCGGGCATCACCATGGGTTTTGAGCGCAGCTGTCATCTTGTTGAAACGGTCATCGGCAGGTTCCCTGCCATCAGCCTTGAGCTTGGCAATTGCCTTGATGGCAATATCCTCCGCCTTACTCATAACATTTTCAAAATTGTCCTTTTGATTCCAATCTTTGAAAATTCTCGCATTGCTTATGAGCCCCTTGAAGCCAACCCTGTCAAACTCAGTGCCCACGAGCTCGAGATCCGCACCCTCGCCGATCTGCGCCCAGTTGACCGTTTCAAAATCAGGGTTCTCGAGAAGCTTGACAGGCCGGATGATTTCACCATTTGCGTCGCGCTCCGGCTTTTTCTTGATTATGCTGATTTCCTTCATGAAGGCCTTCAAGTCACAGACAACGCCAGCCTTGGCGCATCCGGGCGCCATGCGCGAGCTGGCGAGGCCGTGGGCCTCGACTTCTAGTCTGTAGAGTTGATAGAAGAAGAGGGCTTGCCATTTTCCGGCGACAACGTTGGCCATGACGCCGGGGGCAAGGAAGATCGCCAAGAACAAAAGTGGGAGCATAATTTTTGGTTTCTACCAAAGAAATAATCAAAAACGAAAAATGCAATGTCCAAAAGAATAGTGAAGGAAAGCCAGCCTGGGGTGAGTAACAGCACCCAACAATGACAAAGGTCGGCTATGATACGTGCGACAAGTTGCCTACTAGTCGTGAGTTATGCACCAGCAAGAGACCAATGAAGCCAAGGGAGAAGAAAGAACTTTTCGTCCTTTTGATACTCTTATCACACTACCTTTCGGCCGGCCATCCAAGGAACGGTCCTATTAGGCCGAGACCGGACGACCATGAAACAAATGGTCCTACTTAACGTAGTAATGTAATCCTCGAGAGTCACATATCGGGGAAGGCGCATAACATTTGGCTTTGCAATCTCCGAACAAGACCAGACTTGAGGTATATTCCCTTATCTTGAGCTTCATGCATCATTCAGGGGAGATGAGCTGACGGCTGTGTAGTAGTCCTAACCAGGTTAATTGTAACAAGGATATAACCCCTGGTGTCTTACCTCGATACCTCGGCTACTACATAGGAAATTAGCCCTTATTTAACTATTTAATACTAAGCTATCGGATATATGGCAAACAATTTCATATCTAACCGATCTCTGCTAAGCTCTAGTCTTTGGGATGAGACTAGTGCTTAGTGTGAGGGGAGGGTTACATTGCACTAAACAAGTCAATGCTAATACCAGCTTAATTTCGAATGTTTCCCCGAAACTCCCACGGAATGCGTCATCAAATATACGCTAAAATGTACAGCTGTGGTCTCGACTATTCTTGTAATTTCTGAAGCAGATAAGCGCGACAGTGTATCAATATTCGCCTAGAATACATCTAGTGGTGCTACTATGGAATTAAGGGAAATAGCATATTGACAAGGTGGAAAAGTGTGAACCTCATATATCATAAAAAGCTTTACTTGAATGGTCACCATATTGTATATTGGCTTTCAGGCTACTCAACCCGGTACTATGCATTCCAGACTTGACCACCCTCCCCGGCGTATTCAAGCCATGCACCTAGACGGAAATAGAATTACCACTTGTCCGAACTAGCAAGTAATGTTTCTGTGCCGCCTTACTATTCGCGGCCTGAATTATCTTGAGCTCATTCCAATTGTTGTCCGCGCGACCTAGGACAACAAGTCCGTTCCCAATACCAGCATAGTAGCCATTGTGGCTATTCGGGCCGATGTTAGTGTTTGACACGCGGAGGATGAAGCCGCCGTTGTCATTGGCAGAGGGGAAGCCGATGAAGACGTAGCCGCGGTGGATGATGGAGGGGAGGGAGGTGGTGGGATATCGCTTGCACCAGACGAGAGGCAGCCAAACGACACTTCAGGGACTTGAATGTGCATTGCACTCTGGCTGTAGCCCCAAACAGTAGCGACGAGGTAAGTACGGTTCGCTGCCAAGGCATAGGCGCTTGCATCGCCAGGGTCATGGTATCCGGTGCCGATTCGCCAGCTGTATTGCTGCTGCTCTTTATTCGTCTGTACCGGGGCTAGGGTACTATTTGCAAGGAAGGCAGCATCAAAAGCCATGACATCCTGGCGGGCGAAGCCAAACGTCTCCTGACAGCTCGGTGGTATTGGGTCAAAGCCTAGTGCCGAACACATGGTACCCTCGGCTGCCTTTCCCCAATCCTGAGTCAGGCTGGTCTTGAGATCAGCCTGACATGCCTGAGATAGAAAATCGCACTTGCTGCCACCGTCAACGGCCAGCTTCGCCTCAGGCCTCGTAGAGATGAAGACGTGGCGACAGATGTACCATGAAGGGTCCATGGCCAGTGGCTGGCCGCCAGAGCTCATGCTGTCGGGAATCCCAAACGTCAAGGATGACAGCACAGTGGTTGCATTTTCCACGATAGAAGCCGACAAGGGCATTTCCTGGGCGATCTCGAGGTATGTCATGTGACCGTCTCTGCGGGATCCCGGATACGGCTGCGTCCAGTCGAAGCCATCTATAGCTGTGGAATAGTTGGCGACAGGCGTCCTGAAAGCGGCAGTAACATCCTCATAGGGAACGGCGAGGATGTTGCTGCTGTTTATAAAGAATTCGTTGTAGTCTATGTAGACGGGGGAGGTGATCGCCGCGGCCATTATAGGAAGTAGAATAAGGATTATAAAGAAGGGGAAACGGTGGGACAGATAAACAAAGCAAGTGAAAGATCTCATGACAGCCAACAGGATCTGTTTGCTGGTAATAGGTACAAGCCGTTCCACGTTGTGTACTCTGCACAAGAAAAGGACTCGATTTAGCAATAGGAATTAGGTGTGGCAACTTGATCTGTACTTTTCGATCCAATTCCCATCGTCTCCGTGAGAAAAATAACAATGAAACTATGTAGACTGAGTCGCAGTAAGTAAATAACATTGGTGATTGTATAGTGTGTGAGCCAATTTCGGCATGTACCTATCTAGCAGCTCGCATATCTGGATCAAATTGGCGGCGTAGTCCAGGCCCCGGAGATGTCCGGAGGTCCGTTTCTCACTAACCCTAGTAGCCACTAGAAGGTTACATGTAGGGATCGTTTGGTAGCATACCCCCCTGCAGTAGTTGAACTTGAGATCAAAATCTCCTGATAGTCTAGTGGGACCGAGGTAAAAACAAGACAAAAAGATAATAATAAGTATAATAGTTGCTAGGATTTAGTTGCATATGCGGTCCGTGTGAACTGCAATCTCCAGCTATACCAGACTTGAGGCTTTTCTCCCCTTAGCGTCATGCATCTATTAGGGGAAGTGTGAGAGTTCCCGATGAAGCTTCCAGGTAAATTATCAAACCGAAAGAAAATGGGTTGAGACTAGAACAGTCGCTTGAGTTGATATCGCCGGCTTAGACGATGAGTAGCATTAGAACATTATATGGACCACTAATCCCTCCAAGTACTCTGACTCTTTCTTGCATGCTCCCCTGCCAGTACTGGCTCACAGAACACGATGAGGCCCTCTTTTGCCCTATTTGCCTCTCTACTCTGCCTCGCCTCGGCTGTCACAGAGAGCTACAATGGTCAGTATCCGGACAGCTGTCCCAGTCTGTGTGCTGATGTGGGTCCTACAACGGCTAACTGGACCAACATCCACCATCTCCGCAATCTTGAGAGCTGTGATCAAACTGTCCTCTTTGGTTTGAATATCCACAATTCTGTCGCGGATCCAAACACTATTCTCACTATCCACGCCTGTGTCGGTAGTCAAGGCCAGACGTACGAGGCTGCTACCTCCCCGGATGTGCCTCAGCAGGAAAGTCAACACAATCTAGTTGTCGCTAAAAGTTGCGGCGCCAAGGCAGTGAGGACAGTTTTCACTTCTCAGGTTGGCGCTTTGACGCCTAGCAAGGCGTCCGGCGCTGCTCCACAGCTGGCTGATGTAGCCGAGGCTACTCGTCAACTTGCCCAGTTCGTGGACAAGAGCGCTGGGTGCGGCGCCACTATCCTGTTTGCCAAACACAGGTCTGCTGTTGTGGGCCTGTATTCTGGTGCACAAATCACGAAGCATGCCGCGCGAGGTATTCTTGACTCTTTTGCGGAAACGGAAACTTCTGCCCTGCAGATCTGCCAGCCTGCCGGGGCGGCCACGACTATTGGAGTGGTTTCTACTGGCTTTGTTGATCTAGCAGTGGCTCAAGGTGCTATCAAAGACTGGAACGATGGTCTCTGTCTTGATGGGACCATTGCCGCTGGCGCTGTCAGCATGGATGTGCTCGTGTCTATCGTGGATAAGAGCTTCAATGCCGTCACTAATACTACTACCATCTCCTACGGCAACATGACAGTCAGAGGGCAACCACGAACTCTTCCTCCAAGGGGGGTGTGCCGAACCGAGGAGGTCCATGGGGGTGACAGCTGCGCCTCGCTGGCCAGCCGCTGTGGTATCTCTGGAACTGACCTGTCTAACTACAACCCACAAAAGAACTTATGCTCAACCCTGAAGCCCAAACAACACGTTTGCTGCACCGCAGGCGATATGCCAGACTTTCGCCCTCAGCCGCAGCCCGATGGCACCTGCAACACATATAAGGTCAATGATAATGATGGATGCTCCGATCTAGCAGACGCGCACTACCTACAACAACAAGACATTGAAGAGTTTAACAAAAAGACTTGGGGCTGGGCTGGCTGTGCCCACCTGCAGAGCGGCCAACTCATCTGTCTCAGCGAGGGAACTCCTCCTATGCCCTCGCCGATCCAGGGAGCTAGCTGCGGTCCACAGGTACCGGGCACCGAAAAGCCTTCCAACGGAACAGCACTCGCTGATCTTAATCCATGTCCGCTTAACGCATGTTGCGATGCCTGGGGCTTTTGTGGAACAACGGTCGACTTCTGTACCCAGTCACCTGCGGATACTGGAGCTCCTGGGACCGCAAAGCCCGGAACCAACGGATGTATTTCCAACTGCGGGATGGATATTGTTAACAACGGTAAGGCACCTGATCAGCTAAGGACCATCGGCTATTTCGAGGCGTTTGACCAGCTGAGAGCGTGTCTGCGAATGAGTGTCACCGAGATCCCGGCCGACAAGTACACGCACGTCCACTTTGCGTTTGGCACGGTCACACCAAGTTTCGATGTGGACATCCCAGATGTCTATTACGAGTTCAGCAAATTCATCAAGATGAGCGGGTTTAAAAAGATTTTATCTTTCGGCGGATGGGCATTTTCCACTAATGCAGACACATTCCAGCGCTTCCGGGATGCCACCAAGAAAGAGCATCGCGAAACATTTGTCAATAGCCTGATAAACTTCATGAGTAGCCAGAACCTGGATGGCTTTGACTTTGATTGGGAGTATCCCGGTGCACCTGATATTCCGGACATCCCACCCGGAAGCCCAGAAGACACAGAGAATTACCTTGCTTTCCTGCAGCTCCTCCGAAGCAAGCTACCCAGCGAGAAATCCATCTCACTTGCTATACCGTCCTCTTACTGGTATCTGAAACAGTATCCGATCAAGGAGATTGCAAAATATGTGGATTACTTTATTTACATGACGTATGACTTGCACGGCCAATGGGGTAAGTAACGCCCGTCTGGGATAGATCGAGATCGAACGGTATGCTAATCATGAATCTGCCTGGGTGCAGATGTTGACAGCAGGTCGGCCATGCCTGGCTGCGAAGCTGGAAACTGTCTTCGATCACACGTCAACAAGACCGAGACGCACAATTCCATGGTCATGATCACCAAAGCTGGTGTGGAAGCCCGACAGGTCGTCATTGGCGTTACCAGCTATGCCAGAAGTTTTCGCATGACTGATGAGTCCTGCTCTGGTCCCTTGTGCACCTTTGCTGGAGCGAAGTATCAGTCCGCGGCCTATGCCGCACCCTGCACATCAACTGCTGGCTACATCTCTAACGCTGAACTCAACGATATGATGAAAGACCATGGCAATTACTCCATCGTCAAGTCGTACGTTGACAAGGATTCTGACTCCAATATTCTGATGTACGGCAATCCTGGAGCAGTGGACTGGGCGGCCTACATGGACGGTGATCTCAAGGACAACCGAATCAATTGGATCAATGGCCTCAACTTCGGCGGTTCCTCTGACTGGGCTATTGATCTCCAACAGTACTCGAATGATGAAAACCGTGATGACAGTGAGGATGACAATGGGGCCGACGATGAATCTGGGGAAGACGATCTCAACTGTCGCTCCGATAATAACCCTGGCACTCTGGATGGTCTCGCAGATAAAGCCGATTCCCTAGACCCAGGCTGCGTCCACCTCTTTGCGATGGATATTCTGTACTCCCAGCTCCTCGACAGTTTATCTTTGTTCCAAACCAACTCGGAAGGCTACGACGACAAGTTCGGCTGGTACGAGAAGTGGACCAAGGAGCAGATCCAGCCGCGCATCGATAGCTTTATGAAGTTCGGCGAGGGCAAAGGTCTCAAGTACTTTGACTGCTACTGGGCATATACCGGCGGCAAGGAAACAAAGGATTCTTGCCTCGGAATGCCGCACATCTGGGACGTGAGCGCAGGATGGAGCATCCGCTACGAACTCATCGACAAGAAGGGCTTCTTTGACGCGCTCGCGGCCGAGATGGGCGTCGACGAGTCGTGGGTGACGTTTGGCGATGAGACTTCAGATTATATATGTGCGGACCCTGGCGATAGACGACCAGGCGCCGGCAGCTTGCCCTGCCGGAAGCTCTTCCGCAAAAAGCTGAATTACCCTCAGAAGGGCTCCGATGACAATATCCACGTCGGAAATCCTAAAAAGCTCATCGAAGCATCCATGGGCAACGTCACGGCCCTGAGAAGCTCGCTTCTCTCCTCGTACCTCAGCGTGGGCCTCTCCTTCTACGACGACGGGCCAAACGATACCTCAGCCACCGACGCAGTAGTCGCCTACTCCATGCCCGTATTGCAACTCGCCGAAGCCATCAACAGCATGAAAGACATTAAGGAAATCGGCGAAAATGCCAAGGAGCAAGCAAAGAAGGACCTCATTTTCAAGATCCTCACTATCGTCTTCATGGTCATCCCCTTCGTCGGAGAAGCCCTCGGCCCTCTGATTGGCAGTACCGCATCAATCGCTCGTATTGCGCTTCTCATCGGCGAAGCGGGCAATGGGGCGCTGACGGTGGCGGAAATCATTGAGGATCCGACGTCTGCACCGTTTGCGGTGCTGGGTTTGATTGCTGGTGTTGGCGGCGGGTCGGGCAAGCTGTCCAAGTCGGAGGCGATGGTGGAGGCTTCCAAGGCAAGAAGTCTGATGAAGGCTAGCGATTTGGCCAAGTTTCCACAGAGATTTAGGGATCAGGATGCTTTGGTGCAAAAGGTCGTGAAGAATTTGTGTGCGAGGAGCTAGGTGGGAAATAGTAAGACATTGCACTAGGCTTCCTAATTAGACGGTTTTAAGACTCTCTTTACTTTATTATAAACCAGTACGTATAATGTTCAAGGAGGCTAAATCATGATTCATGCATGTATGACGAGTGTTGTAATATGGAGCCATCCAGGTTCTGACAAGTCGTAAAGGTATAAATTGTAAGTGTATACTACAGAGCGTTGTCTTTTTCCATATAATAAAACTGACTGTCATGCTTTTTCCATCGCCTCATTAAGATGGTTGTCGATAGGGGCTTCCAACTTGAGGCTTTTCCCTTCCCGCCTGAGTGTCATGCATATATCAAGCGAAAAGTGTGAGCCCCGACGGGGCTTCCAGGTAATTTTGAAAACCGGGAAAAGGAGATCGGGCTGAGGCTACAACAATCTCTTGAGTTGATATTGCCGGCTTGTACGATGAGCAACATAGTATAATACACTTACTTACTTCTACTATTAACAAAGTGCTAATTCATAGCCGAAGAGCCTCCTTACACTTCGGACAGGATCTGGTATGTACGACGTCGCCGTTGGGCCACCGAATTCTCTAGGCACAAGAGGCAGGGTATACGGTACAGTCATCATGTAGGGTCATCATTGGTGGAAGCTGTAAAATAAGTTCTGCCTAGCCAAATATAATGAATAAAGTACAAGGTAAAATATCCAGGGAAGCGTTATGTTCCTCTAATAGCTTTACTATCTAGTACTTTACCCACAGCCGTGAAGTATAGCTCCCCAAATCTTTAGTTATATACAGGCAGCGGTTCCGATTTAACTGTCAAAATACTCTATCATCGCCTCAACCGATAGCCTAGACTTTGTTCAGGTACTTAGTCTGCCAATGGCTAATTTCTTTTCTATAGAGACGCTTGGAACTGGCCTCCATATCCTGTATACAGAGGTTGTTCTCGAACCCTAATCAGACGATACATCAAGATTGCTGGCCAAGTTGACCAGGATCCGGCAAGGGTTGTAAGAGCAGATACTTAAACTGCCGCATATGCGATGTTGATGCAATGTTAGGGTTATAGTCGAGCCCCTTTTGCACGCCACAGGTCAACTCAGAGATCCTAAGAACCATCTTTCTTATTAGCATCAGGTAAAACCTTTTCGCGTTCACTCGGTTGTTACTAAAGCGACTACATGTCTAAATCTGTTCTTTGAAACCAAATCTTCTCGCCGTTCATTTCCGGCTCCAAGTCTATTCCCACCTCGCTCACTGAGCCATTTACACCAATTCGAAACTCCGCTCGCACCCTTTCATGATCGCGAGGGTCCTGGTTTCCCTCCCTCAGCGACGCCAACCAGAACTCCCCACTTACATGCTCCATCACTATCACAATCGGCACCTCACACGTCAGTCGATCCGCAACGAGGCCGAAACCATCTATATCCACCCTGAGCTCCAGCCTACCATACCCCGGATGCTCGTACAGGCCCGCATACTCCCACACTCCGAGCGTAGGCGGTATTTGTACGACAGGCAACCCAGGGTATAAAAGGTCCTTCGCATGTGCCTGCTTCTCCCTCCATGTGGCAATTCGCTCTGAAATCTGCCGTTGCCAGTCCACTCGATCATTCCATGGGGTTCCCAGCACCTCATCCAGTAGATGCATGTACAGCACCACCTGCACGATATTGCTCGTCAGGGTAGTATTCCCTGCCATGACCAAGCCCCACTGCCGTCGTGGAAGATACATCATTGTGGATCCATAACCAGCAACACTACCGTCGTGCCAGATGATATCCTCACCATGGTAGGTATCCCGTGTCCAGCCAAGTGCATACAAATGCGTACCGGGGAACAAATTGGTCGGGTCCTCAGCAATAATCGTACGTGGTTGTATGAGCGCTGCATGTGCATTTTCGCTCAGGGGCCCGCTGCATGTCATCATACATTGAATCCACCGCGCATAGTCGACGACACTACTAATCATGGCGCCAGCGCCAGATCCGCCGATGATGTCGGGGCATGGTTCGGGGGTATATTCGCTTTTGTCCGCGTTCCAGGCGTAACCCTGTGCTAGGATATTGTCGCCAGCCTGCGCATCATCACGCGTCCAGTATGTGCTGGTCATGTGGAGGGGTGTCCACACGCGACGAAGCAGGAATGCCCCGAGGTTCTCCCCCGTGAGGGTCTCAATAGCATGGGAGACTGCCGTGTACATGAGATTGTTATACATGTATTTTGTGCGCAGCTCCGCTGTAGCTGGGAGATGTCGCAAGATGCGGACTGCGTCTTTGATGCTGCGGGGCGATGCTCCCGCTCCCCCGTAGTGGCGGATATGATCTGGTATACCTGAGCGGTGGGAAAGAGCGTCTTCGATGGTGATCTGTACCGTGGAGTACTCGTCCTCAAGCACAAAATTATCGGGGATAATAGATGCTAGGGGCGTCCTCCAGTGGATTTGGCCTGTTGTGGTGGCCGTTCTAGTGCTATTCTCTCCGTGGTGGTTATTGCTGTCATTGATAACCAGGGACATGGCGGCCGCGGTGAAGGCTTTGGTCGTACTGGCCATATAAAATAGGGTATCAGGGGTCGTTCTGGTGTCAGGAAACTCGGCGATTCCGTATCCCTGCAGATGAGTTCAGACAAATGTTCAGTAGCAGTGAGGAAGGGGCATAGACTTTAGAGAAGGTCTTAGATCCATCAATGACTGCGACGGACATGCCAGGGACGTGCCATTTTTTTAAGAGGGCGTGAACCAGCGCGTCAAATTCGGGGGTCAGAGGAGAGTGCATCATTGCGAATCAGGTTGCGAAAGGATTATGCTTCTCTCGAAGGTGAAGGTGGGGTTCAGCCTTGGGAAGATTACCCTAGGGCGAACCATCCTTGCTAGTGTGGGATGAGATTCACCGGAAGCTAAATATCTCCGTGCCATTGCTTGAATATTACATTCTCGGACACAAGGTAGCCTTCAAAGGAACACTTCGTATACGCCGTTCTGGGACCTTAAGGTGCCTGAGACTTGAGGTATTACGTCTTATTGGCTCACTGGATAAGCAACCTTAGCATTTATGTTATCACATGAAGTTCCTTTACCAACACCAGTTGAAGACTTGCGAGACACACATGGTCACTTAGGATGTGCCCAATCCAGGCGGCTAATTACATTGTCCCCCAATGGTCGAAAGAGGCTAGAGTTGGCAACCTGTTACGGGCTAACGAGACACATTTATTCACGTCACCTCACCCCTGCGATCTGGAGAGGAACGACCGTGCTCTCAATCGTAAGACTACAACACATCCTATTGCCCCTCGCTGCCAGCAAAATTTGTCTCAATATACTAATATAGGGTTATCTTCTATATACCCAAGCTACCGCCATGCTTTTTCCAACGTCTCATGGAGATGATTATCCATAGGGGCTTCCGGCCGGCAGCCCTAATCAGCACAACATGATACATAGTCGGATCTTCCGGCCGCGAAGGAGCCGTACAATGGAGTGTTATTAGGGCTTAGATGGCTTAGATAGTTAGTGATAATGACATTAAGTATTTATTATTTTAAGCCACACCGGTCCACTACGAGCTTATAGATCCAGAATAACCCCTTCTATTATTAAAGATATAAAAATTAAAACATAATAATTTTAGTAATTTGCAAGAAATAGCGCTATAGATTTCGTACATAGTGAGAATTCTCGGGGCCCACATGTTGCGATTTCTGAGAGACTAGAGTCATGAAAGCACTTGAGAAATTTACCATGCCTGGGACATTGGGGCCAGCATTAACTATCACATTTCTCCCAAACAAATAATAGAAATAAACGTATTTAATAATTTAATAGCTATAGAATTACTACTACTTAGCTATGTATTAATTAATTAAATTTAGAATTGATTAGAAAAAAAAAATATAATTTTTAAATAGAGCCACCGGATATGATAGGAGTATTCAACATGGAATAAGTATGCTGTTCATCTTATTGCAAGGATTCGTTTTTCTTGAATCATTCACGGCTCATCCAATCGGCCATCTTCTGTGTCTCATCGTTGGTGTGTCAAAACCAAACAGTTAAAAATGTGTAATGGTATAGTGGGATTCTCAATTCAAGAATGACAACATCCGTCCAGCCTAAGGGATTTAGGCTTTGTCTAAGGATGCAATGGAGCTACTACTCATAAAGAGGTAGCATTCAGCTTTGACTCTTGCATCTCATAATGATTTCCTCAAGCTTGGATAAGGGTGCTGCATGACGCTAAATGGCTTGGTATTGATGCCCGACCAACCAGTCGACCACGCTAAAGCTCTTTTAGTATAGTCTGCCGCTCCTCCCAGCCTTTCATTGGTTATTCCTTTTGTAGAGTGAACAACCTCAGCTGAGCCTTCCTTGACTTCCAGCTTGTCAGACTGCCTGAATATTTTATCGGAGGGTTCAACTGTGATAGGTGGATGATCAAAATGTCCCTGGTGGTCTTGGTTCTCATCTAGATCTTTCCCCGTACTATATATTTCGCCAGATTCCCAATTCAACTCACCGCAGAATCAACCCTGGTCCATCTTCTTTGCCTTCAAAAACTTGAAAGCACATCCTGGTAAGTTCTCAAACCCGCACGGCAGATATTCTATGGGAACTAATCATAAATGTAAACAAGATACAGCCTAACATGAAGCTACCGTCGCTCATCAAGATCGCAACCCTTGCAGGCCTCGCCTGCAACTCCCTCTCCGTTAGCGCGCTGAAGGTTGGAGAAATTGTGGTGTTTAAGGGTTATCAGTGCGACTCCAATGGTCTAGTCCTTCAGCTTGATCAGAGTGCTAATAACCACGTATCCACCATCTCTCAATCGGGCGGAGCTGTCTTGAGATGGCTGAATCCCGGCTGTAAAGTATATTTGTGCTTTGCCGGTTATGGGTGCGGGGATGGTGCATCTGTGGTACAGGAGTTGAAGCCTAATACATGTTTGTTGTCGAAGGCGGGGGATGCCTGGAGAGTGTGGGATAAGTTGCTTTTTATTTGCGACTAGGCTGGGGGAGTAATGCAATTCATTCCATGTATATGGACATTAATGACAACTTGTGTATCTCAACAACCCATCCCGAAGGTCATCAACGAAAGACTGACTCATTTTCCTACCATTATGGTGTCCCACCTATGACCCCTTTCCGCTGTACTTCACTAGCTCATGTCGTAGAGCATATTTCTCGTTCTGATCCGTGATTATAGTATAAGGTCATCCAACTGCTGACGAGGGCGACAAGAAATCAGAATATTGAGTATCGGCCCCTAAAAGAGGAGTCGAAACCTCGCCAGGATGGAAGAGCCTGACACTGCACGTTTTCTGTTTCGATGATCGGATCACTACAAGACGGGACAATGCATCGATAGAAACAAGTTGCGTAATGGCGAGAACGGGACGTTCGCTACGAACCCCTTGGTGAGTGAAGAGGCGTGGGCTGGAGGGTATAGCTCCGAGAGAACTATAGAAAGGCTTTGGGGCAAAAATGGAAGCACAGGTAGAAATCATGGGATATCCACTCCTAGACCTGTGCCTTTCTCGTCACAGGGTTACATAAGTCTAAAGCCAGACCCCTCGAGCTGACTGATGCGAGTGGGCAAAGTCCTTTCCCCGATTGGGTTGTTCTCAGAAATGGTGGAAGCGATTATGAAGGGAACCGACTGCTACAGGATGGGAATAAGCAAGCGAGAAAGCACCAACAGAAGCTTATCAAAGAGCATCGTTGGAATGATCAGACACGACTCCGTGCCATGTATATCCCTGATTTCTTTTAACCCAGTAAGGCACCTGTGCCACCGAGTCGAACGGCAGGTACAATTTAAGGTACTATAAAAGAGTCACGTACTTAGTAATAGGAGTACTAAATCAATCCCCTGCCTTTTAAAACCAAAGATCCTTGATTAAGCTGTGTAAGAATAGCTCTGTTGAAATATTCCTATGTACTCAGGCGATCCTAGGTCTTGGAGATATTATAAAGCTACACCCCGCTTAAGTGACATTTACAACACAACATCATTCACATCTCCCTCCTTTACCTTACAAACTAGCCAGTTGAAGTAAGTCAAAAGTCACAGAGGAGTATTCCATAATAAAATATATACTTCTTCTCTGTTGGGTCGGGACTCGGGTTAGGTTACTAACTCCATCCTATCCCTCTCCTCACATCCCTTTCTCCATGAATCATTTTCCTGACTCGTACTTCCATAGTACATATAATAAAATAACTCATTCTGCTCAGGATGAATCTTTTGATATATTCTCTAATGGGGATGCTTTGTATCAATCAATCAATCAATCAATTAGAGTTTTATTAACTTGATACTATATCTTCAAGACCACCCGACGTTGAACTCGTAGCCACAAGTAACATTCACGATTAATCTAGGACGCATGTTATCAACATACCTTCCCATCCCTATACTAAAGCTAAAGCTCAAATAAAAGTACTTCCTGCTCGCAGAGTTAACGCGACATGCCATATCGAATATTGGGTACTATTTTCTTGTTCGGAAACCGGGACGGACTCCATATTGAAAGGCGCTATTAGACTAGCAACTATAGCAGAAAATGTTATGAGAACATTTATGATTCTACGTTTTTGCACATAGAACAAAGTCTGTGTTGATTGATAGGAAATAAATAGTTCAATTAAAAATCTTTTCCAACGCTACCTTTACTATCATTCTCGTTTCAATTCAAGTCTGGAAATTGAACACCGACTATGCAAGGCCATGGCATCTATCAGATATTTCAGTTCTGTAATGGTGAGCATTAAATAGTGAGTAAATCAATGTGGATATTTCGGAGCTCACCTTGTTTTGAGGGTCGAAAAGGCTACTAAACTTTTCAATCTCTCGGTGGGACCTGACACTGACGCTTGGCTGAACCTTTCGAAGTGCCCCTACAAAATGATTGACACCCAGCCGAAGCTTAACGGAAGCCTCAGTGCCATCCTCATTGACGGATCGAGATTTCGCTTGTTCAATGGCAAAGTCCAGCGCAGCTTGTCCACAAAGCGAGCGCAGATCAGAGCCTGTGTATCCTTCTGTTTGGTGGGCAAGCGCCTTGACACTAACCAATGAATCTAGATCATCCTCTTTCAAGAAGATCTTTAGAATCTTCTCTCTTTCCTCCAAACCAGGCATTCCAAACATTACTTTGTAAGGTAGACGCCGGAGGAATGCCTCGTCAAGATCCATTGGGTGGTTGGTAGCCCCGATAACGAATGGAGCGTCTTTATTATTGGAGAGCCCGTCCATTTCTTGGAGGAATTGAGTGAGACTCTCTCGTCTCCAGCTTTGATCGCAAGAAGAGCGACGGTAGAGTAAGGCATCCACTTCATCAATAAATAGGATGCATGGTGACAGCTTTCGTGCTAGAGAAAACGCTGCGCTGATATTCTTCTCTGTCTGGCCGACCCATTTACTTTCAATATCTGATGCTGTGATGACGATCATGGAAGAGCTGGAGTCGCTTGCCATTGCTCGAACCAGCTGGGTCTTTCCTGTCCCTGGCGGACCGTACAACAATGCCCCTTTGACGTTCACACTGTCCACAAGAGCTTGGGAGGCACCTTCAAGATGGACTTGCGACAGGCGGACCAGGTATTTCATTGTGTCTTTGACGCTATCTTCGACGACAACATCATCATACGTCACTTTCTGCTTTTCTGTTTCATTTGTTGGCTTTCAAAATATTAGTTTCTTGAGAGAAGAATGCTTACCCGTATCGATAACCTTGGTAAAAAGATTTTGCTCGTATTTATTGCATGAGCCACGGATCTCTTCAAGGCGATCCGAGATGCTGCGGTGCGGCTTGTCTTCCTCAGGTGACTCGGGTGACTGATGATCTTCATTCGCCAACCGAATCCCTCGCGCCACTATATCCCGGATATCTTGTATTTCCAACATACCTTTGGTCATGAATGAACCTGCAATCTGGTTTGCAGTCCGGGCGAGATCAGGCAATTGGGAATTTATTGGTGTATCGGAAAGGTCGAAATCTAAGTCGTGCGGAAAGAGGTGTGACCATACTGTATAGTTGCGATTTAGCCGTAGGTGTTGTTTGACTGTTATATTCCGCTGTTGAATAGTATGTCGCTTCCTCTCCTCTTCAAAGGGTGCCTCGTACTTGGACAACATTGGAGTGTCAAGGTTGAATTGAACAGCAGACACGTTGCTGGTAAGCAGTTTGCTGTTCATGATTACCGTTTGTTGTTCCACCACAGTAGTAATAATCAGGACCGGCACCTGCTTTTGCCGATACTCTTGGACGACTTCTCGAAGATTCTTCAGTATCTTTGTTCCATTATTCGCTGTCCGAATCGACCGGGCACCGCGAAGGTGTATTATGACTGGAGGCCTGTTTGTTGTAAGGGAACTAGACATACTCTGGGCTTTTGTCCAGGCAGCTTCAATAATACTCTGGATGGATCGCTTCGTACGGTGAAAGACCCCTCTTTCTGCATGACTTTCGCATCGTGAAGCAAAAAAGATGTCCATGATTTCGTCCAAGTCGGGCTTTCCCTTCAGGTCATTAAGCCGGCTTATCGTCTCTTCGTCGTCTTCCAGGTCTGGGGATTTGGTGTTCTGATTTTCAGCACTTTCCTGTGCGTGGTTCTGTTCTTCATTCGACTTGCCACTCGCTTCTTCGTGCTTGTCTTCCTGCTTGTCTTCCTGTTTGTGCTCCTCGTTCCGCTCCACAGACTGTTTATCTGCCAATTCCCCCTTTTCTCCAGTGTCATCGATACCACAAATCTCAATCGGGGCAGATTTCGTATTCTCCTCATCCAAAGCATGCACACCAGGGTCATCACAAGTAGAACTGGGTGGCGTTGGACAGCCCTGGGAATCATCAACCTCCCCTAAGCTCGAAGTTCCATCCTCTCCATTTGAAGTTTCACTGTCTGTACCCGTCTTTTGTGACTCGCGAATGGCCGTATCCTGAATGAAGAAGTCGCATGCAAGGTTTCGGAGATCCCCAATGTCCAAATTGACTAACGTCACATTAAGCTCTCCGGCCAAGTGCGTGAGGATCGCTGTTCCGTAAACCAGCGATCTGGCTTGGAGAATCAAGCTAGGCTCATCTGGATCCAACACGAGTGTCGCTGGTGAATTTTCATATTTGTTGAGTATAGTACCGGCAACCATGTCTCGGAAATCCGCATAGAGATCCTCATGAAGTTCGTACTTTTCGGGGTCTTCCTGTGACTCGATTGTGGGTGATGGGGTCTTGACGATGGCGATTTTCGATTTCCCCTGCTCGGTCGGCGTTTTGATATGGTCTTTGACAAACCAGTCGGGGACATTGTAGGTCGATTTGACCTGTGTTTCTTTGGTAAATGTTAGACAATGTATATAGACAAAATCATAGATTATAGGTGGATAGATTTTACCGTTGCTCGTATCAGTCATGTTTCCAGACGGCTCGAATAGTTTCCGATAATCAAGATGATACCATAATTCGGATGAACATTGCTGATATTTATATACAAGCTGGATTTATTATGACTCTCTTTGATCAGTATTTAATATTGTTTGTCTGTACAGGTCCAGGCAACAACACCTCCAAGATGTCCCCGTCTAGCCACACCGCATCTGCTGCCTATTGCTGTCCCCAAAGAATGTGTTGTCTCTGCAGGAGATGTGGGGCTTTTTGCACGTAAGGACGAAACTCGAACGGTCTATTGGATAAGTGATTTTCAAATACCGGAAGGAGGGGAGGGATCGCCCATGATGCATGTAAGATCAACTACGAAGAATACTAGTTATGTCAATTGCAGATTGGAGCCTCATACCAACGATATTGCATAGGATTACACATTGGGTAGGTCGTTTCTTGCCCTTTTAAGCTGCTTTATACTTGTTGATGGCCGATCAACTGTCATGAGAGAGATTCCCTGATCGAAAATGTAGGCATCCAAGGGTCTGCCTAGGCAACCACGTGACCACCGCACATAACAATCGTTTCTTGATACGCAAGTCTTCCATAGTGACTTTGCGGCACAGCTAGAGAAGAAGAGAGTAGGGGAATTTTCTTGCCCCGCTACTACTATGGAAGACTTGCATACAAAGAAACGATTGTTATTATGCGGTGATCACGTGGTTGCCTAGGCAGATCCTTTGAATGCCTAATATGGAATTGGGCCAAATAAATCCCGACGAAGCCAGGGACAGCTGTAGCTTATTATAATGACTGTTATTCGAAAAGCCAAATACAAGCCGCCATAACAACATTTTCCCTCTCATGGCAGTTGGCAATGTATCCACAAAACATCTACTGTTTAGACTGGTCCTTAATAACTATTTGTATATAGACAGCGATGGCCTTTTCCTAGACTTTTATCATATACGGAGGCCTATAGCGGCCACTCCGCAACAACGGCTCTCCTCACAAGTCCAACTACCGCCTAGTAATATATTGTATCGCCATCTCTCTCAACATAGAATATTATATAAGATGGGCATCAAAAATATATAGTATGTATATAATCCTTTATAAATTACACATAAAAGCATAGCTTCTAGTAATATATAAGTAGAAATTCTTAAGAGAAAAATGTAAGTGTAATACAGATGTACTGTATATATAGTGAATCTGAAGAAAATTCCTGTTGACTTACCGCCTTTTTACTAAGCTTACTTTAGGGGCCGTAATATATAAAGTTTAGGGGCTACAATACCTAGACTTAGGGGCCAGAGTACGTAGATTCTAGGGGCCATAGTGCCTGGATTCGGAGGCTACACAGTATTCAAAATTAACTGTAGGTCTACGTCTAGCAATACAGCCCATTACACATGTAATATAGAGCCATTTCCCAGTAATTTTTAGTTCTAAAAGGTAGGCTTTATAGAGGAATGTATAAAATATATGAATATCTTAGTATTTGTACTAGTTTCTTAGGTATAAGTACGGAAATACTAAATACTCAGGGTTATCATGGGAATTCTGCTGGCAGAAATCGATAAGAATCCGTTATTGCGGAGTGGCCGCTATTGGCCTCCGTAATCATATCCTATTTAAACTCAATATAACGGGTTAGACTGTTCGCAGATGGAGTATTAGAAATTATTGTTGACAAAGAGTCCTTTGTTCTTAACAAAGAAACAGCTAATATCCTTCAACAAACAATTTTCAGTCTCGAAATAGAAGAAATAGATAAGAACAAAAGAAAAGTTGAAACTCATGCAAATAATGTAAAACCTCCAGCCCAATGCCTTGCCACTCAATCATGCAAATTATAGTTCATTGCGTTGTGGCGGTTCCCATTGTTTAATATCACTTGGGCAAATGTTTGGTATTGATCCTGTGCATAGGCCGCACAGATAACTTCCACATGAAATAGGAGGAATGTTGCTAAACATTTCATGGCATATCATAATGGGCCCTATACACTGAGCACATGTCATCCTCGGTATACAACATGGCTTTTCAGGTATATTTGGGCCACACCGCATGCATTGTTGTTTTCGGCCAGTCCAACAGGGAGCACCACCACCAGAGTTGCTATATCGACCGGTGCCAGTCGACCCGGAAGGGCAGTTTGCATTGCAAAAAGGTGCAGTGCCTTCCCAGAAGCATTCGCAGCCTGCCAAGGCTCTTCCAATGAATGCTAATCCTAGTATGATAATCTGAGGAATATAGAACGCTTTCATGATAAAGATTATTGGCGTATTATGGTTGAAGAACTCTTTCGACGCAGGCTTTGGAGTAATACACGAGGGTGGATTCGACCAAATATATTGAATTTTCCGGGGCGCTACACAATCATTAGTATGGTTCCTGTTATTTAGACTAAGCCTGTACTTCCTATTATCAGCTTCCATTCAGCTCTAGGCTCTCAAATACTTGTAGGTCCTGCCGTCATAAAATTCAATATCCGAAGAAAGCAATATATCAATGACGACAGCAAAAACTGAATTCTGCTATTGCCATTGGATATGAAACCCTGGGTGATTCACAGATTCATCTCGAACAGTGATTATCTATTGCAAAACTCGGCTTGTGAGTATAGAGAAAGGTTATATGTGGTCACTACCACTCATGCATTTAAATGCATTCTACTGCATAAGCCTGAAAATAGCCCATACGCTGTTGTGGGTGGCTGCAATAATAAAACTCTAATTCTCTGAATGAGCGATACAATCACCCAACCCATGGTTCTTAGTTTTCGGTACGAACAGTTTATATAAATGACACACGTAAGCTTTCACATAACCTCTCACATTGTCGGGTTGGGTGATATTTGAATATCCACCAAAGTCGATGACCTGCGGGTAGACTCTGCCGCCGCACCCACCGCTGAACTGTTGTATTAAAAGGTCTAGACCACACTAGACCCAGCAGAAAGCGACCACCGAGATCATTATGAAAGGCCCGAAAGGTTAACAATAAAAAAAAAAAAGAGAAAGAAAGAAAGAAAGAAAGAAAGAAAAAAAGAAAGGAAAAGAAAAGAAAAGAATGACCAACTAGATAAGGAAAAACGTCAGCTTCAGGTTTGGAGTTTCTTAAATATGATATCAAGGTCCTCAATAGTCACATAGTGGCCTGCCATAAACAGACACAAACTTCATACTGAGACGGTGTTCAAATACGTTGGTGACAACGGAAGCGCAAGTTAGAATGGAACACGGATAGTGTAAAGGCCACAGCTAAACTTTAATGCATAAGGAAATATTCTCTAAATTCTAATTGGAAACTTGCATTTCTCCACTGAAAAACTTTGTATCAGCTGCCTACAAAGGTCAGTCACGATACAGGTCTGCTCGATAGGAGTCTGGAGCCGAATTTCATCGGCTGCCCAATGTTGGCAATAGAAATCCAATGAAATGGTGTGGTGACTACAACTGTGGTTCTAGGGAACTGCAGTCTCGTATGTCCGATCCCGGCTGATATTGGTAGCATCCTTAAACAGGCTAAGCATCATCCCACTGGAATAGGGTAAAAGGTATGGTCGCGCTTGTGCGAAATCCACTTCATGTTGCATCTTCTTCACCGAGTGACCCATTAGGCTTTACTCCCATACTCAGTAAGGTCTATGTCGAAACTCTCCAGATTCCAAGCACTCACTGATCACACTGCAGACGATGATGGAGAAAATTTCGACGGCCCTATATCCTTCTCAGCTATAGGCATCAATTGTATGAGCGTCCGGCTTTCCGAGGGATAAATATGTACACACTACCTTACTCTCCACCGTCCTTGTTAATTGATTTATTGGCACTACTCTAGGACACCCTATCACTCATGTAGTAACCATCAATAGGAATAGAAATTTCGATAACAGGGAATGCAGAAAAAGACTAGATATTTCTGAGCTTGATATATCTATAGCTGTTACAGTTTGTTCGTTCGCCCAATAGCATCCCTGATAGAAAGACCATAATTTGGAGGCAGTAGAGGGTCTATCCCAGCCGTATTGATGTAAACTGGACTTGCATCCTGCATCAAATCTGTCATGCCAACCAATTGGGTGGCTGTTTCAATTTCCTCTTTGATCACTGGTATGGGGTTAGCTCGTCGATCTAATTGATATGAAGATAACACGGTACTCACAGCTCGCAGCATGTTCAATTCCCTCTTGACCGTAATTCAGAGCAAAGGCAAATGGTCTTCCCAGACCTACCGCCGATGCCCCTAAGCAGATGGCCTTCACGATATCTGAGCCACGGCGGAAACCGCCATCGACAAGGACCTTCATTTTGCCAAATACCTCAGGACAGTAGCGATGGATTTCCAGTAGAATAAGAATAGACGGTGGTGCAGTATCAGCACCTCGACCGCCGTGGTTGCTGATGACGATTCCATCAAATCCGACTCGCATCGCGATCTGAGCGTCCTCTGCACGTTGAACACCCTTGAGTACAATAGGAAGGTTAGAGATACTCCGCAGCCAGCGCAGGTCCTCCCAGTTCAGAGTCGAATCGATGAAAGAACTGTTGGATTTAGCAAGACCGGCATTCTTTTTGCCAGTGGGCTTAATATCCTTCGTCACGTTGATCATGGTGGTACTCCCCTCAGGTTTGATTCGTTCATCCGCCTCGCGTTTTGACATGACTGGTAGATCTGCAGTCACAAAGAGGGCCTTCACTTTCCCTGTTCTTTCCGCTTGTCGCACCAGACCTTCTGTTTTGGAGCGATCTTTGTTTATGTACAACTGGTAAAATGCCTGTTGAGGCGTTTTCTCGAGGATTTCTGCCAGAGAGTATGACGACATGGTAGAAATGCAGTGTATAATCCCCGACACAGCAGCCGCTCTGGCAAGAGGTAGCTCTCCTTCCTGGTGGCTCGTTTTGGCTGCACCAACGGGCGAGATGTATACCGGGATGTCGAGATGGCATCCAAAAAGCGTCGACTGCGTTTTGACTGCGGATACATCCCGCATGATCGCCGGTCGTAGCCAGATGTTCCGAAATAATTCCCGGTTGGCATCTCGTGTAAAGCAGTCATTAGCCGCACCGCTGTTGTACGCCCATGACTTGGGACTGAACGTCTTCCTCGCGACCTGCTCGAAATCATCCAGGTTGAGGATCTCTTCAAGGGGTGGTTTCCGATCATCTTCCGAGTCGGACCTTGCCGATTTGGGCATTTCGTCCGCTTGGCTCCATTCTTTGGTCAGAGTTGCTGTATCCAGATCCCCAATGATCCGGTCATCAATATCCTTGATCAATGCGGGGGAGTGAGTGCTATTGTATTTTTCGGACGCATCCCGACCAGCAAAATGGTAAATGACTAGTTCAATCAGTTTCGCATCTAGAATAAATCATATCTTAAGAGAGCTTCTTACCGTCTGCACCACCAGGATGCTCTGGTGCGAAGGTAGTTACATCGTAGACCTTGCCATTCACCACAATCCAGATATCATCCGCTTGGGCATGTTGGGTTATTTCTCGCGTTGACACCTTCCTCGTCATGATGCTTATGGGTCACAAGTACGACTTTCCTTGGCTCCAGACTGTGCATTCAATTAACAATTCCTGGCGTGATTATAAGCGGTCAAAGCCCCTCGGAATGAGGGGACAACAATTGCCGCGGGTAAACGCCTGTAGGTGGAATTATTTCCGGCCGCCATGTCCAGGGTGGTGGCCACGTAAATATTCATATCCATATGGTCATTAACAAAGCAACCGATGGGATTTACATGCCGCTTTCAATCCGCTAGAGGAGTATACATATGATCACTAACATTCATAACGCTTTGTCACGCATTACACAATACTCAGCCTTGGAATCCCAGAGGCTAACCGTTGGGACATGGCTGACAACGGGTTGATCAACCATCGTACTCATGGTATGCTCGACCGACCGATCGTTAAACTCGTAGTAGGTATGTTCTTCATATATAGTTTCAAGGTCGAAATATGGCCCACTCATAAGTGGTTTGAGGAATGAAAGATGTCGAGTATGGGTGACAGATTCCGACCAATAATTGAATGTCTCCTGAAATGGACTAGCGAAGAGATGCGATTTCACTTTTGTATAGTAGAATTCTGTAAGGGCTTCCAGGTTCTCTGATGAATTTGGCCTTTGACCTGCCCAATGCCGAGGAACTGGCAATCGGCTCACACTTCTCGCAGCTCACCAAGGCCTTGACGGCTTTGGCAAGTGTGCTCTGCGCTCCTCGCTCGAGTGCCTGTACCTGGACTTCGACCACAGTATATCCCTCTTCGGCCCCTTTTCGTCAACGGATCTAGAACACCATCAATGGTTGGCATTGATTCTCTGTACCCGAAACGAAATTCATTAGTCCAGTTCCATAGCCTCTACGATAAAGAGGCCGCAGTATTGAAATTCCCCGCTCAAGTACCGTATGGTTTGCAGTCGGGAGAGGTGGAGGAGGCTTTGTGATGTCGTTAAACATGGTTGCTACTTTTGTTGGATCACTCACTAGAATACTCTCGTTGAAGGGTTCGACTATCCGCGACAGTTCCGCCCGAAGCATTAAATATATTGTTCGTGCGCCATTCGGAACCTAAGGCGTATCTACTCCGATGGTAATATACCGTGCTATTCCTACGGAAACCGATCAAGTCATTAAAACAATGTGGACAGTGATATTAAATTTATGAATAACATATATTGGCAGACGAGCGCGAGTATAAACTGGTTTTGGCCAACGCGAATGTCGACTTGGACTAGCAGAAGGCGCGGCATAGGTTTATCCTTTCAGTTGTGGAACTTGTCGCCATCAGACGTCTTGATAGTAATGGTCCCTTAGTCATAGCGAGGCGGAGATGTTGATTGCCTTTCGGTGTTACTAGAATTATGATACCTAGGGATGCTAGCAGCCGAAGGCGATCATTGAGCTCTGACCCAGGGTCTGTAAACTGAAAATATCCTCTCAATTTGTCAGGCTCATTGTGATATCCGATGAAGAAACTGGATTTACGGGCTTTGCTGAACTTGTCCGTGAAAGCGTCTATTGGTGTACCAAAATCGATAGTCCCATGAATGCCCTATTTCACAAATGGTTCGGTTCGCCATTGAAAAGACTAGAGCATGTATGATGTCACGATGGTGAGAAGAGGCAGATATCGCCGCGGATATTGCGGAGCCAGCCTCAACATGATAAGCAGGTACCCACAATCGAGGTAAATACCAGAAGCTCTAGTGCTAGAGGAAGGTCTTTGGCGCTATGGGCTCGTTAAAACTGGATAGATAAACCAACTTCTGTTTCTTTCAGCGTCTCGTTTGGGGTTGTCACACTGGCGTCTAAACGTGCTGTTTCGACACTATCTATTGATTGATCTTGACTTTCCTTTCCCCTTTCAGGAATCCGACACGCCATATTATTCCTTATTCTACTTATCTCGAAGCGACGATGCCTCTTGTGAGGATAGACCTAATAAGAGGGGTAAGGTCTCCCGATGAGATAAGAAAGCTGGCCAATGTGATTCAAGAAGTTATGCGGAAGCACTTCAACGCACCGGAACGGGATCGCTACCAAGTAAGTATCATATGTGCAAGTGGTAGCCACACCATGTTCTAATAATATCTGGTCTTGAGATTATCACCCAACACGAGCCCTATGAGTTGATCTGCGAGGACACGAACCTGGGAATGGAGAGAAGCAACAACTTGGTCATCATCCAGATCCTGCAGCAAGGACGTAGTGCTGAACAGAAGCTAGCTGTCTATCAAGCACTTCATGAGCGACTATCTGAGTTATGTGGACTTCCTGGAGAGGATCTTATCATAAGCTGTGCCGAAAATACAAAGGCGGATTGGAGCTTTGGGATGGGAGAAGCACAATTTTTGGCCGGTACATTATAGGCCGATGTCAATGACCTCACCAGGCTGTAACCGATACCCTGGGGTTTCCTTTTTGGTTTACCGGACGCAGAATTTCATGTATGACAAAGAGCGTTTTCAGAAAACTAGAAGTCCATCGCTTGATATCAAAACAGCAGCATTGCAAATAGACTACACCAATTTCGGCAGTGCAACAAAATCCACGTGATCGTGCTCTCCCAATCTGGTTAGCCCTAAGATTGTTTGGCCTAAATCAGGCAAAAACCCGGCAGGAACGGTTGAGCATCGGAGAGAGGGATTGCTAGCATATCGTACTTATTGCTCAGACCTCGGGAAAGCATGTCCCGACGACCAAGACATTTCATCTGTACCCCGCAAATGATCTACACACTTCTGTCTTCTCCAGACATTCACTTCACCACCACTATGCGGAAGGAAGTGGGCCCCCGACGACTTCTCTCCGGTGGAGGCGAGCGCTTGCAGAGCTTGTACGGAAACACCTGGAGTCCAGGGCCCATTCTGTTTTTGAGATGTTCTGCCGAGGCTGTGAGAGTAAACAGGCTGGTAAATAACAAACCGATAGATATAATGTAGCAAACCTCCCCATGGGCGGCATATCTGGTGTTGTTGTATTATCCTTCAGGTGAAGTCACAACAGGGTCCAACATCTCCTAGAATGACACTCCTTCACCTTGCTGCCGGCCTTCTGGCCGTTGTTGCTCCGACATCAGCTTTGACCTTTGAGGTACCAGCATCAGCACCGACAAATGCAAGCGCTCAGCTGGTTGCGGCACCAGTGGGCCTCTCGTTAGTATCACTGAAACCTTCCTTGGGTGTAGATACTGAATACGCAGTCTTGAATTTTTCACATTTCCAGCTTATATGAGCGACGTCGATGCAACCAAAACCTGTCTTCAGAATCTCAAGGAACTGACAGGGACATGGCCACCACTACGAATTGGCGGCACCACGCAGTGCGCTTCTTCATCTTCGAGACCATCTGCCTTATCAGTGCTAATCCCACTTCAGAGACCGTGCGACATATGATGCGTCTTCCAGCAGCGCAGTCACCTATACAGTATCCGATCCAGCAGATGCACCTTCATCACTTACATTCGGCCCGCCATTCATAGCCCTGGCTGCGGACTACGATGGTCAGGTTATCATAGGTCTTAATCGCCGTCTGAACAATCAGTCCAACACGATCGCTGCAGCCACTCTAGCCAAAGATACAATAGAGAACCTCTATGCCATAGAGCTTGGAAATGAACCAAATTGTATGTTTTCCATGCGCATCATTATGTTTGGGAGCCTGCTAATATGAAGCGCATTCAGTCTTTTCCGATAGCGACCCTATTGCAGACGGCGGGTCATGGGATGCTGCAGCCGACTACAAATCGCAAGTAGCTTGGCAGGATGCAGTTTGCCAGAATCTGTCCTCATCAGATCTCATTTCAGCAGGCGTCTATTTTGGCACATCGCCCATGAGTATCTCCGGCTTGTCTTCTGTTGAGGACGAGGCCAACGACCTTGTCAAGGACTACTGCTCGCATAATTATCCCCAGTCACCAAGCACCGCTGATTTGGCCGGCCTGATGAGCCACAGTGGTATTGCATCTCAAATCCAACCCTTTGCCTCTGAAGCTTCAGCGGCTGCTGCCAAAGGCAAAGCTCACATTTTTGGAGAAACTAACTCTGGTAATTGCATTCCGTCGCACGCCTGCTGTTGTTACTGACGGCCTCCGTAGCTACTCAGGGTGGCGGTGGGATTAGCCCGACATACGGTGCTGGTCTTTGGATCCTAGACTACGTGATGCAAACTATTCTTATGGGCACGCAGGTATGTACCTGAGTCATTCGACCCAGTGTCTTAGAAAGTAGCCACTTACGTTCCGACTTGTGCAGGCTCTTTACTTCCACCAGGGCACCATAGGCAACTGTAAGTAACTAGATTCGCCCATTTACGGGACGCAAGCTTACTCTAAAGGTCCGTACTGCTGGTGGGGGCGCTACAATATGGGTGCACCTTATTATGGCGCGTATTTTGCGACGATGGCTCTGGCCAATGCAGACCAGATCGCTCCGCTAGATGACCAGACAACGCCGTACGCAGCATACGCAATTTATCAAGACGGCGCTCCGTCCAGGGTACTATTGTACAACTCAGACTACTACGCCAATGGCACACGCCCGTCGCAGACCTTCACACTAAACGGACTGACATCCTCCAGTGTCACCGCAAAGCGGCTAACAGCGCCCGACTCTACCTCCAGAGTTGATCAGGGCCAGGTTCCTACCGTTGCCGGTCAAACCTTTGCAAACGAAACATGTGTTATCCAGGGTGACGAAGTCATAGAAACAAGCACCGTGTCTTCCGGTTCAGCCACATTTACGCTCAGCGCCTCAGAAGCTTTGCTAGTCTATCTCTAGGAAGCAATGGTCTTGGGTCTATGCTTTTGTGCATAATATGGTAGCTAGGCGTGATGACAAAACAGGAAGTAACCAAGTAGTACTCATCTTGTATATCTGCAATGATTTCAATCAGTCAATCACTTCGAAGTCTATTAAGCTGTTAGAGCCTAATGATTGAAACGTCTAGCTATATAGGCGCCTCCCCGATGAAACAGAATCTTCATTCAGAAACGCCATCTACAAATCCTTCAATCCTATGCATAGGAGATATTGAAATGAACGAAAAGCCTTTTAGAATATAACACAAGTGTCTGCCACAGGACCTTTCTCCCCTACTACCACCATCTATCTGTGGGTTGTCCCTTTCCTCTGTTTACCTTATACTTCTATGTAGTTAGAAAGCCCCGGCCTAGGACGAACCTCCTTTTCTCTTGTAACCTTTTAATAATTTGTTCCGGGGACTGGGTCAACTCCGCTTCGCGGAATTAACCGAGTAGACCTGTCTTATACTTGCACTCAGCAATGTCGCAGATTGCCTACAGGTATCATATAACAATATCGTAGCCTACGGTTTTACCAAATAGCCCCTAATCCCAGCAATCTTATCTAAAATGGCCCTGTGTAGATCAATGTACAGTGGGCACTGCTAAAGAATGCGCCTTGGCGTTCGGAGCCCTCCTCCCAGGAAAATCGATCTGACTCAGCGACTTTGATTTTAAATAAGAAATGGCGATGTCCTATTCAGTGCAAGCGCATCTGAATAACGATCGCTGTGTGCGGTTTGGAAAGGCCCTTCCAAAGCTCTAGGAACATCCTATCTATAAGGATTTATCAGCTTTCTGAGCTAATGGCAATTATCTTTCTACTTTGTTGATGGCGTGCGCTATTTTAACCGCTCATTAATCGATCTTCGGGTTCCAAAGGGAAAAGATGGCCTTGTGGTGTCGATCAGCCAATGTGAGCCTACACTCGGGATGCGATATCCCGAGGTCAGAAGCATTGGCGCAATTAAACAGTCCACCTCCACCGGAGCTTGTAATCCTTCCATAACCTAAATCAACAGCCGTAAGCCGAGCCTGCCCAGTCAATAGCCGATCGTGTGTTAAAGCTTGACGTAGGTTAACAGAGCTTCTGTCTGGGGTATTTTCTGGAGTCTCCGCATGGATCCACTATCAACACTAATGTACATTTGAGTCTATATACAAAAGCTTTTTGGCAGAAATAATATCCTCTGCTAGTCTAGAAGACTAAGGCCACGAATTGTACCATCTAAAGCTTACCATGGCCACCCACCACGCCTCACAGGACAGCTTGCAAGCCGTCACTCGAGACGAGCCAAGCATTAGCAAACATGAGGAGCTCGAACAGCCAACTGCAGAGGAGAATGAACATTGTGCAATAGGCAAGGGAGGTGCGCCAGTGATGCGGTCAAAGGAGGACGACCTTTCTATATGGCAGACGGTGAGACGATATAAACTCGTCTCAATCATGGCAATGGCTGCGGCGTTCAGTGCCGCATTAGATGGTTACCGTATGGCTCTGTTATCCTAACCTTGCATTCAAGATTCGCGGAAGTCAAGCTAATAGGACATTTACACTATGCTAGAGATCAATCTCAATGGTGGGCTTGTCTCCAATGAGGGATTCATCCGACAGATGGCCAAACCTGGAACAACAGTCATCGAAGGCCAGTATGTCTCCGCTTGGAGTGGCCTTCAGTCTTCTGGTCAGGCGGTTGGCCAAATTGTACGTACACGTACCCGTTGGCTCATGAGAAAACTGCTAACGCCCTCTTCCCTTCTTCTATAAAGCTGCTTCAGTATGTGACGGAATCATACGGCCGAAAAGTGGCATTTTACATCATATGGGTCGTCTTTGTAGTGGTGAGCTATGACTCAATATTCGCTCTTCTTGATTAACCTCCTATCCATTGGCATTCTTCCCATGATGCTAATGCAACTCCTTTTTCTCAGAGCATATTTGTTGAGTCCTTTGCTACCCGATGGGATCACTGGCTTGTGGCGAAGCTCTTCTCTGGCATGGGAGTCGGCATGCTGCAATCGACATTGCCTGTCTATCTATCAGAGATCGCTCCGACCCAGTTAAGAGGATTCTTCATTAATGCGTACAGCTTGTAAGCTCTCTCATCCCAATCTTGGAATCACGGATACTCCTAACCAGAGCATCGCTCAGTTGGTTCGTGGTGGGACAAATATTCGCCTCGGTGGCTCTCAACCAACTTCATGCTAAAAATCCCTTGGACTTTCGAACGCCCATCTATACACAGGTAAAAGCCAGTATCTTTCAGCAAATCGCAGTGATGTACTAAGAACGTTTTCCAGTGGGCTATGGTCGGAGCAACAATTATTATCTTTATAATCATGCCCGAAACCCCGTGGTGGCTTGTTAGTAAAGGAAAGCTTGATAAGGCCTCCAAGATGCTTAGGACATATAACGGCCGCGTTGAGGGTTACGATGTGTCCGAACAAATTGTCTGTGAAATGCAACCCTTTGTGCACCATTTTTACTAACAATCGGTCCGAATTGCAGGATATCATGAGTGCCACAGTCGTAGAGGAGCGCCGGATTGCTGAGCGAGACTCGCAGGAAGGCATGTGGGCTGTGTTCCAGGGCCGCAATTTCATCCGGTTCGTTATTGCTGGATGGCCAAAAATGACCCAGCAGTTTGTCGGGCTGGCAGTGTTCAACACTAATGCTACCTATTTCTGTAAGCTCGCCACATTCATATTGAGCTGTCTCTCCCTTCTGGTGCTCACCCTTTCTTGCAGTTCAATATGCGGGTAATAAAGACCCCTTCCTGGTCACCGTCATCCTGTCCTGTGTCCAACTCCTTTCAATGATCATGACGGCCATGCTCACCGACCAAATTGGTCGTCGACCACTCACCGTCTATCCATACGCGGTCACGACTCTATCAGTGCTATGCCTGGGAATAATCGGCTGCTTTGATTACACTCAGAAGTCTACCAGCTCGCTTTTAGTAAGTCATTCAAATCTATCGTCTGCGCCAAAGGTCCCTGACCAATACCGCAACCACAGGTCTTTTTCGCCTGTCTCGCTACATTCTCGACCACCGGTGCCTCGTCAATTGGTTACGCCTACGCTGCAGAAATTCCCCAGCAACGCCTGCGCGCTCAGACGGCAGGCTTGTCTCTTGCAGCTTCCAATTTGATCGCGCTCATGTTCAGCTTTTGCACGCCCCTGATGATCAACGGACCCCTCACCAAATGGGGCGTCAAGACAGGATTCTTGTGCGTACACAGTTTTCTCATAAATGACACGGTCAGCCACTAACATGAACTTCATAAAATAGCTTCGCGGGAACAGGTACAGTTGCTGTTATCGTCGCATGGTTTATCCTTCCCGAGGTCACACGTCGGACACCTGCCGAGATCGATGAGATGTAAGTAGAAGCGCATTCCAAAGATATTCTTTTCTTTTCTTCCAGTCGTGCTAACTCCTCCGTGTCTTTCTCATAGGTTTGAGAAGAAGGTTAATCTTCGCAAGTTCAAGCATTATGTTACTGACGTTCAGACCCATGCTGCTGAGCAACACGAGATGGAAGCACACACGCGTACAGTATAGAGCTTAATGTGGCCAAAAGAACTGCATCTGTGAAGTGAAACGCATCAGACCATGTACCTGTGGTGGAATCTGTGGTTGACAGTATTGCTTGGCGCCCAACTACTACAAAATTCTTAGAGATAGTCACCGAGAAAAATTGAGCAGACGGATTGTCACATATTTTCACTGGCCTACTGCCACCGTTTGATTTTCTCCTGTTTCCCTGAGGCTTCTGGTAGATTGCAACTGGCGTGGGAGATCATTAGTGGATACCTCCCAACTGTCACGTCGGCGCCCAAAACTAAAGCAATGTTATGGACCCATAAAAGCGGCAGCAGCTAACCTGGTTTTAGTTTAGCCTAGATACTGGTAATAGGGCTTAGGGCTTAGGGCCCGGGCCATCCATGATGCCGCTTTAGTGATACCCTCCGCCTTTATAGATTTCTTTATATCTTGATTTTGATGACCCCAAATACCTACCGTAGTATATGCTAAAATTCCATCTAAAATAGCTAAGATTAGCATATTGCCTGGGGTGTTTTATGTATATTTTGTGGGATTCTTGAAGCCAAGTTACAAAAGTAATTTTAGAAATAGATATCCATACTCATATGGTCCAGAGAATCTCCCAGGCAAATATATATCTTTGTGTCTACTTCACCGACTTAGATACAATACCGGCCGAAACCCACCATTAATTCTCCAAAAATCCCGCAAAAACCATGAAATATGTGGGGGATACTGTAGCCTTTTCAGGCGAATTTAGTAGAAGTTTTACAATTGAATTTGAGATACACTGGGCAATTTGTACAGGAATCACGTGGAGGGCCATCTGTTTACTATTCGGAAGACACGACGCGACTTTTTTCTTGGCAACTCACTCAGCACGAACCCCGCTCAGCAATCCGTCCTCTGTGGAGTATACCCTTCTTTATATTGAATCTCCTGTTGTTCGTCGTGGAGGCCGAGGGATCCAAGCTTCTCATGCACTAGTTTATGACTAACGTGGAAATGGTTCTTTCTCAAGTAGTGATTCGTGTCCTGTCATGTTTGACTCCTTCAACGTTAATGAGATACTGTGGATAAAGACTGCGCCGCGTGTTGAGGGTGCTACTAGCTAGACAGGATCACAGGGCTTAGCCCATCTCGCCGACACTTACACCGTTTCCCAATATTGGACAAATTAACGCGAACGGGCCCAAAGAACGACCAGGAGATCAAAGTATTATCAAATGGCGCCCATGTGGCATGGATCGATCGTGTTGCGTCGCGATAGGGCCCTGTTGAGACTCTCTGATAGTCGCTGAGCTGCGGTCAGAGCCATGTCTGACTTTTTTCCCAGGCACTGGAGTGCCTTTATACAGTGCTCACAACGCTGACACGTTAGCCTGAAAGAGTCTTGCGGCATTTGGTAGCCACATTGTGATATGCCGATTTCTCTGATTAGGATGGTGCCTGCTTTTCTGAAAGAGTGGATAAGGACAGCAGTCCATGGCTCCGTCAAGGATGCGGCTTGATTGACTGAATCGTGAAAATTGCGGAGTTTAGGGTGCGACGAGCCCTGTAGGTCGTAAGAGTATCGAGCGAGGCCTCCAACAGCGAAAGCATTTTCGTGCTTCAAGAGGGAGATGAGGCCAGTGGTACACCGATGTTCGGCTTGGGAGCTTTGCCCAAGTCGCGCTTGATCTATGTCCTCAACAGTATCTGCGAGCAACATCGCCGCAAGATGCCAATGTCCGGCCAGCACTAAATACCATGATTGTATGCGAGACGGGAGTTCTGTATGATGAGAGACACAGTCTAGCATAAATTGCTTGTACGTGGAGTTCCAATACTCGTAGATCAAGAGAGCGCTGTGGATCGCTTCCTCAATAGCCTCCGCCTCACCTCCCCGACATACAAGTGTATTGATATGATTTATACGACGGAATAGGAGAACCTTTACTGGCGCGGCGTCAGATAAGACTTCCGCTGCCTCTTCGTAAGAGCACGGCCAGCGGGCCTGGTTGAGATTGTGGAGCATGTTACGTTTGCGAAGAAAAAAATCGCCCCATACACTTTCTTCACGTTTGCTAACGGAATAGGAGCTAATATCCCATCCATCCAGATCAACGGCGTCCGGAAACGAGCAGAAGCGCGACCGGGAGTGTATGATCTGACTGTCCTCATCAGAAACGACGGTGGGACGTTGATATATGACCGACGTCAACGTATCAAACATGATGCCCAGCCAGAATAGAAGATTGAAAGTGTGTTGGGCTTCAGAGTCCTTCAGCATGAAATCGACCTGGCCTGACGGATGGGTTCTTAGTCCTGTATGGTATACATCACCTTTGGTGTCCTTACAGCATTGCTCGAGCGCTCTGTTGGAACCTTGCCGCCGAAGCTTGATCAATCTAGAACGGAAAGTAAACAGTTGCCGGAGCGCCGTTTCAAGATACATTGGGGCAGGATCATGGTCTAAGAGCTCGTCGAGCTCCATTCCTTCACCGTGCCGGGGACTTTGCGCCAGCGAAAACAACATATTGGCAAAGGCTACGCGAAACGATGGAATTGCTCTCGATTTCTCCAGTGCATGACGCGCTTCATTCCAGAAGGCCTCACGCATGCCACTTTCGCGGTGAGCTGAAGAGGATGGTATTGGGATATGTTCGTCTGCTGAAGGCCCCTCTAACCACTGAGAAGCGAATGCCATGATGGCAGCATGAAGTGTCTGTGTTGCCGTTCTACTCTCCACACTCGTCAAACGTCGACCGGGGATGGATGAACATGCCTGATCTAAGAGGCAAACTCGTCTGTAGATCCTATTCGTGGTGTAAGGACCTGTCTTTGGACCTTTTGCGTCAACGTACCCCCGGTTACTGTAGGGACAATTACGCTCCGTCAACCAACAGCTCAATGCATTTTCCATACTGTCGTTATATATGTGGATTAGGTTGTGCGTCATCATGGAGTGGGCATAATTGTGTGCTAATTGGCTTGAGCCCACACACAGTGTAGTGTTTGCTGGCATAGACCCAGCACGAACTTCGGTTGGCGGAAGACCATGAAGCGAGAGCTCAGAACTGATATCACATGTCTCACATGGCTGGCAGCCGGGTGTACCATTGGATTGCGACGAAGTTATTGAACTGCTCATTGCCCCGAGCTGTGGAGTTTCACCGGTAATGTGCCAATCTTGACCGGCCTCGGCAGAGTCCCATTGGGCACTCATTTGTGGTGTCTGGCTAGGATCGACATGCCCATCCCCATTGAGAATCAAATCGGCGCTCAGAGGAGAGACGACAGCTGCGTCATTGAGGCATTGCCAAGCTAACCAGTCCGCATTTAGTCCCTCGTCCTGTGGCCACAGCAAAAGCGGATCCCTAACAGACATGGGCCATTCGCAATTTTCGACGTTTTGCAGAGGAAGCTCTGTAGGATTGCGCGCAATGGAGGTTTGTTGAGAGGATGGAGCCGAACGATCGTTCTCCTGCCGCGAGCGGGCGATCGCAATATTTCTGGCTCTCTTGCTACGGCCATGCCGGGATCCTGTGTGACTCAGCAGCCAGTTGAAGGTGCATTTTCTTTTGTGTTTTCTGCAATTGGAGCATGAGTGATTGTCTGCCTGTTGAGCAGTGTTGGCATTACTCTCAAGCTCGTCAGCCAGCAGGGCATCACATGCTCTCTTGCCTTTACGACATTGATCACAGCTACGATGCTGACGGCGACGATAAGACATTATTCGAAGCAAAGTGGTATGGTCGATAGGAAGGTAGGGCCGTTCCTGGGAGAATAATGAAGGTAAACATGGATCCGAGAGACACTAAAGCACGGACTTAGCTGGGGAAATGCGGGGGTTTTGCGGGGTATAAATCGGCCCGGGCTTAATGTTAAATTAACAGTTTGTGATTTGCCTCCGCTTGAGGTTATTTTCAGCCTGTTAAATCCTACTGGCTACGCCTTGTTCCTTTGGGGCGGGATGCTACGACAAGGTCTCAAAAAAAAGCCAAATCAGTCATGGATTGATACTATGAAGGTTACAAGAGGTCATGGGATAGGGAAACATCAAGCATTGCCTCCGAATGTCCACACATTTCAGCGTTTGACGATATCAAATCCGGTAAAGTTGGGAAGAACTGCTCGGATCTCCTTGGAATAAGGGTACTCTCCGCCGGCATAGTTGACCTGCTCAAAGACCTTTCCGGGCATGCTACCGCCCATGTAGGTGGACTTGGTAGTAGGGAAGAGTGACTTGTCCGAAAGTTCATTGATCTTGACCTTCCACTCTTGGGCAGCCTTCGCGGTAGGATTGATGTACTTTATGCCTTGACGCTCCATCTGCTTGATGGCATCTGCAATCCACCGCCCTTGGATTTCAACAGTTGTAGGGCCATTGCTCAGCAACGTTGGACCGTGTGGCCCGTACAGATGGAACATATTTGGGTAACCACTGACGGTCATGCCAAGATAGGTGAAGGCACCGGACTTCCATTCCTCTTTGAGACTATTGCCATATATACTGTGCAGTCCCATGCTGGTCATGCCTCCGGTCGTGATGTCAAATCCAGTGGCGATACACACAACGTCGAATTCGTATTCTGTTCCATCTTGCAGCTTGATGGCCTTTTCCGTGAAGTCCGCAATGTGATTGTCTTTGATATTTACCAAATCAACATTGAGCCGGTTAAACTGCTCAAAGTAGTCATATTCCAAGCAAGGGCGCTTCACTCCCCAAGGGTGTGGTGGCTCTGAAGGCGCCAGGAGCTCTTGGTTCTTGGGGTCATTAATGCGCTCACACACCTTCTTCCTCCAGAAATCATAGACGACGCGATTTGCCTTGGCGTCATATAGATAATCCTTATAATTAGCCACCCAGTACCGAAATCCGCCCTCACTCCACAGCTTTTCCAAAAACTGCTCTCGCTCCTCTTCACTATCTTCAAATAGCCCGCGCTCACAAAACGTGTACAGGAACCCCGCAAAACATTTCTCGCGATACCGGAAAAGTTCCGGGTAGAACGCCTTGGTGTCCTCTTGTTCTTTCGCCGTGAGAGGGCGCTTGCGCATGGGCACTGCCAGGTTAGGTGTGCGCTGGAAGACCTTGAGCTCCCCGGCCTCCGGTCCCCAGGCCTGGGTGATTTGCACACCAGAGGCTCCAGTGCCAATGATGGCGCAGCGCTTTCCACGGACGTCTATTTTCTCATCCGGCCAAAACGACGAATGGTGGACAATGCCCTTAAACTTCTCGATGCCCGGCCACTCTGGGATGTAGCGCTTCGCCGCAAAACCGGCAGCGATGATGAAGTATTTCGCGCGTGCTGTCCTTCCATCTGCCGTCCGAATATGCCAGCGGCCTTCCACGGTATGGAAGTGTGCGCTGACGACCACGCTATTGAATGCACAGTCCTTTTTGATGTTGAGGACCTTGTCCACATGATCAAAGTACTTGCGCAGCTCCTCGTAGTTGGGATAATTGGTCGACCACGTCCAATCCTTCCAGGTTTCCGGGATCGACAACTGATACTCGGGCACCTCCGAGTCCACACCTGCGCCGGGATAACAGTTCCATCTCCATGTGCCACCAATGTCATTTCCCGCTTCGAAAATGACGGCTTTGAGCCCGAGCTTTCGAATCTCATACAGAGAATAGATCCCGCCAAACCCGGCACCCACAATCAGGACATCGACGTCGAGATGATCGGCGTAGTTTCCCTCTGCGGCGTCCCGCGTGGCATTTTCGGCGAGTTCCCTTCTTACGGGCATGGCTTCTGAGGGAGTTTCCTTGTTGTAGTCTGCCAAGCGGGGAAGGACAAGGTAGATATGGTCAAAGTGGAAAAGAAGATCAATGAAACGTACACGAGCTTAGAGAGGTATTAGTATTTTTCTTCGAAGAAAATGCTTTGAGATGCAATGACACTTAGTCCTAAGAGAATAGGTGCCTTAAATACTGCCGGCAGTCAGCCTGAAGCAGCCATAAATTGTGATGATCAGTGATTATAACCGACGGAGCCGCCTATGAGGAGGTCCAGCTCTGCATCAGTCTGATTCCGGCAGGCAAACCCTTGGTCCACTCTCCTGGGCGTTGCTGCACGAGTATACCTGTAAGCCAATAATTGAAGCACAATGCTGAACGGTCTAGACTGCCTCCCCAGTGAGAAACCGCGTGAGAACTTGCAGCATTAGTTCCTATGAAGCAACGGATGTGATTGTCCGTGCATGCGGATCCGCATCAGCTATCTTGTGACTCGGACAAACGAGGCCAAATTCCACAATTCCTTCAACCCTTGGTGTTTTTCATTCGGCCACGCATAGGATTCCTATCCTTGTAAGAATTGTTTATTATCGCTACAATGATATTAGTAGGAAGGCTAGAATATATAATATTTGATTCTATATTACTTACTATTGACGGTATACAGAATAAATGAAAACCTGCGATCTGAATTACGTTCACGCAATTAAAGCCAGTAGGTATTAGTTGTTTAATAAACAAGATATTCTAAGTAAATAGATCAGCAACGTACTTTAAGTAACCTAATACACTTGTAGTATTAATACCAAGTGCGTGGCTGTTAGTATCTGTTGGATGCATCTCTTTGATTGCTCCACCCCGCAGCTTGTTGTTTTGTTGCATGCGGATCCGATGCTGCATATCGCGTCCCCTCAATTTAACTCAATCTGTCTATGCCTGCACGGTGGACATGCGGAGTCCCCCGGCCGATCCAATGAAAACGTACTCACTCGGAGCACCGGATCATGAAGGATATATTGAGGTAAATCTCAATACAGCGATGCTCCTCAAGATTGTTTCGTCTGCAAGCGCTTGCTGATCCGAGGAACTTCATATTTTACCCCCCAACCGCGAAAATGAGTCAACTGACCCCCAACGTGACTGGCTCTCTCGAAGCTCGACTGGATGAAGCCTGTGCGGATCAAGAGAAAGGCATCCCTGGGGCCGTGGTGGTCATCGTGGGCAAGGATGGTCGGGAATATTTTGCCCATGCCAGCGGCAAACGGGGATATGGCTCATCTGAGCCGATGACTCTCGATAATATCTTCTGGATTGCCTCATGTACTAAATTGATTACGGGGATTGCTTGCATGCAGCTTGTGGAACAAGACCTTCTTTCCTTGGATGATTCGACTCAGGTCGAAACAATTTGCCCCGAGCTGAAGCACGTCCAGGTATTGCAATCGGATGGAAGTCTGGTCGAGAAGAAACAGGGGATTACCTTGCGAATGCTTCTCGCCCATACCGGTGAGTCTCCTAATCAGAGCTTGAGTCATTCACCCCAGGGGCATACGCTGACCATACAATATTATACAGCTGGTTTCGGGTACTCATTCTTCAACGAGAAACTAAGAGACTATAGCAAACCGGCAGGATACGACGAGTTTTCGGGATGTTCCTATGATATGCTACAGCCGCTGGTGAACCAGCCAGGAGAGAGGTGGGAATATGGGGTAAGGTAGTAAGCCGTCTACGATTCAAACCAGAGTTAACAGGCCTCCATTTAGGTCAATATTGATTGGGCTGGTCTTCTCGTGGAGCGCGTAACGGGTCTGTCATTGAATGACTATTTCCACCGCAATATCTTCGAGCCTCTGGATTTGCATAATATTTCCATGTTCCCCAATGCGTCCATGATTTCGAAACTGGCTCATATGAACTCACGGGCGCCGGATGGCCAGTTATCCCCACGCGATCACTTGCTTCGACGACCATTGATCGTGGAGGATGCTCAGGATATAGCCAGTTGCTTCAACAGTGGTGGGGCAGGCTGTTTTGCAAAGCCTCAAGAGTATTGTCAAGTCCTGGCGACCCTTTTGAACGATGGCATATCGCCCACCACCAACAAGCAGATCCTACGCAAGGCGACGGTAAACCTCATGTTTGAAAACCAGATTCCCCAGTTCCCCAACTTCGCGGCACAGGAAATTCCACCCGCCAAAGCGGATCTCACGAACCGTATCGCTCATTTGTATCCATCCACAACCCCCCAAGGCTGGGGGCTCACCTGTATGCTGACTGGGGGGAGCACGGGCCGTTCGGCCCAGACTGGCCATTGGGCTGGACTTCCCAATCTTTGGTGGTGGTGTGACAGGACCAAGGGGATTGCGGGCATGGTCTGTACGCAGATACTTCCATTCGCCGACGCTCGAGTATTGGGGCTCTGGGGTGACATGGAGTCGCTGGTGTACAAAGGTCTTGACTTGTAGCTTCTAGGGCTCTCGTGGCATACAGTTTCGAAAGCGATGAATCTGCCTTGTGACTTCTTCCGAGTCAGCCTCTTCAGACTTATGCATTTCGTGTGCTTGGGGGCTGCTCTCACTTCCTTTTAGCCTAGCGGGGCATCGGTTTCCGTGCATCAATTCCTAACTTGCTTAGTTCTTTTTTAAGGGGGTAATTGAAATATTTGGCAGTATTGTAAATTTATTGTAGGGTAAGTGCATGACTCTACCATCAAGCAAGGGAATTCTTTAATATATCATTACCCGTTTTGGTGAACATCTTGCCTATTAGATACCTTTTGAATCGGGAGAGTATGATAGCATCTATACCGACTGCAGTACGATGATACATAGAACAGGTAATGAATGTGGATATCCTGGTGGGACATGCTCTGGGTATATGTGTTGCGATGCTGTATTCCCCCGCGCATGTCTGATCGGCGGAAGCTGTATGTGTTGTCGCGCCTAGTATGGAGGTAGAACATGCTCCTATATATAGGGAGACGCTGCACTCTACGGGTGGTTGCGGGTGGATTACAGTGCACTATAGCTATAGCCCTGTACAATTTCATGTACAGACTATATATGATATATTCTATTTAATGAATTATAGTAGCCCAGGGGGGTTAGTAGTATTAGCCCACACAGATCCCAGCGGGTTCCGGGTTCTAGGACAGGGGAGGCTTAAACGTTCCTACATTTTGAACCCTACAGTAGTGAGAATTCCATAACATGGAGTACACAATTTTTCTCCAAGGTCCAGTGTTGATGAGTCAGCCGATCGGACTTGGACGTTTGAATCCCGGTCCGAATCTTCCCTGAAATCCGTCTGACTTTCATTGACAAGGAAAAATGATACGCATGCTGCACATTGGACTCCCCTTCTCGTTAACCATCACAGATACATGCACGACCAAGGATAAGCTTATAACGTCGTAATGCCGTACCCCGACTCCCGTCGGACGGAGGCGAGGAGACTCCGAAAGCCAACGCCCGCCCCCTACGGTCAAGCATGCATCAATTGCGCTCGGGCTAAATGCAAATGCTTGCTCTTGGCCACTGGGGATCAATGTGAAAGGTCTGCTATCATAGCGCTGTGACTTTAAGCACATGGTTGCTGACAGGTGACAGATGCGATCGTCTGGGCAAGGAATGCGGACCCTCATTATCGGTTCGGAGGAGCAGACAGGGTTCTTCAAGTACGAGAATTGCACGGGTGGAATCTTGACTTGATAGTCTTCTGTCCGCCCTATAACGCCCTGATAAAACGCTTCCGTCTCCCCCCGACTTGGAAAGAGTGTGGGAGAGTGAGAGATCGTTAGAAGGGCACGCGGAGCAGCCCCCCAGCGCTCCCAGTCAATATGATATTCAAACAAGGACTCCAGTCTTTGCGCTGCCTGCATCAGATGGTCCAAACCCCTCGGCTTACATCCAGTCTGACGAGGCAACGAGACTTCTCAAGCAGTTCCGGACCGAAAACCTGAACTATCTTGCATCTACATACCGCTCCATGTCACCCCTCAAGAGCTGATGCAAGAGAAACCATTCTTCTGGTATTGCCTGACCGCAGTCCTGACACCAAACCTGACCAAAAGAGAATCCCTATTCACCAAAGTGCACGACACTATTTACCAAAAGCTGGTTCTGGAAACGACCCCGAGCATGGACCTTCTTCTCGGCCTTATGACATTCATGTCATGGTAAGTGACCGAAGAAGTCCAAGAGTCTCCCATTGAAGAAATACAGCCTTGTATCCTCTGACTGTCCACCCAGGAAAGTATACTGTGTGAAGCCATTCCTCAACTTCTACAGCCACCTATTGACCGGTCTTGTCAATGAGCTGGGTATAAGCAAAGCTCCCCCAAAAGAACAATCCATTCTGCAAGGATTTACTCGTGCAGCCGGTTTAAAGACTGAGACAGCGATGAACAGAACTTTGGAGGAGCGACGGGCCGTGCTGGGGTGTTTTCTGATCACTTCAAGGTAAACCGAAACCGGCGAATTTGATGATATCGAACCCGATCATTAACTGTCGCCCTAGCATCGCGTTATCATTATTCAAAAGTGACGCCCTGAGTTGGACGTCCCACATGGAAGAAAGTCTCGAGATTTTGGCTAGCACAAAAGAGTGCCCTGGAGACGAACTGTTGGTGTGGCTCGTCAGGATTCAGTTGGTGGTCGACAAATCTTATCATCTTCGCCGGGACGGTGACAACTCTCATACCTCACCTCTTGTTACGGACTTCTTGCAATCCCAACTGGAATCGGTAAGGCGGCAGATGCCTTCGCATCTGAAGAACAACAGTATGTCCCACACCATTCCTTTCAGCACCGGTAGATGTCATCTGTATGTACCTCTCGAACGCAGAACTTGCGATTCATGAGGCCTTGATCAAGGCGCCCATCCCAACCAACGGCCCTGATCCCCACGGCGTAAAAAGCCTTCATATGTCTCTTCTCGCTGCGAAGTCTTGGTTGGATGTCTGGTTGTGTGTTCCTCCCGAACATTACTTGGGGGTATCTTTTACCATACTCTCCATGTTCTGCCGAGCCCTTGTGGACCTGTTCATGCTTTCCACTCTGGATGATCCAACCTGGGATCGGAAAGCTGTCCAAGACAGCGTGAACCTATTCCATTACCTAGACCTTCTGCAAACTAATTTCAAAAGGTCGGCCGACCATCGCACCCAAGAGGCGGAAGCAGACATATTTGCGAAGGGGGTCAACATGATATCAACGATCAAAGAAAGATGGGGGCCATCATTGATAGAGGCTCAGCAGTATCCGCCTGCCACCGAGGTGGCCAACCCGACCTTGCAGGCTACATTGTATAGCCCTGGGGATTCAAAGCTGGACGGTATGGACGATGCATGGATGATGGAGTTATTCGGATTCATATAAAAGTAAGAAGATGTCTCCTATCTTAGTGAATGGCATCCTTTTCTTGACTTCCTATTAATCTGGATATGCGAGAGAACCTTCTTGCATCGCGTGGCAAGGTATTAGGACGTAGATTAATTGGGGTGGGACTGGCCATGACGGGCTCATAGCAAGAGATCCATTTCTTGAAGGACTTGCTGGATGCAAATTGTATACGTAAGAGGGTTGCATGGCTCACAAGAAGTGCACAGGGTATCTGTCATTGGAGGCTTGCACAACACTTAGGCATCCTTGCCAATATTCCCACCCCTGTCTGCCAAGCTCGTTCGAAGTTTTACGCAAAAGGATGAGCGCCGGTACAGGCGCATACTGATACTCAGTGTGTCGCTGAATATATAAGATTATTATCTGACTCTCAGGATTGCCAGGTGTCAGTTTCTGGTGTTCCTGTATTACTTCATTGCCACTGTCTATTTAATGTCTATCGAACGAGTCAATACCATTGCAATGCAAGGAAAGGCGCCCAGGAAGCACCGGGTATAGAAAGGAGATTCTGATAGGCCAAGGCCCACATCGTACTAACGCCGTTCGAAAATGATTTGTAGCAATGTTCAAAACTGTGCAACTCGCATTGATAATATTATATAAGAGAGTTGCGAAGATATCCGCCTTTGCGAGACATTGCAGTTTCAGACTAATGTACAGTATCTCTAGTAGCTATGACGACCAACGCGCCCTATTACACAATCGTAATGTCTAGCGCGTTGGACGCAGGTACCGCCAGACTTGGCTGCTGCGTGGGAGAGGCCAACCTTGAGATCGTAACTACCGTGTTTATCCGGCCCTTTGCACTTCCAAAGCGCTTCACTCGATTAGGTCTACAGTTGAACTGACACTGGAAAATGTCCATATCAGATGGAAATATTCTCACAGGGACGCCCCGCTACAAAACTCACGCATTGTTCACATTGGCTAATACGGATCAATCATATTTCAGTGGCCGAATCCAGTTCCATGGACCGCACGGCATGTCGTTGAGCCAAGGCTGGTATCCTCCATTCCCATGGGGCTTGTAAAGTGGATCGCTCAGCGCTAAGAAGGTATCGTCTTTTCTGGCGATTCGTCCGCAGTCGTGACACCAAGCTACGGCACAGTTGTAACCAGTGTGAACCTTTTGTTCAAGCGCTTCTTGCACAGGCGGATCACAGTAACACCGAATTGGTACCTCAGGACTACATAACCGAGAGGGAAGGGGGAAAAGAAAGGGGGAAAAGATAAAAAAATTAAAAAAATAAATACAAATAAATGTAAGAGAGAGGTCTCCCAGGGATAGCCGTCATGATTTCTGGACGCTGGTCAGGGGCGATCGGCCCTTCGAAATCGCCAGCTTGCTTCGGAGAGATGAAGGTACTGCCACTGGCCGATCTGCATCAACCTAGGTCTAGTCTGTGGTCCATCATTCGGCTGAATTCTGTCCCGTGTCTTTCTTTGTGGGGGGCAGTTAGAATATCTGACGTGCGGGGCACTGAAAGCCTTTTCCAACATCTTAGGCTAATCAGGGCTGGTGGTGGGGCCTTGGCGACATTTTATACGATGCACCAGAGTGGATCACCTCGCTAGGCAATCGTCATTTCCTCATGTCTCTCATGGTCGCGTTCGTAATTCCCCGGCCTTGGAAAATGACGTTCATGCTGGTTCGGTAGTAAGGGAGCTTTCCCCACGGATCAGATACTGAGATCCGTTGGTTTCTGTTTTTAGTAACGCGTACCCTAATTATGCTAGTTTAATGCCGGAATCTTTTGAAGGTAGCATTAGTAGTAATCACTTTGGAAATATGATGGTTAAGCTCAGAAAACAGGCAGGGGTTGAGTTTAGAAATACAGACAGTAATCCTGTGAGAATTGAGGGGATAATTCTGAACGCGTACTCAGCTGACAGGGGTTCTGCCCTAACTCGAAGCTCATTGCACCGCTACACCTGGATGGTCGGGCGACATGATACATTCTTTCTTCACCACCTTGCATGCTTAGTAAGTGCAGATTCCCCCAGTGCTTGATCGTCTTTGATTCGACCAGAACCTGGACTAGCCATCCGGCCAATGAGGTCGACAGCCTCTGGCATGCATATGGTAAGTCTCCCGACGTAACGCACCCCTCTCCCCCCCCCCCTCGATGTCCCTAATTATGCCAAACACAGGAGCGGGATGACCACATGTAGACATCCGTGTCCATACGATCATAGTATAATTAACAAGGTTCGTAGAGCGCGCATTGCGTTGCGCTGGTGGGGTGAATGATGGCCCAGAATGTGCGGTTAAATGTATATCATAGGTTACAAATGCGGAGCAGTAGTTCAGATACAGTAGTGCCATGCCGGTGATTGAAGGTCCCAGGCTCAAATCAAGAAATGCACCATTGGCATCGACAAGTCCCCCTCCTCCGGACCTCCGGTTATGCATGCGAAAGGTTCGCGAATTTCTGGTTGCACTAACGCAATTGCACCGAGGACAATTCAACAGAGTGTCGAAGCCAATCCTACTCTCCCAACCGGTCACCCCTTACAGCGGGTTAAGAGTCAACAAAGACCAGGACGCGCGGGGAACCTCATAGTGGGGGAAGAATCGTATCGCGCCAAGAGGCGTCTCGGTGGAGGCTATTGCCTTGACCCCACCAGAACTCTAGCCCTCTTATGCCCTATCCTAAAACCCGAATGATGTAATATGCTCATTCCAGAGTGAAAAAGCCACATATAGTAGCTTCAGATTCAGTGCGATCGCCTCGGAATAAGCCAGTTAATAGCCCCAGCCATCACGCCATCGAAAACGCACGAAGGACTGTGCGCCATGCATCAGAAAAACGATTCCGTTCGATGGGATTCGCCAGCGCTTCCCATGTGAAGTGAGGGGAGGGCTCAGGGATGTTGTTGAAGTATACAAGCCGAATGAGAAGCCGAAAATGTATAAATAGTGGGGAGAGCGACGGTTGTTCGTAAATGTTTTGTTGAAATCCCAAGCTGCTCTCTGATTCTATTTCAACTTACACAAATTTACACCGATATACGTCCGCCAAGTTTCATTTCACAACCATGGCAACCCAAGTACTAACCGAAAACACCTACCTGGCCGGAGCCCGCAACAGTCTCAAAAAGGAAGACTGTATGGAGCTCTACGAAAAATGGGCCGCCTCCTACAACCAAGACCTTGCCGACGCCTCCCAGAACTATATCGCCCCCCTCCTTGTTGCCCAAGCCGCCCTCGCATCAAGCAAAGACCCCGAGGCTACCGTATTGGACGCTGGCTGTGGAACGGGGCTTGTGGCGGAAGCCCTTGCCAAGGGCAGCAAATGGACCATCGATGGCATGGATTTGTCTCCTGCCATGCTCAAAGTAGCAGAACAGACCGGCGTGTATCGAAGCCTCTTTAAAGTCGACTTGACCCAACCGATCGAGCAACCAGACCAGAAATACGACATCGTGACATGCTGCGGCACCTTCACACGCGGCCACGTCGGGCCCGACCCTGCCTTGAGAGAATTTGTCCGCCTTCTCAAGCCAAACGGTGTCATCGCTGCTACAATTCTCGAAGAGATTTGGGTGTCTGGTGGCTACAAAGCCGAAGCCGACAAGCTGGAGAAGGAAGGACTGGCCAAAGTGATCAGTCGGGACCTCATTGACTACCGAAAGGGCGCGGGCGACAAAGCAACATTGCTCCTGATGAAAAAGACAGCATCCGCTTGAACCAAACGCGCGGACATGTTTCTCTTTTGTCGGACCTTAGGCGTGAGAAGAGAGGGAGGCTTTCTAACATTCTAGGACTGGACTGAGCTCAAGTTGGCAAGGACCTCGAGCTTGTTCCCAATGCGACTATTCGTTCATTATTCCCCAGTGCGACTGCTATTCCAACCCCAGTGCGACTGTTTTGATTCCCACAGCGACTACTCTTTCCCAGTGCAACTTTTCTCACCCGGTGCGGCCGTTCTCCGATGGACTTCGACAGGGACCCGAGTCTAGGTTGCGTTGTATATGTACAAGCTTACTAGATAATGAGAATATAGACCTGGAGAGTAAATCAGACCGCCCGTAGGGATAGGGAAGTTTTCGTAATATAATTACTTGCCAAACGAACTATAAAGTGGACGCAGCGATAAAATTGAAAGTAGTTAACGCTTGAGTATATAGTCTGCAATTGCACTGCTGCTGACTTTACTTGAATAGAGGGACTTTAGGAGTTAGAGAGCCTGGATATGGTGATATCATTCATTTCTGGTGAGCCGAGGGCCCGAGGCTTGCTCTCGGCAACTATAAGTCTATTTAATACAGACAGTACATCTCATACTTCATTCTACTTTCTCTCTTTCTTGTTGTTAATTGGAATGATGCGGTTAAGGCATAATGAAAGCTTCAATATTTATTATCTATTTATCGGCCCTTAAAGCCACCAGGGCCGCATGCAGTCGTTTGAACTATACAGCAGAGGTTGAGTTTCTAATCCAGCAAGGCCCACGTCTTACGGGAAGCCCTGCACATAACACTGTTCTAGATCGGATTGAAAGGACCTTGACCAATCTTGGTCTCGAAGTCAAGTCAGACAATTACACTTTTGAATACATCACTCCAGCATCTACTGCCAATGCACCATCCTTAGTGGTGGGTAGCAAGGAGGTGGAGATTGCATCAGTCTTCCCTTACTCAGGGTACACAAGTGACCTTGGTGCCACTGGACAACTCATCCATGTTCCAGGCCCTGATCCTAACTGGGAGCTGGCTAGAGGAAATATTGCCATCGTTCCTATCACCAACCCATCACTTCCATTTTCCGTGGCATTCGGGACATGGGACCCAGCTAAGAGATGGGTAGGGAACATGACGAACCCCCTTATTCCCACGGACATGATTGGGAAGACACTTCCAGGCGCGAAGAAAGCGGGTGTAAAAGCTGTAGTCTTTGCTTGGGATGACTCCATTAGCACCGGAAACGCTCAAAAGCAATACCTACCCTTCAAATTCCCCTATGCCGATATCCCTGCGGTGTTCACATCAGGAGCAACCAGCAAGGACATATTGGCAGCAGCGAAATCCAATTCGTCAGCCACGCTCACTCTTCGATCAGAGATAGTCCCCAACACCCCAACGCGTACTATCTATGCTGTGGTGGAAGGTAGTAACCCAAAAAAGTCTCATGATGCCTTGCTCATTGTCACGCATACGGACGGTACCAACGTGATTGAAGAAAACGGGCATATTGGTGTACTGCAACTCGCACAGGATGTTGCGACAGCCTCACCAGAGCGAACCCATGTCTTTGTCTTCACTACCGGCCACTTACGCATGCCCGCCTTTACGAAGTCTGGCAAAGCCACGACCCGGTGGCTCAATGACCACCCGGAATTCTGGAAAGGTGGCGTTGGACAGCGCAGAGCGATAGCCGCCCTGGTAATTGAACATCTGGGTGCGGTAGAGTTCCAGGAAAACCTGTCGACAAATTCTTATTCATCCACTGGAAGGGTGCAACCGGAAGTGCTCTACGCTAGCACAAAGGAGCTCGCTGCCATCACTGAGCAGCAATGGAGGGGTGCCGACCCTGGATTTACACGGGTGTCAAAATCATCCAACATGTCGCAGTTTGGCGAGGGAGCGGCGCTTTCAGACCAGGAAATTCCTAACATCTCGCTAGTAACGGGGCCATTGTACCTCCTTGCAGAGTGGGGTGGGGATGAGCACGATCTGGTTGACCTAGCTGCTTTGACCAGACAAGTTAAAAGCTTCCAAAGGCTGCGAAAGCAACTTGATGCGATAGATATTTGAGTCTACCCATTCACCTTTAGGCTTAGATTAGATTACTAGGTATTACCACCAAATAGTAGCACCGGTGCGTTATCCTCGTTCACTAACGACCATGGCCTGTGGGTCCCCACATCTTTAAGGCTTCTATTGGGAGCAATCTGGTCGACCGTTAGAAGGCGGCCCCAGTGCCCGGTTCCCCGGCCCCACTGTCCTAACTAGTGTCATTCGGTTGGATATCTCGTGTTGCCATATTACTGGCGGAGTATCTGTCGTCCAAGTGAAGACACTTATCCGAGATGTAACTTGATGATTATGCTTATCGGCTCGCATATGATTTTGCCCACATATTAATCCAGCCCTGGTGAGGAAACTTTTCGATTGCCATTACACGACCCATCATAGCTTCCATACCAGATGGCGAACAATAATGAAGAGATACTCGTCGACTCTGGCGATGATTACGACTCCCATTATGTGGCGACAGACTCCGAGGTAACATCGATGCGCAGCAGTATCGTGGACTATGTCTACGAAAACGGCCGACGCTACCACGCATATCATGCGGGATCATATTGGGGATCCAACGACGAGAAGGCCATTGACGCGATGGAGATCTGTCATCACCTCTATGGGATTTTGTTGCATGGCCGGCTGCACCTCGCCCCAATCAAGAATCCACAGCGCGTTCTTGATGTCGGAACGGGCACTGGGTCCTGGGTCATTGACTTTGCTGATCTTCAGCCTGGGGCAACTGTTATCGGAACGGATCTTTCGCCAATTCAACCTAGCTTTGTCCCTCCTAATGTGTATTTTGAGATTGACGATTGTTGTGATGATTGGGTGTACAAAAGTCCATTTGACTTCATTCATGTTCGCGGGCTATATGGGTGTGTGGCGGACTGGGGGAGATTTTATCAACAGGCTCTGAAGTATGCCTTTTCCTCATCAAACTGCTGGTCCCCGGTTCTAATCATCCTGGCGTTTAGGAACCTCCATCCTGGTGGATATTTGGAACAGGCCGAAATGAGTGTGACCCCGGTCTCGGACGACGGAAGCACCACGGGCACGATATATGAGATCTGGGGCAAGAAGAGTCTCGAAGCGGGAGATAAATTCGGCAAAACATTACGTATCGTCGACGAGTCTAAGCAGCGAATGATTGACGCTGGGTTTGTTAACGTTGCTGAACACCGGTACAAACTACCCATTGGCCCCTGGCCCAAAGACCAACATCTAAAGACGCTGGGACGGTTTTTCCGCATCGTCATGGGGGAAAGTCTGGAGATGTGGGCCATGATGCTGTGGACCAAAGTTCTTGGAGTAGGTAACCGCCCTATAGGATTATGGACGAGTAACTAACACAAGCGATTAGTGGTCCAGGGAGGAGATTGAAGTTATTTTTACAGAAATGCGTAAAGCACTAAATAATCCGAATATCCACGCATACCTCGAGATATCGGTGGTTTACGGGCAGAAGCCAGAGATCTAGTCCGAGTTGCGTCTAGGGAAGCAAAAGTCCGTTACCTAGAGTGTTTGCCTATGAAAACTGTATAGTGTGTCACAATCAGTATATTCTTTCGTGAACAAGGCTGTTGGTATCAGTATTGGAAGCGGAAGAACCCCCCCCCCCCCCCAGTGCTTCAAGATGAGCGAGACAAGTGCGGACTTGCCAATGGAGAAACGTCATATAGACCCGAAATGAGGATTACCACAGTGTAAAGGTTATATCTTAGAGCTTCTTAGTTTGAGTCATGAACCAGCATTGTGTGCCCAGATGTTCAGCCAGAAAAAATATAAAATAAAAGTAAAATAGAAAAGAGGAGAAAACCGACCTAACCAGTCTCCTATCGCAGGATTTCATTCTTCTCCCGATAAATTTATCCTTGTTACGCTATCGATTCGTGCGGACTCAGGGACAGTTGCTCTGTCTCCGTCACAGGGGCCTGGTTGCTCGAGTACCATATGTTCCTTCACGATCTGGACCAAAAGATTGGAATCATAGGCTCCTTCACGATGCGGCCATCTCTCCAGAAGTTCCACGGCCTGATGTCTAATCTGGAAGTCCCTGCATTTGAGACACACCCAAAGCAGTGACGGGATAACCCCCATGTCCATGACAATACACGGGCGATAGGTGCCATACTCGGCTTGAAAGCTGGTGATGATCTCCTTGGCGAGTTGGGTGATCCTCTTGTATGCAGGGAGGTAATTATCATATATTAGCTCGCATGTCACAAGACTGGTTTCTAGGATATTGGCCAAAGCCTCGTTTTGCAGTCGCATCAAGTCGGTGCTACGTGCATCCTTGGAGTTGGCTCGATTTGACGCTTGACGTAAGACAAACTCTTCGAAAGCCCGAATGTGGTCATGCAAGTGGGCCTGGATTCTGCGTTGTTCGGCTGAAGCCCCGGCGATATCAAACAGCCCGCTTATCTCGCCACGCACATATGGCTCACAGGACCTGCGGAAACGAAGGATGTTGTTCATGATCGGATCAAGACTCTGTTTTACTTCTGCCAGGCTGTTCAACGAGGGCCTGTTATGGCCGCCCTCTCCTAATGTTATGGGGTAAAGGTGCAGAAGGGGACCGGACTCGCCAAAATGGGCCGACTGCACATCTACATGTATTAATACCCTTGTCAGGGCATACTCCGTAGGCGACCAGGAATTGGGGCTTTGCAGGAATGTATGACGTTGGTTCGCCTTGACTCTCTGGCCCTCCATGATCTGAACCCCTTTCTGTAGATGTGTAAATGCTGCCTTGTAGTTTCCTCGAGACAGGTCAAAACAGCTGAACATGATGCAACACATCAATGCAACTGCTCGCACTTGCGGATCGTTGGACCCGAGCCGTTTGCACAGCATCGAAGCCGCCTTGCTGTATTGCGCCAGCGCGAACCTATGGTAACTGTTCTTTATATTCATGGCTCCTGGGGGCGAGCCTGTGATTTCCGAGTCTTCGTGAATCACACTCAGTGCGACAACCGCATGATAGATTGCCGGCTCTGCTTGACTCATCCGGGGTACGATCTGTTGCCAGACTTCGGAATCGAACCAGCTCACCATCATGGGCACCGTGTAGGTCTGGAAAACATTGAAGCACCGACGTTCGTCGGAACTGGTACCGGGGAGATCCAAGAGTATGCGCATCGACGACCCCGACCAGGCGAGGCCATCATGCCTTCGTCTCCTCATGCCAACCGGCAAGCGCGTCAGGTCGTATCCATCGCAATTGCGCCCGGTGGAGGTGCACTGTTTACATGCGCCCGGTGTCTCATCGCATTTGACCCGTCGGACTCTGTGGTAATCCAGGGTGCTATGAGTGAGTTGCTGCAGTCCGGTGGGTGATCAACTTACCGACAGGTTTGACATCCGGTTCGCGACCGGCGCCCAGATCTTGTCTGTCGGTTATGTCCTTGCATGGGTCATGCTCCCGTGCCGTGGACCTTTTTTCTTTACTTTTCTAAAAAAATATATATATATATATATTTATTGCAGGTGGTGATATTGCCTTAGGTATCTTGTTCAATGGCAAGGTTGTGAAGAAGACGGAGGCACAAAGCCAGCCGGGGGGATAGTGCCGTATTTATTTGTGCAAGGAGAAGAGAATTGGGGTAGGTTAAATGGTTCTAGTCAAATCCGTACATGCTAAGACCTGAACTATCTCTCAGCCTTGCAGGCAATCGCATTAGACGCTCCACCTTCGGACAGCTGCTGGAAGGTGATCTCACAAACCATTCTGGTGTGAGAAGGGCAGCTGAAATGGAAACTTGGTTATGCTAACGGGCTCTGAAGACTGGAAACAATCCTCTACTGATCACTAGCCTCTCTAACTATTACGCATAAGGCATGGATCATTGTGTTGATTCTCCACAACATAAACGAAGTAATCAATCCCTTTGACGTATGCTATGAATTACGACCCACAACACGAGGCTGAGCTTCTTGGAATGGGGGATTTTGGATCTTTTGATCATGGTGACTCGACCCTGTATGCGTTCATTGCGTTTGCTTTCTATACACTTTCTTCTGCAAAGTTTTATGCTAATAAGAATCATGACAACCATTTATCGAACCAATTACGGCCCTTCTGCGCAGGGTTAAGATCAAGATTAGACTGAGCTCTTGGCATTCAGGAGCACGAAGCTCATCACTCCATCCACCCTTAACTAGGAACACGGCCGAGGTTAGTAGACATATCTAAATGCCTTATTCTGGACATCAGTTAGATCCTCGACCACCACAAACATCCCTTGAGTGGGTTCTTTAGGTCTATTCGGAAGTACAAGAGCCGCTGGTCCGTATTTCTGATCTCTCCGTGAGTTTTCCAATCGCCAAGATAGCCCTAGTGCTACGATCAGAACAGTCGCGACCGCTAGACACACCATCATTGCGATGAAACCGCTCTATCTAAACGTTAGTGTGATCATTCATTCCGGCATGATAAATTTACCTTGTAGACTGGAGCTTCACGAGCGAAAAACAAGAATGGGCCGATGATATTTCCTGTGCAGTAGGCGATGAACATCATCGCACTGACGGTCGCCTTTTTGGTAAAACCAGCAACATTCGACGAGACCATGGAGAGGGTCATCGGAATACCCGCCGCATAGGCAACAAAAAGGTAGAGACCGAATAGGCGGACTCCTGTGCTGTCACCGGCGTAGACTATAATGCTTCCGATGAGACTATATACTTTCCGTTAAGATATCATGGCCTTTTAATATAAGACGATGGAACTTACGCAATAAGAGTGCAACCAGCAAGTAACATGCAACGTGTATTTGGAAACCTGCTGGCAAGGTAGGTACTGTTGGATGTTGACTGTGTTAACCGTGCAAGATAGATAGGCTAGGGACCAAATACCTTCCGAGAGCAAATATAGCGTGCACAGCACCCGTTGGTATTGCTAATAGATAGGTTTGTAACGTGGAGAACCCGAAGCCTTTCACCACTATTGCTGAGAACTATGCAGTCAGATCAGCTAACTATACTGACAAGTCTGATTCGGGGAGAGCGAGATACCATGGTCAAACCCCCATTAGGGATATTGTTGGCTATCTGGAACAAGAACAGGATGTAGATCTTGTAGTCGGTCAAGGCCTCCCATACCTGGTACCACTCAATCTTGTCGTGTTTGATAGTTGTCTGGTTAACTTTCACTCGTTCTTCCGCCTCAGTGCGTTCGGGCTGTGAGAGAAATCGTGCGGTTATTGGTGAGTCTGGCATAAATAGCATGAAAACAATGGACCAGACGACGGTGATCAGTCCATATATAATAAATAACCACTACGCACGCGTTAATCTCAGGAATCAACCGAATCAGCGTACGCGTCTCACCTTCCAGGCGGGGATGGAGCCAACAATGTGAGCGACTCCATATGCTACCAGACCCCCAAATGCGGTAGCGATGGAGTTACCCGCGAACCACAAACCATGGCGAAATGGTTGCTCCGACCTGGTATACCACATACCAGTGATAAGGCTGAAACCAGGAGAAATCGCAGCCTCAGTAAGACCTAGAAAGAAGCGAGTAACCATCAGTCCAGCAAAGTTATCTGTCGCAGCGTGGCATGCAAGCACGGCACCCCAGAGGAAGCTAAGAAGTGGTTAATGCCGTTAAAAACTAGGCAACTGTTCAAGTAGACTTGAGCTCACAGTGTCGTGGCGAGAAACTTCGCAATCGGTAGTCGAACCATGAGCATGGAGGCAGGATATGAAAACACAAGGTATGAGAAGTAGAATATCGAGCCTGACCACGAGTACTCCGTGCCAGTTAAGTTCTTCACCCCTCTTGTCAGTCCATATCTTCTTTTCTTTGGCCATCGGACTCACCAGGTCTTCAATGATGCCCATGATGGCAGCTTGGGACAAAGTTTGCTTGTCAAGAAATTGAAGCATGTACGAAATCATCATAATCGGCAACAGACTAGAAGCTCCCGTTAATTCTGATGCCATTCCCAGTCAGACCCGTTCTTACAAGTAGACTTACCGCCAGTCGATCTTTCTCAGCAAGGACTTATGCATAGTCGATATTGATGGGCCCGTCAATTGTTCCCCGTACCCAACAGAAGCACGGTGGAGATTGGTGGTAGTAGTAGCATGGTCCAAGGCTGCCTCTACTTCCTTTTTGGAAGCGTCCGGCTTTTCTTGCGTATTCGACATGGAAATGACAATTTGCTTAATTTTAGTGAGACTTCCAAAGATAAAAGCCCAGAGGTCTGCATCTTGTTCCTATATACTAATGCTGTCGGCCTTCGCCACCGTGCCCAGAACATTGATAACATGGTATGCCTACCCCCGCTCGAGATAGCATGGACTACTAACTAGCTTAAGATGATCCTCAATTTGGATTCTGTTATCTGACATATCAGTGAACCTTATCATGTCGCATGGACGGATATTAAGTTGACCGTCGCTTAACTTGCAACCAGTCAGAACCCAGCATCGCAGCGAGGGCCATATCTGGGGCAAGATGTTCATTGGCTCTTTCGGCAAAAATGGGTCTAGTATTAATGCAACTCCTCAAGTCTAACCCCGGATTTTCCCTTTGCGGCTGGCCTGCCAAGAAGATTCCATGTTCTCTACCATATCATAGACGGAGATTGATGATAGGGACTGATATCAGCCGAGGCTAGATACAGAAAGATAATGTCTACAATTCTGTTCATTTAGCGACAGCCCAACCCTAGAGGTTGAGGCCACTCATATCATTAAGCCACCCCCTCATGGACGGAAAGACTATCGTATGCTGTGATTCTACAAGCGTCTTCCGGATCCACTGGCGGTCTTGTGAGTCCTCCATACATCCGGCCAGAACAATCATCGGCCAGTAAACTCTTCCTAAACACGAAGGACTCTCGGTGGAAAGCTTCTTAATGATTTCTAATGCACCATTTACTGCATCGCGAGAGGACACGGACGGAGTGCTCATACAATTAAGCAAGCTCCACCGGTAGCAGAAAAATACAGTGGTCGCGTGATACTCGGCAACTGCAAAGTAGATCGTTTGTAGTTGCCGGTTCCGCAAGTCGGAACGTGGCTGCTGGCTCATGATTATCAAATCTTGGTATCGCTATGCGGTGGATTGGTGGTCAGCTAAATACTCCCACTGGGATGATGAGGGCATGGTATACCTTTCCAATGCCACATAGGTCTTGTTCTAGACAATCCATGGTATCCCATTCAAATTTTCCTCGTGTGCTTTGAGGCATGAGCAAGAGTCTATATTTCAGCTTTTTGCATTCGTTGGTCAGCTCCAGCGGACGAAAGACCGAAATGTCATCCAGCGATGCTTCGGTCGGGTATTCGACGGGCCAGATTGCATGTTGTGACGTGCGGCTGTTATAAAAGAGCTCGTCCATAGTAGAGACAAAGGAGGACTCATGCCCAGCCTCCTCCCACAATTGGCGGAGATGGCCGTACTTGCATATTGTGAGGTTCGCATACCTATGGTCATGAGTAGAAAGCTACGGTTACTGTCAAGCCAACGTTGACTTACATTACGAAAAGCAATAACTGTTGCGTCAGTATCGGTAGTCTAACACATTGGCCAGACTCGCCGAGTCTCGGAACTAAATCATGGGCTTTGAGGAACGTGTAGATGCCCTGAATATGCACCTCCATGGCCGCGCTATCTTGGCCAAACAGATACTCATAGGTCACCATAAGGAAAAATGCCGTCGAAATTTCATCCACTTCCTGAGGCGATAAGGACCCATGGTTCTTGCTAAGCATGAGCTGAAACTCGCGTAGAGCACTTTGATAGTGTGATGTCCCAGCTTCACCCGGCCATTGGTCGTGTGATGCCTTCTGGTCACTTCTAAGTCGCTGCAAGTGGCGAATCCCTTCCAGCTCTGTGGCGGAGATTGCCAAAATCATCCTTGTTACGACCGACGAACGCGGAGCGATATGACTATACACATAATGGAGGGAGGCCCACTGCCATGGCTTCCCAAGCCATCGCACCATGGACGTATGGGGAAAGAACGCGAAGTATTCCCGTTCGCTAGATGCTAGGAAATGTGAGTTGGGCAGAGATAGATAAGTAAGATGCACACCCGCGTCTATGTTCCGCGGTCGGAGGGGGTAATAGGTTCGTTGTAGACCTGGGCCGCCCGATGCTTTCAAGGGTGGTTTCGACCTGGACGCCTTCCTCGGAGTCTTGTGAATCCATTCACATTGCATCTGGGCATTTACACATCGGACACACGAAGGATGCATCTCATCACACTTAATCTTCCGGGTCCGACACGTGGCGCACCCTGTTGCGTAATTGTTTAGCGTCAGGAACGCAATAGACCCGGTCTGAATCAAAATGCTTACCGGTCCGGGATCGCGGAGCATTGCGTCCAGACATAACTTTCAGAGGTGGCCTGGTATATCGCTGCATAAATGGTACGAAGGAGAAGAAGTGAAGGGATGTTGTTGGCCTTTTTAGTGGATCTGCAGTCGCCTCGTTCGGCAATTGGTTGCGGGATAAGCGAGGGTAAGCTGTTGATTGGATGGGCATTTGCCGATATCGTAGTGGGTTCCTCAGGTATCCACCTAAGGCATCCACCGTATAGGGTTGGAATTCACTATAAGTACGTAGATTTTGTATACGTAGAGCAATACCGTTCTCAACATCTGTTTTCTTTTGTATACTGAAGCATTAATCTTTGTCACATCTCTCAACATGGCCTTGATCACAGAAACTATCAGTAAACATGAGGAATGTCTCTGGCAAGTTAACCAAGAGGTAAGCGGCCAACCATCTGTGCTCTCCGCCCACGTAGTTCTAGACATATCTCGTTAATGTTTATTGTACCCATGCAGATCCATTCCCACCCAGAGCTTGCCTTTGAGGAGATCCACGCCCATGACACCGTGTGCAATCTCCTCGAGTCGCTTGGATACCACGTCACGCGTCATGCTTATGGACTCAAGACCTCATTCGAAGCCGAGGTCGGGACCGGTGGAGGTTTGATAGTCTACAATGCTGAGTTCGATGCCTTGCCCGAAATCGGCCACGCCTGTGGGCACAATTTGATTGCCACCTCGTCCCTTGCAGCTTTCCTGGCCACGGCGGAAGCCATCAAGGCCAACGAGATTGAGGGCCGTGTACGTCTCCTCGGTACTCCCGCGGAAGAGGGCGGCGGCGGTAAGATTGAGCTTATCAAGGCTGGTGCCTATAAGGGGGTCGACGCTTGCCTCATGGGCCATCCTGGCCCTGGGATGGGAAAGGATGGCGTGGCTGCTGCTCGCTGTATGGCTCGTCGCGGAGCTACGGTGACTTTCCGCGGTGTTAGTGCTCATGCTGGCAATGCCCCATGGCTGGGCCATAACGCATTGGATGCCGCGGTAGCTGCCTATAGTAATATCGCCATGCTTCGACAGCAAGTCGCGCCCAATCAACGTATGCACGCCATCATCTCCAAGGGGGGTGACAAGCCCAATGTCATTCCGCATCTCACAGAGCTCCAGTTCTTCGCCCGCGCGGAGACAGATGCAGAATTGCAAGAAACTGCCAAGAGGGTTGCTGCCTGCTGTGAAGGGGCGGCAACTGCCGCCGGATGCACCGTCGAGTTTGACTGGTACGTAAGGCTCGCAGCCAGAAGTCTCCATAGCATATCGCTAATGCGGTCGGATGTAGGCTTGAAAGCTACAAAGAATTACAGTGCAATGATATCCTCATTGACACCTTCTATAAACATTCGCAGGAGCAAAAGCAGAATTACATGAAATCATTGCCTGCAGTCAGCGGCGCGTCAACAGATCAAGGTAGGGCTGATCATCACCACGATGGCTGCTGATACTAACCATCAAACCAGGCAATGTCAGTTATGAGCTCCCAAGCCTCCATCCTGGGTTCCTCATTGAAGTGGAATCGCCGAAGATCGGACCCCACCATCCTGGATTTGAAAAATCAGCTGGAACACGGCAGGCTTTTGAATCATGTTTGCGGTTCGCTTCGGTCATGGCTGCGACAGGGCTTGAGGTCTTACAAGATCAGGAACTGCGGAGCCGATTGTGGGCAGAGCATAGAGAGAAATTTGGCAAGGCCGAATAGCTGTGTAGACAATAGGAAAATTGCGGACGGCCTCATCAAGTTGACATACTGAAGAACATTATAGCCCAGGCATGGAGGGACTTCGATCAATAATACATATTATGATTGCTCTAACTCCAGGGTACCATCGGTCTATGACCCAGATCCTAAGGGTTGGTATGCGATAGGTTAGCAATCTTAGAAATTATAAATATGGAACCTTTCGACATTGAAAAACATATGTGATTACGCTGAGACCTAGCAATACGTTGGACATGCTTTGCTACTACACAGCTGTCACACCTCTCTTCTACTATTCCTAGTCGCGTCGCAATTTCACCGATCGCCATTCTATCATCAAGCTCCCAGCCATCGTTGCACATGCGAGTCCAACTACCATATACCATTTCTGTATGAAGCTTCTATCAATTGCCATGAGAGCTTCTCGCGTCGTAGCCGGTGGCACGGATGCCACAATTTGCAGCAGGCCAGTATTCTCGATACCTGCTCTATCCAGGCCCGACACGAGATCCTTTCGATTAGTGGAGGGCTGGTTTATAAAGAGGCATGCGCAATTGCGAACGCAACGGCTGGACCGAAGGATTGGGCGCAAAGCATGATAAACCGAGCAGCACGTCCTCCACAGGTAACACCGTTTGGACAGCTTTCTGTGGTCCAGAGAAACTGATGCCGTATGCAAGGCCCGAGAAGGCAGTGTATATGATCAATTTCGCGAAGCTAGCGTTGGTTTCGAAAGAGGTTATGCTGCCCGCTCAGCATACATTGAAGCTGAGGCACAAAAGGTAAGTGCTGCGTAGTGGCCAACGCCGCTGGTCCCGAAGCCGTGAATGAGTGCGTCAATGGTGCCGGCGATAATACTCGGGGTGGGAGTCTACCCACGTACAACCTGAGAGGAAGTAGGCAGATAGTGCTCGAGTATACTGCCTGTAATATTCCCGCATATAATGGATAGGCATCCAGCAATCACGCTAGGGCGCTTTATGATGCGGAACGGGAGAGCGGCAGCGTCTCCCGACGTTTTTGGTTATAGATAAAGGCCGTCATGAAGACAGCAAAGGCAAGGATAGGGCATACCACTAGGCCACTGTCCCATCAATGCTTAGTGCTAGCTCACGAATACGCAAGGAACAGAGCCGTGAGCATGGGTATGAACAGTAGGTTGCTGACCAAGTCGAGTTTCAAGACCTTCTCTCCAGGCCATGCGGGAAATTTCGCTAGACTTCGGCATATCAGAGAAACAGCACAAGGTCGACTCGCCGCGTACTGTTCGCTGGCTTCGACTGTCACTGAGGGCACCATTTCTGTGGATGGTGTTGTGTCAATGAAATCCAATCTCCCTAAGCAAGGTAGTTGACGAAAAGGATTACTAACAGTCCTCTTGTTCTAAATCAAAACAGGCTAGTAGTAATATCCCTGATCAAACAATCAACTGATCATTCAATTCCCAGAATATGTCGTGCGGGTGTAATTTGCGATTAATGGTTAGATTCGAATCACCGATTCATAACTGGGTGCACAGTCAAGCCCTACAGAATTGACAAAAACATCATCCAGGGGCTGCTCGCAATTTATTCGTAGGGTATCAGGATTCAGTGAGTCTTCCACCATAGGGAGCAACAGATCATCTTGGTGTTTGCTATACAAGGGGGGAGGCGGCACGTAATCATCATGAAATCCATCAATATGGACACGACGGACAGTACCGTGTTCACTGATGAGATGTGGTGACATGTATATATTGAATGGAATCGTCCCTTTTATCTATATGGGTCTCAGCAAGGACAGTCCATTGAAATTGTGTAGGGGTGGTCTTCTGTTATATATACTCAATTGAATTCACTTACCATTGATAGCCCCTTGCCAACACCGAGTAACTCGACAGTGAACACTAGTTGGTGCTTGATCTTTATGGTATTAAGGCTTACATCCTGAGTGCAAGCTTCAAGATCCTGTGGCAAAGATATGACTTTGGTTGTACACCATTCAAGATCAGACCTCTCCGATTCTGGAGCCATACAATCGTCTAAGTTGTGCCGCTCGCTGAAAATGACGTGCTCTTGTTTGGATGATAGAAAGCGGACGTTGAACTGTGCGGAGTATGATGCTGGTGCGCTGATTTTGAGCTCGTGTTGCTCAACGACGTCGACGGTTAACGCTTTCAACCTTATACCCTTTGATAATGGAGCGACCTGGACCTTCACGGGAAATGTCGCGCCAAACGGGATGTTGACGTCAGGAATGGAAACGCTGTATTGCGCGACGTCATCCCACTGTTTATCGATTGACTATAAGGCATAATTAGCCATGCGTACACAGGAACAAGAGTGTTGCGCCTGCTGACATTCAAAGGTAACATCCGGTTGACACTCTCCTCGAGGGAAAACGATTTATAAATTCGGATAGGCTGAGAGACAATGATGTTTCTGTTCAGTCTGCGCTCGATGATGGCATGTACTCTATATGTGTGGTAATTCGAACCACCCTTGCAGGTGACGGTTTCAAGCATATTTCGGTTTAGAGGAATACTGAATGGAAATTCGTAGTGCCCTGCCGGTAAGTTGAATGGATTCTGCTTATGGGACGAGGCCAAGGGTTGCGTTGTTGCAAAGGTATTCTCTTCATAATAGGATCTGAAAAGTGTGCCCTCGTCATATGGTCTATGTTCGTTAGACATGTCAATTGGAGGAAAGCAGACAATAACTCACAGTTTGGCAATACCTCGCACCTGCACCGAGATTCCTTTGACGGTTATAGCTTGCGCCAGTGATAAACGAAGCTTCCCAGATATACAAGGCTTGCTCTCAGAGCAATTTGAAAACGGAAGGAAGATACATGACTTGTCTAAACTGCAGATGTAAGGCATGGTTGAGTTAGCTTGTTTTGAGCAAACGTCGAGGTAGAAGTCTTGGGACTGGCATCGAACCTTAGACTGCAACACACGGGTTCATTGAACAGCATGATGAAGGAGGGTATCGAATTGGTCCGAAGACATGAAATGTCTTTACGGTCTGATTTTACGGCTCCAGTCCCGTTCTTGAGGCATTGACACCTAATGGTTATTCTTATACTTTTTTTTCTATCAAGTGAAATGAAGGGGTTTCCATTTTAGGTAAGAGAAGCGGACTTCCAGAAAAGGGTCGGAATAACCGAAATGGGTAAGTCTCCCGCCGGCGCCAGACTGCCATATCGGGAAAAATACTCAACCTTCTATGGTCGAAGCCACAAAAATGCATCGTCCACGTTTACCTGCACAGATATCAAAAGACATCCTTAGTCAGGACCCTTCGCTAGTTAGTTCGGATACATGACTGCCCATTTTTAGCCGTGCTGCATGCAGTCACTCTGACATACTCTAAAACCAAACCACTTGCTCGCAGTCGCCACCTCCCCATTGAACAAGGAACGCAAGACGAGCCGGTCGATATGGACCTCACCTTCCATATCAGTCAAGACGGAAAAGTCCCAAAAAGAACATACGCCCGAGGTGCATGTGAGAAGTGCCGCCTGAGAAAGGTTCGTTGGTTTTTCACCTGCGCGTACTAATGACTCACTAGAGGACGTTTAGAAAAAATGCTACCACCAGAAAACAAACCGACAATCAGGTTTCTCTACGCCACTGCGGCCGACTACCCAGTTTGTTCAGTATGCTCCAGCTGCGGCTCGAGGGTCGCGATCCCCAATCGGTGTTTTAGCATCACAACAGCTTCCTGGCGAGCCTGCAGAGCCCAAGCTACAGAGTGCCCCACAGTCCTCTCAGGCTCACGTGGAAAGTCAAAAGTATACCTCCCAAATCTCCAGGAGGGATTCATGCACCCATCGTTTTATCGGGGACTTGAACCCAGTCGTACTTTTCGTCGACGATGGTAGTACGAGGCTCATGCGTGGGCGTGCGCATCAGCGGGATGTTGGAGTCTGGCTGGACAGGGAAAATGAATTTATTGAAAATGGCGAGAATTATTATCATGAAGAACCCTCGTCGAGCAGTAGCAGATACCAGACGACTCGGCAAAAGCGACATTCAGGGCGCCCGGGCGCTCTTCTGCCGCCACGACAAACCCAAGAAGCGTTGATAAACATTTACTTCCGTCGCATCCACCCCGTGCTCCCTTTGGTTCATGAGGAAGACTTTCAAGCACAATTACGCAATGGTACTGTTTCTTTGTACCTTGTGCAGGCAATATGTCTGGTAGCCTCAAAGGAACGCGATGCAGAACCAATACTCCGGCTTGGGGATCGCACCGAAACCATGTCTCCTTGCAGATTTAGCAATCTTTTATACGAAGACCTTTGCCATGCCATTACCATGCGTCTGGAGCGGAAAAGAATGGCTTTAATACAAATCCTTGCTCTTGCTTCGTTGCATGCTTCAGGACCCAAGAGCTTTGAGGACGCGTCCTTGTACCTGGCTCAAGCCATCCATCATGCTCACACCGTTGGGCTGCACTTTTTAAAATGTGGACCTGAGAGACATGAAAAACCGCTAGTTACACTGTTTTGGTGTCTATGGAGTCTTGACCGATGGATTGCGGCCATTCATGGGAGGCCGTTGGTAATTCATGACAGAGACCTCGGACAACAGCTCACGGACGTGATTGACCTCTTCGACGGCCCTTTTCGCATCTGGCTTTCCTTGGCATCAATATTGGGCGAGGTTATGGTGGTATATCGGCCGACCCTGGATGCTCCGGTAGATGAGAACAAGCCTGAAATCCCCCGCTTCGAGGAACTGATTGCGAAATGTCAGGCGGAGGATATATCTTTGGACCAAATGTGTCAGTATCCTTCTCATGACTTCTTCCCCCCAAGACACTCACTAAGCTACCTCAGTGTCTTTCGAATTGGCGTACCATGCAATAGCCCTTCTAGCTTCACGGCCATGGGGACTCAAGGCTCAACCAAGGTCTCACGCGCTATACCTGCGACAGGATCTGGCTGTATATCGCATTGCCACCCTATTACAAATGTGCACCATCAGTCAGTTCACACCTCTGCCGACTGTTGCTTATTCCATATCACTCGGGTTCTCCATATCCTATAAACAGCTCAAGCGTTGTCAGCTCCCCAGTACACAGTATGCGGCAAAGAAACATTTACAAACATTTTATAAGAGTCTAGAGGCTCTAAGCTCGATGTGGTGGTCCGCTCAAGTGATGACCCGGCTTGGTCAACGTGCATTGGGCGGCATGCAACGCGTTGCTGGAAGAACGAGCCAACCAACGCCGTCACATAAGAAGGCGCCTATCGCCACAGCCTCATCAAGCTGCGATGTCTACAGTATGGAACCTTTTCATACTGAAGAGAGTGCAGAAGAAGTAGCCGAAGCGGCACACGGCGAACAATTTCCGGGAAACGAGACCATTCCAATGCCAGATCACCAACTACTGTTTGATTTTGAGGATTTGGATAATAGTGGTTTCAGTAGTTTTGTGACGGATCCCCTGTTTCAAGATATCGACGATCAGCTGGGAAATTTCTTGAATATCAATATCCCCAAATGTCCTTCGGACTCTGCCTTCATCAACCCGGACATGCCCTGGAACCCTGATGAGTTTGACTTTTCTTGCCTCTAGTCATCCTCACTGGAAATGGCGATCAGCAAAGGTTGGGACAAGTAACTCTACTTGAACTCTGTAAATGATAGACTCGATTCGGTTGGTGTCGTGTCAGAATGGAGAAGTACTAGGAAAGCCTCTGATGTGGATACTTGATTACATTGTCGGCCTGATTATATATATCGCTTTCACGTAATTTGATGAACACGGTACGGTACAAGAACGGATGCCACTTCTAACCTAAACTAGTATCTTTGACCTTGCGATCTTATTTCAAAAATGGGACGGAATAATCGCTAGGGCAAGGTGATAGAACGCAAGGGCTTCATGAGCTCCTACTTGACTAGGGTATGTCGTAGAAGGAACATCGAACGACTTCACGAATCACGAATCACGAATACATAACAAGCATACTAGTAGCCAAGCTCTTCTACATTCGGACCTTTGTTTCAGGAATGTCTGGATACACAGTCAAATATAATACTACCCTACATGTACTTACTCTCCACGATTCGATATATTGTATGTTCCCCATGTACAATGCGCAACATTGCCAGACCATTTCTCAGCCGATCATGAGGACCTGTAAGTCAATGTACCCTCACAAGATGCGATCATCGCAAACTCAGTTTGGTCATTCCCAATCCCTGAGGTAGTGGGTCCTTTTAGTCCAGGGCCCTGGAATACTAACCAAGTACTCAGTCAGGGTGAGGCAGACGAGGGCCCAAAAGCGGTGGAGAAACGGAGTGCTTGCGGTTTCCCAAATGAGCACGCCTTTCCCAAAGTGGAAAACATCACGTGCGTCCGGAGCAATACTTATCCTAAGGCGGGCCCAACAAGGCAAGTTAAACCGCGACAGGCTTCGGACGGAAGCCGAGTTTATTCCCCAGAACCCAGAACCGTCAGTCAACCTCCGCATAAAGATACATGGTTTTCTCCAGCTTCCTGAAATCCCCGCGTCGGATCCACTGCGCGACCTAGTTGCCATCCGTCAAGTGGACAAGATGGCATCCACAATGATGGGGGTCTTCCCAACATTGGCAACCCGCGGTTCGTCATGTACATGATTCACGGAGGATATAAAAGGACGCACCCGGATGGACGCAATCCATGGGCATAGGCATGTGGTATTCGATCGTTAACCACTTCCCTTAACGATACTATCCCCCGTTCACTATGCGTACCTGGTATGGAAGGGGCAAACCCCTTCAAGCAGCCATTACAGCATGCTGTCTTGTGGCATTTATCCTGTTCGGATACGACCAGGGCGTCTTCAGCGGGATTGTTGGGAATGATGACTGGAGGAAGCAGTTCAACTATCCGGATGATTCGGAAGAAGGGATTATAGTAAGCTGCTATAACCTGGGCTGTCTTTTGGGGTGCTTGGGTAAGTGACCTGCCAAATATCATTGGACGGAGCATCGAACTGACTCGGACGGATGTTAGTCAACTTCTTCATCGGAGAGACGCTCGGCCGTCGGAAGACCATCTGGCTGGCGATGGGCGTGGTGATTGTGGGCGCAGTATTGCAGACTACCGCGTTTACTGTGCCTCATCTGATCATTGGACGACTGGTGACGGGCGCAGGTACAGGTTTGAAGACATCCACGGTGCCAATGTAAGCCTTGATGTTCGCAACGATAGAAAGAATCATGATGACCACGATACTGACTGAGACTTAAGGTATCAAGCGGAGATGTGCGAGGGCAAAACTCGAGGACGGCTGATTTCATCCGAAGTGCTCTTCACCGCGGTCGGTATTGTTGTGGCGTACTGGTTTGACTTTGGCATGTCATTTGTCGGCGGCCCCATCGCCTGGCGACTTCCTATTGCAATGCAAATCGTGTTCGCCATCTTCGTTATTGTGCTTGTTTTTGGTCTCCCAGAATCTCCGCGATGGCTTATGAACCACGGCCAAGAGCGAGAAGCCATGGAGGTTCTCTGTGCCGTCTATAATCGGGAGGAGCACGACGAATACATCGTCAACGAGCACAGAGCGATCTTATCGGCCATTGAGCTGGAAGATGCAGTTAGCAAACAGTCTTTTTGGAAGATCTTCCGTAACGATGAGGTGAAGACGGGTCAGCGAGTGCTTCTTGCCTGGGGTATCCAGCTCATGAACCAGGTTGGAGGGATTAACCTGGTCGTTTATTTTGTTCCGAGTAAGTGCTGTGCTTTTTGAACCGGACGACGACTGCTGATGATTTATTTAACAGCTGTCCTGAGACAAAACGTGGGTATGAGTGCCCAACTTTCTCAGATTCTCGGCGGGTGCATTCAGATCATGTTCATGCTCGGATCGCTTCTTCCTGCATTTATGCTAGATCGCATGGGCCGACGCAAGACAATGATGATTGGTTCTTTTGGCCTAGGCGTATGCATGCTTATGGTCGCAGCCCTGCTATCCCAGGTCGACAAGCCGAATGGAAAGTCTTATGCCTCCGCTTCTGTTAGCTTCTTCTTCCTTTATATGCTGATCCATGGCATGTCCATCAACTCGGTCCCATGGGTGTACGTTCCAGAGATTCTACCGCTAGAAGCCCGGACTAAAGGCACAGCTATTGGAGTCAGCTCTAACTGGTTGTGGAACTTTACCGTGGTCATGATCACACCAGTGATCATCAACCGCATCCAGTGGAAGGCGTACCTGATCTTCATGATCACCAATCTCGTCTTTATCCCAATCATTTACTTCTTCTATCCGGAGACTAGCAACTTGCGTCTTGAGGATATTGATCTCATCTTCTCCCGAGGCGGAGACCCGGTGAAGCAGGCCAGAAAGATGGCAGCAGAGATCAAGGCATATGGGTATATTCAATCGGAACAGCGTTCCGATGAAAAGGAGATAAGTGGTGTCGAAGTGGAGCGTGTTTGAACTTGAGGTGAACACCCGAAGGCCGAACCTGAAGAACTGGCTGCTGAAATATTTGTATTCACAATTTCGCGGCCGGTGGCTACATCCCACCATGGGACTTTCTGGTGTTTTTCTTGTACCGCTTACCAGAGATGCCAATATTCTATAGACTACTCTGTATACATAATCATTACGATAACACGTCTCACCTACTCTAAGTGGAACTCCTTTTTCTAGTTAGTAGCTCCGCATCCCATTGAAACAGACCCATGACGGTGATATCGTCTCCCCCATATCAAGGAGTAATTTCATAAAAGCTTCCAGAATTTTGCTCCCTTGCACCACTTCATCGGCATCATTTCTGGCCAAGCCCTCTCTCCAATCAAGGAAAGTCGCAAGGAATAAGTAAGTGGTTTTGTAAATTCATAACCGCACAAGGAACTCCCCAAGGGGCCGCTTCTTTAGCTCCTCCACGAACGGATTATCACTGGTCCCTCGAGTTATCAACGTGAGCAATACCGATCAGCCTATGACATATCTAATTATCAGCACCTTGTCTCCATGCTCTCCGCAAGCCAATGACTCAGGCACCAGGCACTAAAAGTCCATTGCTAGAGATTTGGAAGTGGGATTATTTTGGTTATGGGAGATGTTGACATCGACATATGCGAACATGGATCGCGCAACAACGGCAAATAATCACGGTGGAAGTGAGGTCTAGAGCCTCCTAATACTTTTTTATGATTAGGAACTGTATATATAGAATATTCATAATAGGCCATTGTCTACAACATCTGCCTTATCGTACTAAGCGGGATTGTCCAGTCCTGGCTTATTTAAGCACTCTCAAGCTTGTCACGGGCGACATCCTGCTGCTCAGCAATCACATCAGCGGGGATGCGGTCCGGCGTCGTGTTCACAAGCATAATCATGGGGAGCAGAGAAGCTCCGAGGAGGGCGAATGTCACGCAGCTAAATTAGTCAGTTGCCGCCTTGACATGACGAAATATAAGTGGAATAGGAAAACGTACAATCCAATAAGAGGGTCACTCGTGGTTTGAGTGTTCATGCCGTAGGCAATAGCTTGACCAATAGCTTCAATGCATCTGAATGCCGCACCATTACGGACGTTTTCTACTTGGCCGTTAGCACATGAACAAGTCCCTGCTGATCTCCAATCCCGATTTATTTCAATACTCACCCTGCGCATCTGTCGCAAAAGATGACAGTAGCCAATACATGTACGACTGTGACAACGGACCGGTGGTCTGGACGAAGAAATACGGCAGGAATGACGAAGCATACAGTCCGTCGTCCCAGTCAATGTGGCCAGGATCGTGGCGGTTGAACTTGGTCTGCATGACGATAGACCAGATATATACACCAACGTTGAGGATGACGACGGTGTAGAGACCAATTTGCGCACGGCGGCGTTGGCTGAGACCCTTCATGTCAAGGATATAGCCAAGACCAAAGCAGCCGATACTGGTGACGAAAGACACTGGTTATTGCCGATACTAAGAAAAAGATTATATCTTGCACTTACATGCAGAAGAAAGGCGAGATCAGAGACGAGAGGGCGCGGGCCCGGACAGAGAAATAGGTTCCTAGGTAGGTAGTCCAAGTACCACTGCAAATTGCAGTATTAGCATTTCATTGTCTTTTCGTGGAGATGAGTGTATGATGTAACCCACGTGTAGAAAAATGACCACAATGCCCAAAGGGATGAAAGAACAATGAGCCTGGAGGTGATGGTCTTTGCAATGCGCCTAAGCTCCTGTTTGGTAGAAAGGGTCTCGGAAGTCACGATATGGGTGCCATCAGATCGGATAACGCGCTCGAAGGGAGTGATTAAAAGTGCGAATGGAAGACTGCAATCAGCATAATTTAGTTTCTGCCCTCGGGATTGTTCATGGGAGGAAAAGTACACTTACGCGATGCACTCAATGATCACGAAGGCAATGAAAGTATCGGGGGTGACTCCGCCATCGGCCCCTTTCTCATGGTTCTTTGCTAGACTTCAAACAGGAGTGGCTTCGGTTAGAATCTACCCGTCACGCACGCCTTTCGTGTAAACTTCCGAGAGACTTACTTAATTGCACCTCCGACTAACTGTCCAAGATTTCGCGAGACAATCCACAAAGCTAGATATTTTCCACGAGCACCGGACGGCGCAAGCGTCATGATGGCTCCAGCCTCAGCGACATACCAGCAAGCAGTCCCAATACCGCCGATAGCGCCGCTGAGAATAAGATACTGCAGAAAGTGGCATTTTGTCAGATATTGCATATTTTAGAAAGACAGGCCAAGTTGCCAAAAGCAGCCAGTGGCCATGTTCAAAAAGTCCTATCACTCACCCACTGGTTTCCAAACTTGCTGTTGCAGTAGTAGGCAGACCCTTGGATAGGGAAGGACATTGAGCCGATGACCAGGGCCCACTTGACACCGATTTTGTTGACTATGGGACCGCCCAGGAAGCAAACTTGAAAGGGTATCCACAGATTAGCGCGTTTAACGTCCTGGTTTGAGGCAGCCGAAACACATACCGACAGCCAGCGTGGCGTATCTGATCGCAGTCGAAATATTTGACACCTGAGGAGTTGCAAGGCCACCACCACCGAGGCCTGGGAAACAATCAGCGGCACATTCTGACTACATATGATGATGGTATAGAACTCTCACCTGTAATCGCGTCCGACATGGCTGGCCCACAAAAGGCCTGGACGCTCAAAAGCATCATCTGCGTCAAACTGTGCCGCCATACCCGCTTCCATAGCGGGATAGCCTCAATGCTGACTCCGTGACCCTGATCGATTGTATTTGTTGGAGTGGTGGGAGGAGGGCCATCGTCTGAATTTGGAACCGCCGTCTTTGTGTCGGTCATTATGAAAGCGTTGTACGATCACCGCACGTACGACGCGTTGAGTGATTGGGGAAGAGGAGAAAGATGCCAAAAAAATTTTTTTTTTTTCTTGAACGGCGTGAGTATTTATATACATAGGCATCGGGCTTCTGAGTATATCCCCTCATATCTGAACGCTAAGCTCGTGTCCGGAGCGTCTCGCGGCCAGGTGAAGGGTGGGTCTGTTCCCCATGGGGTTCCTCTGAAGTCGATGGAAGGTCCACGCGGGAAGAAATGCTCTGTACTTATTCTTTCCGATAATCGCACGGTGGGTATTGAGATATATAAAAGTCCCATTGCGCTGATAGCAATGCTTCGTCTTTTGCCCCCTTTTAGTATCTAATACCTGCAACCACTAAGAGTTCAGTATCTAGGATTTGATAATGAAAGGCGGGGTTAAATAACGGTTATCAGAAGGCTGCAGTTACTAGTATTTTGTACCCTATCTCTTATCTCCGGAGCCAGATAGCAAAAAGAGTGGGTCTCTTCCCCATGGACCAAAGAGTCCAAAGCTTCAGTCTAAGGGAACGGAAGGTCCACGCGAAAGAAAAATACACCAGTGAACTTTTCCCCACTCCCGCCATCTCCAGTGCTATCTTGGGTGGCGCAACTACTAATACTAGGGCTTCGAGTTACTGACTCACCACTATCTGACAGCTTGATAGATACGGCACGATATCTTGGGAATGGTAATAGAAATCGGCTTGTAGGCCCTAAGATCGTGTATTCCTAGTTTGGCTTGTATTTGTAATTGGTAGAATACTATGGCCACCATTTGCCACCTGCCCCTGATAGGATCTATCACCCTGGATGATTCGCAGCAATTGAATTTGCCATTCCTTCTAGGTTTGGCTTAAGTTTACCTCGTGAACAACTTGGTGGAAGCGGGTACACGGAAATAAAGGGGAAATGTGTATGAACAGAGAGCGTGTCATTGAGTAGACATGAAGGTGCTTCAAGCCCTGCAGAGGTGGCAGCTATCGATGGTGATTCATTCGCCACTTTCGGTCCAAGTCGATGCCGGTCTTTGCTCACTGAGCGGCCCGAAGTGTGACGTGAGCACACAAGAGAAGCCTGATCGTCTTTGTACGTATGTTACTATAATTGTTGGTGGTACCAGAATGAAGATACCTGGGCATCAAACTCTATGCTCAGTCTTACCGGTAGCACAGTGCCCGACCATCCGCTCACTTCTGGTTAATATGATTATAATTAGGATCATAAATGTCCCCCAGTCGATGAGCAACACGGTCAAAAAGAAATACACGTGAAATGACAGAGACTATTCCAACCTTCAAGGATAGTTAATCTCACTAAGATTCCGCAGGAGTGGTAGAGCGACTACGAAGCAATTGTATCCTAGGGATCCCGGGTACTAGGGTGTAGGGAGGCCAAGAATGGGTCCGGTGCACAAGGAGAGGAGGTGGATAACCGCCAGTGGCCCGGCATTTCGTTGTGTTGCGCCCTAGAGTTTGCCCCGCTCCTCAAGGCAATGGTGTTGGCCATAACGAGAATATATCACGATCGCAGCCACCTCGTGACGGTTCAGACAATGTAAGCGGTATAGATTGGTACGTGGGCCAACAGGGTCGAAGGTTGAATAAGTTAAGAGCAATACTAAGCAAGCTATTAAATACTCACCCTCTCCGCTCTATGCTGACCCCCTTTTGCTCAACAGGTATCCACTAATAAGCAGTCGACCAAATTTTTATTGATTAACTCCCTCATATACTACATAGATAGCTGCACATTTGAGCTTTCGTAGTCAATGGAAACACTAGTCTGTATGAAGTACTGCAATACAACAATTTCTACGAATACATCACAGTCCTACCCACGTCAGCTTTGACAATGTTCGTCCAATGATAATGGGGCCTCTATCCCATGGGTATCTGTCAAGGACAAACTGCCAAATAGGCGCACTTAACGTATTCCGCATGGTTGGACCTAACCAGTTCTGGGAACTGGGGTTTACCCAAACTGGGCTGCATCTTCGCATGACAGGTATCAGGGACCGTGGCAGTCTGGGGTTCATGGTGCCTCCATGACGGTAGACAATGATCATCGCCGACGTCTTTCATCCTCCGTCGTCCTTGCGGCTCGATCTCAATCCATGGCATTGATAATGTTGTCGGCATTTAAGAGAGCTTAGGTTTAGCGTGACTTACCAACGCTAGTACGATGTGTATATCAAGTTTGCTGCGCTCGAAGCGCTCTTCCAGCCGTTTCGCCAATAGAGTACTATCAATAATGTGGACATGGAATAGGTTCTTTAGACTCCGCTTGTCGCCAAGGGGTTCAGCTTTTGGGATTTAATGTCACGACTACCCTTGTCACTCGTGGACTCTATAACCTGAATTCGAAGAGTCCAGGCACGGCAGCAGGCTCAAGGGAGACAAAATTTGCTTCTCTTAACTACTAACATAAGTAATCTTTAGTCTCCCAGTTTGACATGCTCAAAGCGAACCTTTAATAAGTATTGTGTTCGATTAGATAGACCGATTTCCCTCAGTTAGCGACCAGCAAGGCATTTCGATAGAGGTGACATCAAACAAGTATCTAGTTCTATTCGGTATAGGACTATTGAGGGACGAGGCTTCAACCTTTCATAAAGCCCGTGCGGTCGTATCTTTGTTGTGGGTACAGAGTCAGTGAAACAAATAAGAGAAAGCTATATCCCATACTGTAATATCTAGTACGCCAAAGGTTAAAGCAGCGTAAGACAGCATGCAGGAGTAGCTCAACATGATCGCTCAGAAGTTCATCCATCCTTTCACAGTGGTTCCTGAATCGTGGCTTGACCTATCCGTCGGACTTATACCGCCCGCCTTGCTACAACAATCCACACATCGCAAGAATAACAGCATTAGAACCTTCCTCCGCATTCACGTCACCGACATACCCTAGCTTTCCCCTACCAACGTTAGCCAACGCCACGGCAGTCTCTCCAGCCGTATTCACACTCGTTGGCGAGAAGACCAGAGACTCAACCACCGAGTCATCGTCCGTTTTGTACCACATATCGCCTGGTACGACGTTCTTCACGAACACAGCCTTCTGACTGTATCTCTGTGGCAGCTTCTGGGCATTAGCGACGCCAACCGCGGTTTGGTTTATTGCCAGGGTTGTCCTGTGGTAGGATCCAGTTTCCCAGTTCAGACCTGCTTGGGAGAAAAATGGTTTCAGACTGTTCGGTCGAACAAATGAGGGAAAGTGGCCCATGATAACGGCCGTGCCCCCGCGACGGACATACTCTAGAACTGCTTCCCAGACAGCCTTGTTCTTGGGGAGGGTCAGGGCTTCATCCGTGATGAGTATGACTGAAAGTTCTGGATGTTGTGCTAAGAACTGAATGGCTGACGTTGTGGTTTCAGCACGCTGAAATTCCGCTTTTGACCGCAGGGCCGTGAGAAGCGGAGCATACATCTCGTCAAACCATGGTTGGAGGTGCAGAGAAATGGCAAGAACCCGAGTATTGTTGGATGCCATGATCGTGATGCCACAGGTGTGGTTTTACAGAAGTTTACTATGCAAAAATGATATGATTGAAATTGCCCGTAAGTTTGTTAAATGGAGGGGGATCGTGCAAGTTCCTCTAATGGGGAAGGAATTTTGTGGGGAATTTCCCGATCCAACAATCTCTGGCGAATCACAAAACATTCACATAAGAATGGACTAGGCTGGATGTAGACTAGTGGTAATAACACCTCACTTAAGTCAGTACATACTTCGTAAACTAATTTCGCATTAGATACTCCACTCCACCCTAGCGGCCTGATATAATGGCATAGACACGGACTTGCTTTGCGATATGAAGAAGGAAGAAGAATGGTGGGAAGATGAGAAGCACCGTGTGAGAGACCATCGGGTAGCAGATGAGGGCATGTACTATCAGCCGGATGACAGATCCCGAGCAATAGGACTTTCGTCTATAGTCACAATGATACAAGGTAAACTCACATCCATATTATAAATGAACCAATTTCTGCGGGTCACGATCTTCATTTGGAAGATCTATATCGACCATGATGCATTGTTCTTCCGGACGACGTAGATAATGTGCTACCTTGTATTGCCAACACTTGAGCCACTGAGACATCTACCTTAGGAAACTTCAATTGAAATCCACGTATCCCTCAGTTCCCAAGCGTCAGCAACAAAGCTCAAGGCCCCTATGAAGGACTCCGGAATCCCAATCCCAGCAGGCATGCCCCAGTGCGCACATAATGCTCCCCAAGTCAGGCTTGATACCAAGCTCTTTCTGGCGGCATGGATTTCCTCTCGCCGCGTTAATATGTCCGTATCATTGTCGTCGGCTTCAATCGTACTTTCCGCCTCCTTGTCAATCATGTTGATCTGACCATTAGTGGATGACACTGCCTTCTGGTCTGCCCTCTTTCTAAGTACACTCTCCCGCCAAAGCTTGCCCAACTGGAGCATCATATGCACACAGAGGGAAAGGAGACTCCAAGAATAAAGTTTTTCACTGTCGAACCTCCGCCATAATTTCTCCGGCAAAACATTTTTGGACATGAGAAAGGCGACATTTTCTAACAGTTGGTACGATGTGGTCGCCACCAGCTGAAGTCGTGTTAGTTCGCGGACAATTCGATCCGCCGTTGGAGCCTTTGTGGTCTCAGAGCCCCAGGCCCATATCGAGAATAATCCCAAAAGACGTAGAGTGCAACGAGTGTCGAACATCAACGATGAGAGTGACAGTAGCGGTGACCATGCCGTGGTTTTGATTTGCGTCGGGGTGGATAGACCGTGACATGGAGTCGTTTGACGTCTCTGGATTACTCGCAGAAGAGCATATATGCGAGCCTTTACCTTTTGCCAGATTCTCGAGAGGAGAAAGTAATGTAAGGCGTGTGAGAGATATTCAATGGAGCCGAGAGCGGTGTCCTGGCCTATGGAGCTAGAGATGAGCCTGCCGTTGCCAATCGATCATTAGCTACGAGTTCTGTAAGAAGTGATACTAAGCAACACATACGTGTTTATTTTGTGGATCGTGATATCTGTTGCCCTCAACCCGGCAGATACTATTGACCAAGGCCGACAATTCCCCACACGACGTGGATCGGGATTGGTGGAATGTGTTGTTCCAGCGCCGCGTTCCGTGCCCGCGGGGGCGTCAAGGCATCCATCTTGCTGGCGATCGGGTTCCGACATGCTATGGAATATGATGTCAAATGTTATGATGGCGAGCCAGCCTCGGGCAGCCGCGAGGGAATAACAGAGCCATAAAAGTAAAAGTTTGGGGGTTTCCGAGTTTCCGACGTTCCGAAGATCTGGGTTTATAACATAACCGTGTGTGGGGGGATCTGATAATAACAACGCGAGGACCTGCCTAATTCAAATCGTTTTCTCAACATCGTTTGACAAAAGAATGAATTCAAAAATGTGGGTGTTAGTAGAGAAAATAGTAAAACCAGTTGATTTTCACCAAGTAAGCGAGGCGGATGTTAAGAGTCGTGGGGAAACCAAATAAACATGCCCAGATTTTGGTGCACGGAAAAGAAAGGCTTCTCTTGGTCTTTCCGCTTGCAGACTAGCGTACTGCTCGGGTCTTAATAAAATCATAACAGAACTGAGAGAGAAAGAAAGCTATTGTTCCATGCAGAATTATTGTCAAGAACTAAGATAAATGGAAAATAGAAACATGAGTAGCTATCTTTATACAGCTTCTACACCAGCTGGTCTATCAGAAGCGTTTTTGGAAGTTTAGTGGTTCTAGGCCAAACATATATAATGTAATTACCTTGTCTTAGTTGTCTAGGAATAAGACACCTTAGGCGAGGTGCACGAATCAACTCGTTAACCATTTTACATATATGATTTCTACTGTTATACTATATGGGGCGAACGTACAGCGCTGCCTTGTAGGCATTTTATGTTTTTATTTCATTCATCTTTGGTTCTTGTTCTGTAGCCGCCAAGTCCATCTGGACTGCGGGCTTAGTAAAGTAGTACTGCTCCGGAGAAAAAAAAAAAAAACACAACCGCAAAGTAGAAAAAGCAGAAAAGAAGATCGAAATATAGAACAAAAGAACATAACCGAATTAAAGTCAGGGGTTACATAGAGCGACATCCCCAAGCACTTACTGCGGCTACCTTTGTAAGGGTGGTAAGATGATAGAGTCCACCCTGAATTGGAAGCAACAACTGCCAAAATATTACCCTATGCACGTATGTCATATTTTCTTTGGTGAGTCGAGACGACCCTAGGAATACCGTGAGGAGCCTCGAACAAGTAATTATCTATCCCCTTCAGGTAGGCCTCGGCCTCTTCAAGTCGTACGACGTTGAGATGTCTGCCTACTACCGGAGGAAGACATCGTAGATTTCCTCTTTTGGCCGTTGCTTTTGTGGCCTAGTCAGGGAACTGTGGACTTGCCACTTAATAACTATGTCTCTACTACAACAACTCTGGATTGAAACTCCCTTGTTTCAACCCCAAAAAATATGGCCCTGGAAGAAGCCAAGCAGGTAAGTTGAGCCTTGGACAGAGATTGCTGTTCTTTTCCCCGTTGTTGCCTCTACTAGTCGAGAGCTGGCGCCTTGGCAGGGCGAACCACTCAATCTGAGGGTCTCAATGCCTTATAAAGTCCCACAGCCAAGGACACGATGAGTTGCGCGCTGTTGCTGATACCCTGTCCACAACAAGGGTTAGCGCTAGCCATCCCAATAAATGGGCAGTTAAATAGAGTCAAATCCCGCAGTAGGTTTATTCCCCTAGCCATAGCCTGTGGCGTGGGCGTCATAAAGAAGATGTGGAGCGCTTATCTCCTCCTCGTTGCCGCGCTGGCAGTCCAGCTAGAAACTGGCGAAGCAACCGACATGAGATACCGCGATGCATCCGTCTGCATCGACCCTGCATCTTTCAAGTCCTGCAGGTAACGCGCCCGTGACTCGCGCACCGACTGTGTCAGTAAGCGTTGTTACGGTGCGGAGGACCCATGCACCAAAGTACGCAATGGCGATGATACGTGCATGCGAGAGAAATGTAAAGCCCTATGAGTTGAATGCTACAGGCCCTGTGAATGTGCCCAGGCGCAGGACATAATTGACTGTACTGCAACGAGCTGCTGGAATGAGGTTCGCGCTCCCCTTTGTGCTTAGTTGGCTTGAATTCGGTTTGCGCCATGGCATACATAGGAAAAGGCAAGCCGGAAATTAATCGATGGCCCGTAATAGGTATATTCATGCGAATATGGAATGACGGTGAGCGGGCTAGTCTACTCTTGCCCCGACGTCAACCTGGACCAGATTCCCTTCTGGCCACCACCCGACAACGCCCCGGGGGGATGTGTCTGCAACGTGGGAAAAGTGACTAAGAAACAGGTCCAAATCTAGGTGAAGTCATGTTCTTTCGAAATAATTTTATTATCATCGTATTTCTGTTAGAGCTGAGCACTCAAGCTGACTATCTAAAACATATTTGAATTCACACAGACATTTGAGGCAATAGCTGGCGTATTGACCAAGGATCAGCCTATCGGTAAAGCCGTGAATTCTGCCAACATGAAACAGAAAGCTCAATTTCGGCATTAAAGATAGAAGCATAAAAGGAGGAACGAGCTAGTGTTAAGAGTTGTAGAGTGAAGTGAAATGTGCAGTTTGCGAATTCCATGTACTTGTGCACTGCTTGTGGATTAGCCAAGGCAACAAAGTAACAAATTCACGACCGCTTCTGCTTAACTGAGCGCCATTCGATCAAAAGACTCCCCACAATGGTCATACAGCTCAGCGCGACAGAAAGGTACCAAGTACGAGTCAAACTCCGATCAATACCACGCAGAACCTCATCCCATCGTTGCATAGGAACCACGTTCTTAAGATCGCCAAGTCCGCGCTCTGCAATATAGGCAGGTGTCAATCCTGGTACGACATCTCCCAACCTGGACGACAACTGATTCGTGAAAATGACCTGCGCAATCGCTATAAAAACGGCCGGACCCATGCTCTGCCCGAACAAGATGACTCCGATCCCAAGATTGACATCAGCGGCACTTAACGTTGTCTGGATGGCTGCCTGAGGGCCTTGGAAGCCGATACCTCCACCGAAACCGGCTAATCCCGAATAAAGGATGATCTGTGCAAGGGACGTATGGGGATCGTATGTTGTCATCAAGCCCGCAGCAATTGGCATGCATACGGAGCCAAAGATCATAAAGGGAGCATAGTAGCCGAAGGTTGTAGTGCCGATACCCTGCAACAAGAGCCCGAGCATCATTCCGACCAGAATGGGAATCATTAGGTAGCCGCTCTCACTTGGAGTCTGGCAGCATGTAGTATCGTCAGTGAATGTATATCGCCTGTTATCGATGGAAGCTCACCCGGGATCGAACGACTTGATAGTACGTTGGTAGGTACCACTCCAAAACATTTGTCACTGAATTAGTGCACGTTGTGAAGATAAAGCCTGCGATGACACTTCGGTTTTTAATTATGCGGAAGGGGAGCGCTGCTGAGTCTCCGCGTCGGTATTGATTGATCAGGAAGAGAGCCAGGAGCACAGCAAATGCAATGAATAGTCCAATCACTTTCCCATCGGACCAGGGATATTTTGTTCCCGCCCAAGATAGTGCGATAAATAGCGCTGTTAGGGAGGGAATGAACAAGCAGTTGCTAACGAGGTCAAGGTCTCTGATCTTCTGCGTCAGGGTGAGATCGTCCTCTTGGCGAGTTCTTGGATCTGCGAAGAGGAAGAACATGGTCGCTAGCGACACCGTGCCAATAGGAAGGTTGATCCTATGCATATATCAGCGCCAAGCTACCTCCTGTTTAGCCATGATTAGGAAGAGCAGAGTATACCAGAAACACCATCTCCACCCTAGAGATTGAGTCAATGCGCCACCTATAATAGGCGCCGCAATGATGGCAAGTGATTCTACACACGCCATCAAACCCGCAAATATTGGCCGTCTGTTGAGCGGGAGAATGTGCGCGAGGACGGCAAAACAGCCAGCCAGCTCACCCGCGAAACCCAGACCCGTCACAGCTCTGCCTATAATAAACATCGTCGACGACGCCGCTGTGGCACAGAGTATAGAGCCGACAAGGAATATAACATTGCTGGTTATGAAGACGACCTTGATGGAGAAGAGTGTATACAGCTTTGCGAATCCAAACTGGAAGGCACAGGTGCAGAGTCGGAATGCGGATGAATACCATCCTACGTCGGCGAGAGTGTGGAAGTGGTTAGTGATGCTCGGTACAGCCGTTGCGACGATGTTGGCGTCCAAGCCCCCGAGGATTAGGATTACACACAGTGCTATTACGGTGAACCAGAACTTGGTGCCTGTTGGGTAATTTGGCTCTACATTGGGAGGGCTAGACTCGACATTAAGTGGCTCAACTGTGTGTCCCGAGGTGGCGGAACGTGGCGGTTGATTTTGCTGCATATCTCAACTCTTTATGCGTGATGGGAAAGACCTCTGGAGATGACATTCTACGAGCCCCCTGTGAAGAGCAAGTGTGAAGAAGAGAGAGACGCGTGGAATACTCTTGTCCGCGATGCATGTTTTCAATTCTATAGCCGAGGTAGTAGTGGCTCATTTCGCCGCATGTGAGAGATAAATGAGCAAGGATCTACCGTATGTATTTCGGGCCCAGTGCTCCACTAGTTTAAGCCCTACATATTATCCCTGTTTGTACGACGCTATTGAGCTTTCGATGTTCTACTCACCGAGTGCGATGAAATACATGGGCCAGCCCAGCTGACATGGGAACGGCCACATTCCCATCGGATGTCACATTTCCCCTTGCCCCAGCAGGTACGAAGGTCCTAGTTTGAAAGTGCACTTTTCAATGAAATACTGATGAGGATAATGAGTACAAGTACTCTATGGCCCAAGGGACACATTTGAAGTGGGTAGCCTGAGGGATCAGCCTGATAATTACCCCGATAAAATTTCCCGAGCATCGGAAGCCCTAGTTTTGGCTAAGAAATACGACTGTGTCCTCAGGCTGCAGGCTAGCCAAATTGAGATATATTTGTGAGGTACTATGCTGAGCTCTCACAGCTATTCAGAACAATGCATTGCCACCTAATGGGACATAAGGATTCCAAATTTGCTGGGTTTTATCGATCCCTTGAGAACCTAACCTCTAGTACCCCAGACTATCAATTCCAGCCCGAATAGACTCCTCTAATCCGACCCAACCAGACCCCCCGAAAACTGCCTGAAGTAAATTCTTCGCTCTGCGAGCAGGAACGATCTCACTCAAATCTCGGAGTTCATGCTCTGGAGGACTGGGAATTTCTGTATTACCCGGACGGAGCTGTCGTAAAATGGCGAGAAATTCCTTCCAGGTAAAAGTCGAGGCGAAAGCAAAGAGACGTTCAGACTTGACTTCGGGATGAAGAAGACCAACGACATGTACGCGCGCGAGATCTGCAACATCGACGAATTCTATTTTCGAATACGCATCAGTAAACGGATCGACACTGAACGTATCGGAACAGGGGAAAATATGATACTTACGTCCAGGAAACCCGAAAGCGGTGGTATCACCGTTAAGCAGATTAGCCGCCCACTTCATGGTAGAGCCAGCTATTTCGGGGTGAAGCACCTGTCCGAGCTGTTTTGCGAATATGAATTAGCTAAGACGACGGATGAAAACCTCCAGACATTGGTTTAGAGTCCCATTGATATATCCTGGAGCAAATGCTCGACGACCTTAAAGCTACCCCATTCGTTCACTCACCGTGTAGTAGGGCAAGACCGCGTTAAACACAAAAGGCGGCTTGTTATTCTTAACCCACTTCCATGCCGCTCGTTCACCTTCTGTCTTGGAAGCAACGTAAACGGTGAACGGCTTGGCATCTGCTGGTGTGCCTTCGTCAAAAGCAGCCTTCACTGTCGCTTCATTCCACGTGTCTATAATCATACGATTAATATCAAGCTTATAATGGTAAATATGGATCATTATATGGGACCATATTGGGTTGGTATCCCCGATGTAGGACGCTGGCAAAGTGAAATACATACCTTCAGTGATCACAACCCCTTCGACTCCCGGTTGAGGTAACGCCGCCGCTGAAGCTGATGAAGTGAGGAGGACTCTTTGAATCGATCCTTCCGGTTGTCTAGCGGCGGCTTCTAAAATAGTCTCGGTGGCCGAAACAACTTTCGGAATAACCTCCTCAGCATTCGGGCTAAAGGAAACATCCGAGGCCTAGACGTATCTGTTTAGTATTATATCCTGCAGAGTTGCTCATATATTTCATAGCTGGACAAAAGCTATGGGGCGAACAGTGAAAAGGGCTTTGTCTATACCACATGAATGACACCGCTAACATCCCTCATTGCCTTGCTCAAAGTGTCATAGTCATTCAAGTCTGGGACAACAATCGTTTCGAAACTATTGGGACCGTATTTGGATCTGAAAAGCTCTTCGAGCCACGACTTCTGGGAACGCACGGTGCCTCGCACAACGTATCCAAGGGATAGGAGTTGCTGCACAACGTGGGAACCAATAAAGCCATTGGCACCTGTGACCAGAACGCGGGATCCAGGTGGAATAGCATATTGTTCTTTTTTGATCGATGCCATTTGGTTGACCGGTGCTCACTTGCAGCAAGATGTTTTGGATGTGGAGAACTCTGACTTGAAATGTGACTTTTCGTGATGATTCTCTAGTCTTGTGCATTGGGATCAGTGAATGACTTATATTCTATTCCCCTCAAGCAGGATAAGGAGATGTCTGCCTCCGCGGAGCTACATAAGCTATTCTATACGGAAGTATTAGTACCTATATTTATCAGCCGTCCGCCATTACGCATCAAGAGTCAAGTTATAACTGCTCATGATAAATCCTTCTCTAGATTATAAAGCATTGCATTGGGAATGACACCCGCGGAAGCTGGCTTCCTTCATCTGGGAGCCCTACTGCCGATATTAATCAGCCGCCTGCCATAGCCCATCAAAAGTTAAACTAGAAATACATTATAGATCCCTCTCCATATTATAAAGCGTCGCATTCGGAATGGCTTCCGCGGAACCTCTGTCCGGCCTTGTCAAGCTTTTTGGCTACAGCATATAAATTCAGCCAACCTCTCATGAAGCTTGCGGATTACAGTGCCAATAACCAGTGTACAACTTGCTTATCACGTTTTCTTTTCACCTTAATCGAGGGACATATATCGAAGATGAAAGTTGGCATCGTGAACGCAGGCAATATTGGATTGCGTCTGGCTTTTGCCTGGATACGCCTTGGCCATGATGTCATGCTCAGCAAAGACACACATCCAGAACGGCTTCGAGCGCGCGTTAGAGAATTAGCCTCAGAGAAGGGCATCGGAGAGAATGAGATAGCCCGGTTTCACTACGGCTCAATGACGGATGCTGCGAAATTCGGCGAAATTGTCATTCTGTCGGCATACTTCCCACGCTTGGCTCATATTCTCAAAGAGCTCCAGAATGACGGCATTACGCTTTCGGGTAAACTGGTGATTGATACAATGAATCCGCTAAATGTGGATGCCAACTTCAATCATTACCATGACCTCAAGTACATGGAAACAACCTCCATCACGCAAGAGGTTCAGAGAGCCTTTCCAGAGGCAATACTTTTCAAAGCCTTCAATTCTATACCAGCATCACTCTTGGAAGTCCAGAAATGGGCATCTGGTCGTGTGCCACCTATAATCTTCATTGGTGGAAATGCATCTTCTATCGGCACAGTTCGAAAGCTTATTGAAGAGGCCGGATTCAAGCCACAGTTTGCAGGCTATGATTTGCATCATTCAGGATTGCTGGAGCGGTTGGGCGTATTGTTACATCTGTTGGTGGAGAATGAATATGAGGGCAACATGAATGTTGTGTTCGATGTCATGAAAGGAAAGGCCTGAGGGTCGGTCCCTTTTGCCAATGGTAGTATCGTCTGGAATTAGTCCTCCTCCTTTGTTGGTTGTTGTCGCCCACTCCTGTGGTCCATGTGAGCACCTGTGTTGTTGAAGATACATGTAAATCCTGGAATTAGGCTTCATTCATGAGTGGAATAGGCTGAGCCGGCTATTTTCAACTTTGAAAACCATGAAGTTTGCGTTTCGCATACTGTCACATTGCTTTGATGCTATGGATATTGATGCCCTTTAGTACTGGCATATTCCTAAAATGGTTCTACATTGTCTGGACGTTCGAGCAACCAATAATCACCCAAGGGCGTTGTGATATCTTCAGCAAGCTTCTGCTTCACCGTTCGGACGGCCTCAACACAAGTCTCCCGAAGCGCTTGGGTCTCTTCCGATTGACTTTCTCTCATGGCCTCATTGAGCCAAAGAAGGGCTGAGTCCATCAGCTCCATATCTAACTGGATCTTATCATGCCATGGATTGTACAGAGCGTTGGCCGTCAACAGCACCATAGCGGTTGTATAAGGACATGAAGTCAGCCTATCACTGTCAACAACTGTATCCTCGTTAGAATATGTGATTACTGACCAGCAAAACCAGGCATCTCTCGACCAAACCTCTCGAAATAAGAGCATGTAATTTCTGGCCTGATGGACTATTGTCTCCCAAGCTGGTGGTAGCTGCAATATCTGAGTTCCTCGGCTATGGTTGCGAACACCACTCACCCATTGTCCATCCCAAGCGTGAGCCCGGCTAACAAGCGCCATGCATTGGAGACTGGTTGAGTGTAGCACACAGAAAAATCCATTATTCCCTGGTTTATTTCTGGTGCTCGATGTGACGATACTTGCGCTAAATTCAGGAGGTATGGAAGCCCTCCATTCATCGAGTGCGCTAACAATGCTCTCCTTTGCATTACGTCGTTCTTCGAAGCCTCGATTTACTGCTCGTGTTGAGTAGAGAGAGTCATATACGCGACCCTCAATATTGGCGAGCTTGACGCGAGCCAGAAAATAATTCATCCTGGCATTTCCGTCAGCCGTAACGACGATACCAGCAGTGTTGTCATTATCGTCATTAGTTGTCGGCAAAGAAGATGGTAACTCCACGTCAATATCGTCATCGAGTTGAACGGAAGGCTGTTGGGTACGCAGGCTTAAATCTTTGTCGAGAATGTATGCGAGCCAAAAGACGCGGGCATGCTGTCTCCTTTGCACAGGATCCAGATGTGTTGATGCTGCATGGTTGTGCAGGCCTAACTTATGTACGAGACGCATCGTTGCCGATATTAGGATCAAGGATGGGGTCAGGTTGTGTGCAGTTTGGAGCACCATCACCATGCCTACCAGTACCTGTATGTTAAGGAGATGGGTCTCACCAAGCATCACAGTCGAGATGATGGATTGTGCCTTGTTGAGATACTCCGTGGCTTGATCGGTCTGGTACTCGGAGCGACCATTGCTGGCGCCTTCTGGAACCTGTTGGCAAGCCAGGGCAAAGACGACGTTGATGGCAGCCCATACTACTGGGTCGCGTTGTTGGGGTTGACGGGCATAGCATTCACCGACTAGACGCAACAGCGTATCAGCATGAAAGAGCGGCAGGACCGAATTCCAAGTGTTAAGATATATTCCAACCATGGCCATGGCTAGTTGTAGAGGAGGTAGTTTCATCGAGCTGATTGTAAGATCGTCCTCCGCGTCACTGTGTTGATCTTCAACATGCACTGCTATTGTCGTCGTCACCGGCCCTGGTGTCGGATGTGGCGGCCGATCTTGGTCTCGCCTCTGAGCCTGTAACTCTCATAATTGAGTATCATCATTATGCCAGCGCCCGGGACTACGTACAAGTTGAGTCTTTAAGCGCTGTATTTCAGCTTGCAGGCTCTGGACTTCTTCCGCCTTCTTGGCCCCGCTACTACGTTGTGCTCTGGGCTTTGACTTCCGGCTCAGTGCCGTATGCGTGCAGTCTGTAGCATAGTTGATGCAGTTTGAGCAGCGAGGCTTCTGTCCGTCGCACTTGATCTTGCGAGTGTAGCATAGATCGCATGCCTTTTCCCCAGCATGACTTAGCAATTCATATTTGATCGATGCACAGGCTCGCTTGTCACGCCTACCTTCCTCGCCTGATTATTCAATTCCATTGTAGCTCCGATATGCCTTCAAATCAAATCAATCGTTGTGTTCCCTCCACAGAGCTGGACTCAAAAGGTTGGCTTGGTAACTTATGTGAAAGGCGAAAGTGCCTCCGCGGAAGCAGCAGTCAGCTGACTCATCATCTTAGGATTACAAATACATTCCTATGTTGCATGGAACAAAAATGGTATTATATAGTAATGGGTGTATTGATTACAATATATCTAGGCTATCTAGATCGATTGAATTTGCAAAATTAATAAGATATTCTGATGAGAGACCTTCTTGCCACCAAAGCCCTTCCATCTGTAGAGTATCTTCTAACGGCTGGAAGTTGTTTTGGACAATCATAGGTTGTGGTAGTGCCGACTTTGGAGAAGGGCCTTCTGGTGGTAATGAGCTGCGTGAGCTCTGCTGTTGAGGCGCTTCCCCTTGATTGAATTCATCGTCCATAGGCCAACGACTAAGAATGTCTTCTAGGTGTCGTAGCTCTGATTTCACCTGGACAGCCACCATGTTTCCACAGGATATAATATATTCCAACACACTATAGCAACGCTTTAACCATATCGACTGGTTCTTTATTAGAGTGGGATCAATAGTAGGTGCCATCAACAACGTGAGATGAGCGGCGAAGGTAGCGTCGAGGTCGAAGCGCAGAAAGCCCTCTGCCCTGACGTTAGTCATTAAAGAAAGAATAGCATTCGTTTGCACTGACCGAGGATATCTTGGCTCTGCAAACTTGCGAGAATGGTTAGCATTTGCTGAGCCGAGTCGATGCATATGAGAAGCAGATTCCTAACACTCCCAGACCGGGCCGTGCGTATCAAGCTCGGGTCCGAACCGCCGATCCTCGACTCGAAAAGGTTGTAAAGCAAAGGCCTCGTCGTAAGAACAATGCACTAAGAGGCATATTACTATAGGTCTCATCAAGTAAGCGATTCACGTACTTGGTGTTGCATGAGATGCAGCGAAGCAGAAACCCTCGATATGCCACGCATCACGGCGTTATTGGGTAATGCAAAAGAGCCATTCAGATGGTCAGCAACGCCTGCGATATTTTTCAGGGCGTCCTTTGTGCTGCTTAGAAACTGCTTGTCGAGACGACCGTCGGCACCGTACACGGCTGTGTCTATCAATAGAAGTCTTGGCCACGCATGCTAATGAGTACTCACTCTCGACTATCCGCGCCAGAACACGGGAGAGCTTTATCTGGATCTCCAGAGTCATTGACTTCCGAGGTTCTCCCGGGAAAGTAGGTAGGGGTGCGTTTATCGCATCATCTGAAATTGCCATTGGCACACCCATGAGGGACGACATCTGGCGGTCGAGGATGTAGACTGTCCACCACACACGGTGGGATCTCTGAGCGTGTGCGTCACTCACGTCCTGGCCGTGCATTTCAGTGTGTAACCCTCCTTGAAGCGCCAGGCGCAGCGCTTGGCCTATCTGTCTCTTTTGTTAGTGGCAGAAACTCATTGGATGTTTTCATAACGGAGCTCACGATGCGATAGGCAGGCCCGCGGAAGTCTAGGCATTGGAGATACAAGGCGGCACAGCATAGGATCTGCACCATATGTATTGCATCAGCAACGAACATATGAGCCGGTGGAAGAAGGCTCATGGCAAGACGGAATAGGTCGGCGCCTGGAGGCTTTCGTCCTCTGCTGGTCTGGACCACAAATGCCTTGCCGAAAGCAAGAATCAAGAGGTAATGGATATACCAGAGACCTGAAGGATCTAATGCATTCTCGTGGTATAAGGAAAAAACTGCATGAACCTATCTTCCTCTAGAAGATGGAACAGCTGGCCGCAGTGGAATTGAACGGCATGTATCAGGTAACGTGCATAATCCGGCGAGGGAAGTGCAACAACCTCGAGGTCTACCTGGGAGGATGGGTGCCGTTTCTCATCCCACCCCAAGTCATAGCATGTGCCGTCGAAGAGTAAGTTTTCTGAAGGAAGGGGGGCATGCATGGCCGCTTCGTATGTCATGCGGAGGACACGACGGCCGAAGGACCATGTCGAAGACGTCCCCAGATGTACTGCAAGATAACGTCAATACACTCCTACTAGCACGAGACAGAGACCTACCAGGTCGTCCGTTCGTGTCTAAAGAATAACTTGAGCAATCGATGGCCAAGGGATTCGTGAGTGGTGGCGCGGGTGACTCCCCGGGTGAGAACGCTTCCGGCAGTCCTGTGGCATTAAATACCCTAGTCAAGCCATTTTTGTCGAGCGATCTAGTATCAGAATCTTACTGACTAGTCAGAAATTGCCAGGAATTGCTGCCGTGGTTGCTTACCTAGCTCGACTGGCAATCTAGGGTTCCCCTGACGGCTACAAGAGGCCGCATGACGATGGGCGCTCGGTTGCTCAGCTGAGATCGCTCCCGATCGCGGATCACCCTGACATTCAACTTGTCTCCTGGTGCATCGGCTGCAGGGGAAGGACCCATTGCATTTGACCTTCTGCCGGCGGCATCTTGCGCATCTTTTGCTGGACGCATCAGCAAGTCTGCCCTGGTATAAGGATAGGAGCACTTACGCCCTGGGCACTCGCTTTCTTACGCGGCGTTGCTTATCCATGGCCTGTCCAGATGCTAAGAGGGAAGCCGGAAATGGGTCGGTTGAGATACTTGATATCCGATTGTGAGATTGGGGTTACTCCAAAACATCGGAACCACTCCCGACTTTCACGCGGGGGCTATGGGAGGGCATCCGATTCCCATAGTGCGCTAAAAGCCGGCAAGCTCTGGTTGAACCGATGTACCGGCCATCACACAGTCGGTGGACCCGATGCAGACACAGCGCGTCGCGATTGCGCAACTCCGGGGATACCTACAGTGTAAGTATGCAAAACCTCTGGATCAGGTTGTGAACCATGATTTTTCCTCTCCCTACAAGCATGTCGTTTGGCCTGAACCATACCGGAATCGAGGCCGGTGACTAGACTGGTCTGCTTTCTGGACTGTCTAACCTCTCATCGGCAGCTTCGGGCTACCAGTTTTGTCTGGTATTGATCACTCGATTTGACTGTATTAAAACTACAATATCGATCCACAATCCATTGGACTTGGACTCGTGTAGGTTGTGTCGGCTTCAAGGTACGATCCAGCCAACGGCATAACAATGATCTGCTCGCCACAGCTCAGATGTAGTCAATCTGCTTTCTCTGGTTTGCCATGGGTTATCCGACTAGCCACACATGCTTGTATCAACTATCCGAGTCGGAGAGAACCGAAACGGTGGACGTGATCAAACACCACGTTTCTTCGATCCCTTGGCCGGCACTCGACCAGTCATCAAGTTATAAAAGCCAGTCAAGGACCTCAGTGACCTCACCATCAACAAATACACTTCCCCATCACGACTTAATCATGAATTTACTCATCATTATCTATGCTGTACTGGCTGCCCTGTGTTGCTACATCGTCCTCACTGTCTACGAACAAGTCCGATCTCCATTGCGCGACATCCCCGGCCCCTTCGTAGCCCGGTTCTCAAGCCTCTGGTATTTATATAAATCATACCGCGGCAATTTCCATCATGAAAATATTGAGCTTCATCGCAAGCACGGTCGGATCGTCCGCATTGCCCCCGGAACATACTCAATCTCTGAGCCAGACAAGGCCGTGTATGGCGCTGGCAGCCGCTTCCCCAAGAGCGATTGGTATCAGGCCTGGAAACACCCGGACCTTGTAACGCTCTTCGCGGACACCAATATCAAGCGGCATAATGACTCGCGCAGGAGGGTGCAGAACCTGTATTCCTTGTCTTCACTTGTGTCGTATGAAGCACCTGTCAACGACTGCAATGCCATCCTCTGTCGGAAACTCCGGGACTTTGCGACAACTGGGGAGGTCATCAACCTGACATACTGGCTACAGTGCTATGCCTTTGATGCAGTCGGGTGCATCACCTTCTCAAAGCGATTTGGGTTCCTCGACGAAGGCAAGGATATTGGTGGGATGATAGAGGCCAATGCGCAGCTTCTCCTCTACTCGACAGCAGCAGGACACTACCCAAGCCTTCATCAATATTTATATCCCCTTCTTGAGCGCATCCCGGGGACAGGAGCTTCTGGCTTGCGCAAGATCACAAGTGCGGTGTACGATATGATTTCCCTGCGTAGACGCTTGAGGGGCAACGGCGAAAAGGATAAGTCCAGAGTCGACAACCAAGCTGGGCCTCAGGACTTCCTTGACAGAATCATGAACGCCCAGGATGCTGATCCCACTAAAGTGACTAACTCGCACATCTTTATGCTCGGATGGGGTAACATCAGCGCGGGCAGCGACACCACTGGAGTAACCTTATCTTCGATATTATATTACCTGATCCAGAATCCCCAAACCATGCGACGCCTGCTTGACGAAGTGAGCCATGTCAGATCTGCGGGAGGTTGCACAAAGGAGAGCGTCTCATTTGCCCAAGCGCAAGATATGCCGTACTTGCAAGCCTGTATCAAAGAAGGTATGCGGCTTCACTCCGCAACCGGATTGCCTCTGTGGCGCGTGGTGCCTGAAGGGGGAGCCGAGGTCTGCGGGCGTTACTTTCCGGGAGGGAGCGTCGTGGGAATAAACACATGGGTTGCGCACTACAGCGAGGCGGTATTTGGCCATGATGTTGGTGAGTTCAGACCGGAGCGTTGGCTTGAGACGTCTGGTGAGCGCCTCAGAGCGATGGGGTCGTACCTCATACCTTTCGGTGTGGGTTCGAGGACATGCATCGGAAGGCATATCTCCATGTTGGAGATCAGTAAATTGCTGCTGGTCGTGGTACAGAACTTTGAGATTGAAATGGTGGATGACAAGGAGGGATGGAAGACGCTCAACCATTGGTTTGTCATGCCTCTAAATTTCAATGTGAAGCTGAAGCCAAGGGTCTAGACTGGTGGAAATAGTCATATAGAGGATTATCCGTGGGAGAGCTTTGGGGGAGAGTTGAGGACATCGTGGGGTTGTATTTGATTGCAGGGTTTGCTGTGTTGTGTACATGATGGGATATTGAAAGGGCTTGGTATGTGAGGAGAGAGTATCACTACTGAGAAATACATTAATTGTACACTCCCAAAGGTTTCTTGGGCGAATATATTGTGATATTCTTGCTAAAGCTGGCGCCTAGAGCCACCCAATAGTTGCTCCTTCCAATTGATTTCGCTATCAATACCAAAGCAATTACGAATCAACATTATCCTTCACGCAAATCAGAACAAGAACACGAGGCACTTGGACACGGAGGGTCATTTAAGGAAGATTTTGAACAAAATATCTTCGATTCATCCTGGAATGGGAGATTGGCCTTAGCGTGTATCTTTTCGCTTAGCTTACTGAGGTGACCTCATAAATACCACTCTACAATCTTTGATAGATGTCATGTATTGCTTTTAATGTTACCAGAAGAACAAATTGCATCAACACTAAATTGTGAAATGCTGTCCCGTTGTGGTATCCTTTGCGACTGAAATACCAAGAGGTGTGCTGCACGTTGGATGGCAAGGTTACATCGAATATGAAATCTGAATAGGAGCATAGGATGTATTAATACCAGTCACATGTTTTATGACAATCGAGTCAATAAATCTATGATCTTCAATAAATAGTGTTAAAATCGTTACATAATTGCGGGGAAACCCTCATATTCTCTACCAATCTACAGCCGACCTGAGCTCCACTTTCGGCACTGATACCGTCAAGTGTCAAACCCCCTGTTGATCAAGCACGTTGGCTGATGGTACCGGAATAGCCCGACAATCTGATTGTAGGTAACAAGGGGACACATTGACTTAATTGGCTTGCCGCGCCGGGCCGCATCGCCTACTGTGTATATCAAGGAACCCTGCGGCTGTATGGCATGGTTTTGTGGGTCATATCCACGTCTCGTTTCTGCAAGCGATTGAGCTAAAATGGTGGATGTAACCTCACTTGTTAGTTAAGTAAAAGGGGCGTTGCACATGTATAATCACGCTGTAGTCCTTTGATTCTTGTTCTTGTCTGAACGTTCCGTCCCTCTGTCCTCCCCAGCCCTGTGCCGTTATTCTTACTAGGATTGACGTGGTTGTTTCATGGCCATGCTGTACACTCCCATTGCTGCTGCATGGCTGCTGGCGCTGGTCGGCACACAGCCAACGGGTGTTTTAGCTCAGGATGCCGAGGCGTGGTACAAGAGTCATCCAGGCATGTCGCGTATCAGCCAGGTGAACCAAGACACGCACCAGATCGTCGATGAATTCGGCCGTACGCGGTTTTTCCACGGAACCAATGTCGTTATGAAGGAGCCACCATGGCATCGGCCGTTGGAGTGGGAGCCTGGTGTCTCGTCGTTTAGCGAGCAAGATGTCCAGAATCTGCACGACTTGGGTCTGAACATTGTGCGGCTAGGCCACAGTTGGGCAGGTGCAGAGCCTGTGCGTGGGCAGTATAACCAGACATTTTTGGATATTATGAAGAAGCAGACCAAGATGGCCGAGGACCATGGGCTTTATGTTTTGGTGGACGTGCATCAGGACTGCCTGGCGCGGCAATTCTGTGGCAACGGCGCACCTGACGTAAGTAGACGTAGGGGCAAATTGGCATACCTCATACTAACAAGGTTTCATAGTGGTTTGCGAAAAAGGATTGGGTATCAAGTGGCAAGATGTATCCGTTTCCTCTCAAGACGACGCCGTTCCCTGTCGATGAAAACGGCTTCCCATCGCCGGAGTCGCTCTGCAGCACTGTCGATTGGTCTCTGAGCTACACGTCCGTGGCGCTGGGCAATGCATTTGGGCGGCTATACAACAATTACGACGGGTTGGGCGATGCGTTCGCAGCGTACTGGAAAAAGCTAGCATCCGAGTATGTCAAGTCGACCAATGTGGTCGGGTATAACCTGCTGAACGAGCCATGGGTGGGCGATACGTGGGCCGATCCGACACTGCTGGTGCCTGGTGTTGCTGACCACAAGGTCCTAGAAGGGCTCTGGAACCGCGCGACCAAGCAGATTCGTACAGTCGATAATGACACGCTCATCTGGTTTGAGGGCGCCACCCTGGATATCTTGTCGGGTTTCGATAATGTCCCTCTCGGGGATGGATCTAAATCGGTGCATTCGTTCCACTACTACAGCCCGCCGCAACTGGGCTCGATTTCCACCACACTCAGTAACCGCCATAAGGACAACGAGCGCCTTAGGACCGCCGGCGTGCTGACCGAGCTCACGTTCTGGATGGGCGATGATAAGCAGATGCAGGGCCTAGCAGATGCCATGTCGGCAACAGATGCAAATATGGTTTCCTGGATCGGCTGGGCGTACGAGAATCTGTACAACGGCACATCTGGTCAGCCTTATCCTGAGCTAGCAAAACATTACAGCCGTGCATACCCTGCCGCTGTCGCTGGCACTCCCAAAAGCTTCAGCTTTTCTGAGAGCTCGGCAACCTTCAAGCTGCAGTTCACATCTGATCCCAATATCGGGGCGCCCACCGAAATCATCCTGCCCCCCTCCACATTTCCCAACGGCTATACCGTCCAGATCTCTCCCGACGGCAGCTTGCTGCAGTACACAGTTGACAAGCGGACTCTAGCCTTGTTCACATCCACCAGCATCAAGAACGCCACTGACATCTCTATTACAGTCACTCGTAAATAATCTCGTCCATAGGTTGCCTCCTAAATTACTAAGTACTTCTGGTAATTAATGCAGATCAACATCTAAATCTAGTCTGTATACCTGACTCTCGATTCGAAAGTCTGCTCTTGGTGGATCTGGTAATCCGCTGGACATATGGAATATACCGTAGATCGACCCCCAGAGCCCTACCTGTCCACTTTCATACGGCTGCGTTGGACTATCACTCGAAAGCCCCAAGTGGATGCAGTCTGGCTGTAATGCCCCACTTGATCAGCCATCACTAAGGAGAATCACAGCGATGTCCTTTCTGACACAGCTTAGGAGACCCACCCAGACGCTAAACCTCATAGAGTCTAATTCCGGGACTTTTTCCCGAAATATAACAAGTGTCTTGGCGTGGTGGGTTGTGGGGAGAGTCTGAGTCTTGTCCATCAGCCAAGTGTCTTCCATCTCCAGCCTTGCTCGCAATCTCTCCTTGCTAAGGCCTGGTCCAACTTCTTGCCTATTAATTATTAATGAAGTGGACTATCGGGTGCCCGGAAGTCAGCCATATACCACTACCCATTCCAGGGTCATGGTCGCAGTTCCATACAGCAAAGGCTGTCGCACCTGCATCCGGCGACGAGTCAAGGTAGAGGCGAACCTCCATAAGTGCTGCATGGCAGCCTACAAAACATGATTAAGCCACTAACCGAATGCAACCGGAAGTAGTGCGATGAGACACGACCAAATTGCCGACGTTGCGAGCTGCGAGGTATTCAATGTCCCGGTTATCGGAAACCTTTGACCTTCGTTGTTAGCACTCCCTCCGATTCCAGAAGGCCAGTAGGCCCTAACCCTACATATCGTTCGGCGACCTCGTCCGCACAATGCCAAAAGTCGAACACCTCTCAGTCGGTTACGGAGCGCGATGTATGGTCTCATAATAATGTCGATGAGTTGGTTGCGCCAAGTCTTATACAAAAGACTTTGTCCGCGCAGGGGGTTGAAACCCTGGGATTCTTCATAGACGCTACGGTCCCAGGACTCTACTACTTATATAGTGCCCGTTTGTCAGTCAATTGGATGAACTTCGCGCGTCGCCATGTCGAGTCGACGCTGGACCCCTTCGTCTGGAGTCTCCGGTGTCTGGGTACCCTTCACCTGGGCATGAAACACCAGGACCAAGATACAATTGCCAGTAGTAGGTCTATGTATAGTCGTGGGATCCATGGCTTGCGTAGTTTGTTACGACGACCCCGATTCGCCCGATCGGACATGACCCTCGCAATCGCCGTCATGCTTGGCATCTACGAGATGATGGATCCGATCACACCACAGTCCTGGCTCACCCATTCCAGTGGTATTGCCACCCTAATTCGCTTACGAGGACCAAATGCTCACCGTAGTGGGTTTGGTCGTACTTTACTGATTTCCTTCAAGTCATTCATAGTAGCCGACGCGCTCATTCGAGGTGAAGCGTGTTTCTTAGCGGAGCCAGCATGGCAATCGGCGCTCGCCGACACTCTCGTCAAGGAAAGTGAGAATAGAAAGGGCAGCCAGCTCGGTAATCTAGTCGAGCTCATCTTTATCGAGATAACTAAGTGTCCGGGTCTCTACGCTCGCGCCTGTGCAGTGATCAAAAACAATGAAACAGATCACTCCATGCGCGAGACACTCAGGCAGGAAACCATGCGGTCTAGGAGAAGGCTCCAGCACCTGAGAAACCAACTGGAGTCGGTATTTCCAGTCTCACTAGACAGTGAGGCGCTGAGAAACAAACGAGACCTTATTGCACTAATTCCAGTTCCTGTAGCCCAGAAAACCAGGCAGTTTGCTGGTCATGGGGCTCAGTCGGCTCTCGCACTTCTAGACCAGATTATCGCACTTACTCAGTCCGATCATCGCCAGCTATCCACAGATCCAACAATGCCTACATTACCGGTGTGGGATGTGCTGCCCGCCCCAGCGACTACGCCTCGTATGACAATGGGTAAGAAAGAGACTCTGGAGAATCAACTTCCGGCATGGCCGGATCAACTGGCGCTGTCCATGGGTATGCTTGCTGTAAAGGACGATTTGCATGTATGAATGTTGCCAAGACACTCGATCATGATGTCCCTTGATGAATGTCAAGGCTGTGTGACTTTGTCCTGGAAATGTAAGCCGCGCTCGACTTGTATTACATCTGATACCCTTTGTGGCTTCTCGATAGCCAGTGTAGAGAGCTTGTGCTCATTACGATATGAGCTACGATTGCAAACGGAAACGATAGTGAACAGAGATGAGGCCCCTAACGTAATCAACTTTTTCTGATATCGACACAGGAGGTTTGTCAAATCCTCAACCCACTCCCGGTGGGTCCCGAGTGCTGATTGTAGAGATAGGATCTAGCATAACTTCATATTATCCACTCAGAGTGAATATTATGAATGTTCAGGTTGCTTTTATCTATTCTCTCTACTATGTGGATAGAATCATGCTTCTCTTAATATCTTCGAAAGGTATATCTACTTTTTATTGGGATCCCAGAGACCGGCAGGTTACAAATATATATATACGTTGACGCGCGAGTTTACAAGAATTCATCGCTCTCACAACTACACGCGACGTCAGATCCATCTATATCCTCCCACACAAGTTCGACTTACTATATAGAAGGTCTGATTCACGCGAAATTACTCAGTACAGCGACACCATGGATCATTACCACCATGGTCACGTGATACTGTATGATAGAGCCCTCACAATTGCATGATTCCGTCCTGATCCGGACTGGATCGATGGATCGTTAAGTGGGTGAAATGGTGCTCCTTTGCATTACCAGGACGGCCTTTGGACGGACAGCCTTGTATTACGCTGTAATGGAAGGCCATCTGGAGACAGTGTGTCTGCTTATATATCGCGAGCCAGATTTCCTAGCTTTTGGCAGAAGACGGTTGGACTGTGCTGCATTATACAGGTCGGGAAGGGTGCAGAGGAGCTGAGGATATGCTAAAGGATGGTGAAGCAGATTCGTCTGCACAGATCGACTTCAAATACCAAATGTCTATCTTCAAAATGGTGAAGAAGTAAGCTTTTGGTCGACAGCACTCCCTCAACATATTCCTCGAAGAGATCTTTGGTTCCACTGAACGATACTACGGCACGTGCCACATCCAGGAATTCTTTCAACGAGTTTAAGCGTGGATGCGTGGTATTAGGTATTAGCTATGTATATATTGCTCTAGTTGGCTAACACGTTCATTATCTCAAATTGAGTTTTGCGTTTCTATTAGCTCGATATTATTATACATGTCGATAATCTAAGCCACGAGGAAAGACCTGGATGTATCACCTCCTATTGACTTATATAAATAGTACCCGAAGACTGTTCGGAACTTAACAGGCTCTCCCCCCGAGATGGCACGACCGGCTATGTTCTGTTGCAGAACGGCGGCCTGACAGAAGAATAGACATCTGGGAATGTCGATGGAAATGGAATCTTTCTCTGCATGTTAAATACATGAATATATGTTATAGAAACTTACTGGGTTCTTCTAAGGAGCTCACAGGTAAATCTGTAGATATCCGAAATTCTCATTCCGTTGCGTTGTGCCCTCCGACCGCACATCTAGAGACACAAGCCACTTTAACTCGTTGGAATACACATCAATAGGAGTAAGTCTGAATCTAAGTACTCTGATCATGTTAAATGCATATTGAAAATACCTATCTCTGAGGAAGGCTGGACAGACTCGGTGTTTGACCGGATCACGAAGCTACCCATTTCTGCAAGGATCACTCTGTGGGATTTTAGAAAAGCTTAGATTCGGCCAATTCCCCTACTCTTCCGCCTAATATTGAAAGGAAACCCTTAAATAACCGTCACGTTGATGCCGATTAGATCCTCCGTCCTCGCACTCGTACCAGCCCAGAAAGAGTAGACGCCCCGCTTCACGCGCAATTTACCATTGACATAGTACCCTAAATCCTTATACGGAATGACAAACCGAACCTCTATACCTTCCCCAGCGCGTAGGTCAACCTTCTCAAATCTAACCAAGCGCTTCACAGGAAATTCGATCCCTGTCGTCGTGTTCGGGCGATGGTATAGTTGCACGACTTCCTTGCCAGCGATACAACCACTATTGGTAATATTCACACGCACCTCAACACTGTTATTCCCGGCTCTCGCAATAGGTGTCGAGACCGTGAAATCTGTATAGCTCAAGCCAAACCCAAATGGCATCGATGGGGCCCGCGAAAGCAAAGGAAACTGGTACGTAGAATGGAATCCTAGGATGCTATCCGCTGTCCCGGTATCGTCGCTCGGAAGATAATCATAAAACACTGGAGTAGCAGATGTATCCTGGGGTAAGCTGATTGGCAACTTGCCGCTAGGGTTGACGTGGCCCATTATAATCTCGACCAACGCATCGCCAGTGAATTCGCCACCGAGAAAAGAGTGCAGGATAGCATTGCTCCGGAGGGTTGAATTATTGAGCACGTAAGGTTGTCCACCAGAGAGGACCAGGATCGTTGGAATAGAAGCGTCCAGTACAGCATCGAGGAGTTGCTGTTGAGCCCCTGGGAAGCTTAGTTCTGCGTGCGTGAAGAACTCCCCATCGGTCCGCTTGGTTACAAGGGGATCTGTCGTACCGACGGACAGTGAGCCAAGGACGACGATTGCAAGACCGGCCTCTTTAGCGGCTGAAACTGCGGTGGCGATGTTTGTGGAATTGGTGTCGATGAAGTCGACTCCTTGGACAAGGTTCACATTACTTGCACCAAGCTTGGCTCGGAGACTTTGATAAAGTGAGTTGCCGTACCGAGAGTCACTCGAGTTCACAGGCGCATAGGAGCCATAGTTACGGATATCAGCAAATGGGCCGAGCAGGGCCACTTTCGATGGTATCTTTGGTAGGATACCATCATTCTGAAGTAGGACAATGCTTTCCCTGGTGACATTGCGACTAATGTCGAGGTGGGCCGGTGTTCGTAGGGTCTCGTTCACTTTCGCTGGGTCAGGAAGAGGATTGTCAAAGAGGCCGGTTGCGAACTTCAGCTGAAGAATATTCAATACAGCGTCATTTATCAACTTTCCAACATGTCTATCCTCTGCAGCTGCAACAAGAGTAGGAAATACAGCCGGAGAGCCGGGGCTCAACTCCATCTGCAACCCAGCCTCAAGCGCTAATAATGCAGCTTCGGCATATGAGTCCGCCAGCCGAGACTCAGTATAGAGATGCGCAATAGACCCAGCATCTGACATAACAATACCCTCAAAGCCAAGCTTTTCACGGAGAACATCCCTCACGAGATACTTGTTCGCCGACATCGGAACCAAATCGACCGACGCGTAAGATACCATAACAGCGGCGGGATCCGCTTCTAGTGCTCGCATATAAGGCCGCAACTGGTCGTTGTAAAGGTGATTTATTCCTCCGTACATGCTGGCAGCATTAACTCCACCACGACTCTCGCCGTAAACGAAATGCTTAACGGTCGTGGCGACTTTGATATTTCCTGATTCGTCTTTGTCTTGCATAGTCTGGACATAGGCATGGCCGAATTCGCCTGTTAAATAACAGTCCTCGCCAAATCTTGGCCGGGTTAGCGTGCATATGAGGGACCGGGCAGTAACTTACAGCTCACCGATGCGGGAATATCGCGGCTCCCACGCTATATCTAGTGGCGGAGACAGAACCCATGATACACCGATTGCTAGTTGCTCTTCACGAAGTGCAGCAACGCCCTCCCTGAACAGCGGGATGTTGAATGTAGCCGCCATGGCAAGGTTACTTGGGAATATAGTGCCCCCAGACAAGTATAGACTGTTTATAGAATCCGTGACCGTGATAAATGGGATATGAAGCCGACTCTCATTAATTTCCCTCTGTCGTATGTCGTTCGTGAGTGAAAGAATCTCATCAGCCCAGTTGAGCGTAGCACCAAACCCTGTTCTGTTAGTTGCATTGTCACATTACCCACGAGGAAATCACTGACCAATGTTTCCATTTTGGTACTCCACTTGCCGGCATTCGTAGTTCTCTTCATCTATCTGCGGACCAAGACTTAGGAGCCGACGGATACCACCCATCTGGGCAACCTTCTCTTCCCAGGTCATCTGGTCTACCAATGCTTCAGCACGTTTCCTATGCAGCCCCTTCCCGAACGCTTCTGATGGCACAGAGACCGCGAGGGCTATGTGGCAAGATGCCATTGCCGGAAGAGTCAATTGCAGGTTCACCATAGGGAGTAGTGGCTGTTCAGCGCGACTTTAACAGGAATACTTGAACTGTAATACAAAACTCGAGTAGGACGATGTTGCCCCAACCTAATGAACCATATCCGTGCCATCCCCTCCGAACTTTATACATTATTCATTTTCACCTACGAGTGGGGTGTTAGCGGATTGAATCATTGTAGTGCAGCATCACGAAATGTGGGGGCCCCGACTGCCGATTCAACGGCTCGGAGGTTCGTCCGAGATGGACAATATGCCACGCCAGTGTCCTCTGTTACGCAGCCAAAGTAAGCCTACGCTCGCCAGTCGGGAGTCGGACCTTTCCATCGGCTATTGCCATGTAAGGTGGAGGACGTGGGTAAGTATTGACGTTAAAACCTACCTGTTAGGACGAAATGACGCATCTACAGGGTAGGATCCAACGAGGTGAGACTTGTAAGCGTTTACAGGAATATGCACCAGAAAATCTCCACCGCAAATACTAAAGGATATTATTCGAATGAAGCACGGCCTCAGTTTGTCAAATATAATCATCATAGAGACCCCAGCAGCCATTGTTACTTTGGATGAACAGGCTCATCTCCAATTTCCGCCATTTTCTTCTCCAACATCGTAATCATCTCCCTTACAACACCTTGATATTGTCGTTCATGGTACACATTAAAAAGTTCCAATGGATCCTTGTCACAGTCAAAGAGCTCCCACTCTCTATACTCTATCCCCCCTGGACGGGCTCCCTTGACACCTAATGGCTCGTTGTACCAATAGATCAACTTGTACCTCTGGTTACGTATCCCATAATGCGCATATGCATGGTGAATAATGTCGTTATGCATCCAGTATCGGTGATATGCCACCTGTTGCCAGGACTTTGGCGTACGGCCTTGCAATAGTGGACGGAAGGATGTGCCTTGCATGTATGAAGGCGCAGGCAGGTTGGCGTAGTCCAGCCAGGTGGCCGCAAAGTCGACGTTGCATATGATATCGTCACACACTGACGCAGCAACGATCTCTTTCGGGTATCTGATGAGTAATGGCATTTGAAATGACTCCTCATACATGAATCTCTTATCAAACCAGCCGTGTTCTCCCAGAAAGAAGCCTTGGTCCGAGGTATAGATAACAATTGTGTTGTCTGCTAGCTGGGGTTCCGAATCCAGGTAGTCTAACAGACGGCCGACATTATCATCGATAGATTGGATAGTGCGAAGATAGCGTTGCATGTAACGCTGAAACTTGAATTCAGCTAACTCGGCGTGGCTTCCGAAAGTAAAGATAGTACCATCGTCTTTGTCAATTAACCTCATGGAGTGAAGCTCTGCAACTGAACCTGGTACTGGAATCTTGCGCTCGCTGTTACCCTTTTCCTGTAGCACAGGTTCGCCAACTCTGCGGCCGCCGTCGGGCTGGACAAGTCCGAGATCTTGGTAGGTGAGGTCTTCAATGACGCGCATCTTGGCGATTTTGGCCGCTTTCGCGCGGTTCTTGTAGTCGTCGGAGAATGTATCAGGCAAACGAATGGGGTCTTTATAGAGGTGCTTGTGCTTGTCGTCGCATTCCCAAGACCGATGGGGCGCTTTGTGATGGCACATGAGGAAGAACGGACGATCGCGGTCTCGCGCCTTGATCCAATCCAGAGACTTGTCCGTGATAATGTCTGTGACGTATCCTGGTTCAATGTGCTCCCCGTCGGGCTCAATAAATTCGGGATCCCAGTAGAGGCCTTGGCCTGGCAGAACAGACCAGTAGTCAAAGCCCGTAGGTTGATTTTCAATCCCCTCTCCGAGGTGCCATTTCCCAACCATGGCGGTTTGATAGCCACCTGTGCGAAGATGCTTTGCAACATTGGGGATATGTTTATTTATCTGCACGCAGTTAGGATCGCTGTCGTCGATGCCTTGTTTTTTTGAGTGACTCACATGGTCGTCTAGTGTCATCACCCCGTTGACATGATTATATGTGCCACAAAGAATTGCCGCTCGGGAGGGCGTACAGATTGAGTTCGTCACATAGCAGTGGTTGAATTTCATTCCCTCCTTGGCAAGGCGATCGATGTTTGGTGTGTGATTGATCCCAGCGCCGTAGCAGCTGATCGACTTGGAGGCGTGGTCGTCTGCCATGATAAAGACAATGTTTGGCCGGCCATCTCGGGCCCCAGGTACTGATACTGCCATGCTTTCTTTTCGAAACACCAAGGTGAAAACCAGATGTGGGAAAACGCTTACCACCCTGGCCACCGATCGAGGAAGAACGAGCTGAACTATATGTCAACTCGGCTCGGCTTCAGATGCCCGATGACCCACTGCTTGCCGGCCGGAGATCGGCAGCTCGGCATTAATCGCCAGCCATTGGTGGCTACCTCGTTTCTAGTACATGAACTGTTCTTCAACCCCCCCAATAAAGGCAGATGGCTCTTCTGCGCCCTCGCCGGGCCACCCGAGGAAGTCCAAACCGTATTGTATTCCACAAAAGAGATTTGGTCCACTACCTATCTGTTCGTTCAAGGGATCTACCATAGCGCGGTAATCCCAATCTGATGGTGGCTCGTGGATCTGGTCACCGTCGGTAGAGGCAGTCCAATTGAAAAGGGGGCTTGGGGGTTCTGGGGCCGCATCACGGCTGTCGTCCACAAAGTCCGATTGCCGCAGGAGACTGTGGATGGCGAGGCGCTGGCGCATGTACGCATCGCGCGAGATACCAGGGGGTGGATAAGGGGTTGGATCCGCCGTGGCCACGGCTCGATGGCCCGATGATTGCAGCCATCTCTTGTGCTGCTGGATGTCTCGCTCAAGGATTTGACGCTATTTGGTTAGCCTGCCTCATAGATTCAGGTTCAGCCACTTACCATCGGTTTAAGATGAGCGGAGAACTCGAAGTACCGGGTGACTACATCGAGACATAGCTGAGCTTTGTTAATGGCCATCTGCATTGGCAGGCCCGCATTGTCCCTCCCAGTATATGTCCCAAACAAGATCAACCGAGCTGCGTGATAGGCACATACAGCCGCATCAAACTCAAGCATGTGCTGCTCATCCTTGTGATGAACAAAGTCAGAAAGCACCATCACGATCAGTTCTGCGTGACCCAAACACCTATTTTTCATGAGAACACGCTCCGACGATGTCATGCGCTCCACGGCGACGTGTGGAGTGGATTCGGGGTAGCCACTGAGAAAGATACGATACAGATCGCAATGACACTGATGCCAGGACATGTGCAGAGTCGCGTAACGGGGATGCCAATGAAGGTCTTCTGGGTTTGCGGGGGGGTATTGATTAGAGGGTGCGAGCCGACTTCGTAGACGATGGAGGTCCGCTTGGAACCTCTCCATAGATCTCAGTAGCTCGGAGAGGCTCACTTCCTTAGCGCAGGTTCTCCGATTCAGCCTGCTTCGGTGTCAGTATTGTGTGGAATGCTAAGTCACTTCTAGACGGACCTCATTATCCCTCTTCGAATAAAGGCTAGCTTGACGAAAGCCCCTCGGGGTCCCAGAACTTCTGGCTCAAGACCCTTGCTCGGCTGGAGGAAGCCGGTCAGCACTGGTCGCTCATCGTGGAAATCTTCGTCTTCACAGGGTAGCTGAAGGTGAATTGTCTCTGAGTCGAAGAGCTCGAATTCTTTCAGCCCCACGCAGAAACTGTCCTCCAGCAGGTAGAGCGACCAGAATGTCCTCCGGCGCACCTCCTGTGCGATGGGACTCAGGCCCGAGTGCTCGTAGTTGAGACGCAGAGATACCGCCCACCGTGCTGTAAGCCCAGCAAGAATGAAGGCTCGTGGAAATTGGCCTACTCCGGCCCTATATCGAATGGTGAGTAGGGACGCCTGGATTAGGAATATGGAGGGTCGTTCGAGCCGATTCAGGATAAGTTGCTCGGACTGTTGCGCCCAGGCACCATGTTCAGATTTATATTGGCCAAAGTATAAAGCAGTGATCGCACATATAGCTAGCTTCAACGACTCATCGAGGGTAGTTTCAGAACGGCGTTGAACGACAGTCTCTTTGTGGAGGAAGTTGAAAGATGGGAGAGGGTACAAGCGATCGAAATAGTCTCTCAGAAGCGAGCTGACTACCTCATCTGACGGCGATGAAGGAGCAGAAGGTCTTGGTATTGAAAATTCAGATTGACCGTGGGTGCAATCATCATTCGCAATTGGGATAGAAGTGCTGGTCGTGGGACTTGACAGCTTCCCAACGCGAGTTAATGCGGGTCTCGTTGGCCCACTAGAGGAAGGATAGGTACATTGACGATCTCGCCGATGACAATTTTGACACCGAGGCGTAGCCCCCGAACAACGGACCTTCATCGCCCGACACTCCAGGCAGGCCGTTGCACCGCGACGCTTCGGTGGCAGACGCGGCACATACTGACCGACGGCCCGAGAAGCGTCGCGCTGGAAAGAGCACTGGAACTCCAGGCGCTCACAGGTCTTGCAACCAAGTACGGATCGGTCACAGCGGACCTGGGAAGATTTAGTTCTCGCCATTCCAATCGCCATGTGGAGGGATGGGATCTATCTTACCTTGCGCACCCGACATTGGACACACGCTGCCTTCATGACCGACGGAAAGAAGTGCGAATGAATGAGCGTCTTATGAACTTAGTCCAAAACCCAACACTCAACTGACAGCACCGATAGCACGACTCGTCGCTGTCCCAAAACACACACCAATGCGTTTAAACCCTCGTCGACCGAACCGCTTGTTCGTCACGCTAGCCTTCGATTGCGTGAGGCGGCGACTCCGCATGTTGCTGGGCCAATCGTGTCATTTTCCGACCGACTGCCCGAGGCTCCATTTATGCATTATCGAATTCGATTACAATCGCGCTATCACGCGACAAGTCCCAGTCGATGGCGGGGTCTTATAACTGGATCGATGTCTCAATTATTGCCGTCGTTGTGAGGTGTTCGTGGAGTTGACTGTTCAGGTATAGAATATGAAGACGTTGAGAGCAACGAGGCGAAAGCTACAATTGGCGTCGGCGGATCAGCTGTTATCCTGAGGTTAATTAGTAAGGAAAATCTCTCCGGTTAGGCTATCTAATCATCATGTGAGTAGCAATTCTACATTTACATAGTAGGCTGCTTGACTGGCTTAGTCTGGTTAAATTGCTTAAACAGCTTAAATACCTACATAGTCTGGTCGCAAAGAAATATAGGGCTAAGGAAATATTTCCAGAAAATTACGAAGATATATATTTGAGTGATATTATATACGGGTTTCGCGCTAGACCCAGCCTGAACCTACCCTGAAGGCCTTACAATTTCACGTCCACCACCCTTTAGGGCGCCAATGGCTGGCGTTCAGATCCTTCCGTCGTGCATTCTTCATAATCATATGTCTTGTCGCCATCGTCCAATTCTAGAGAGGCAGCTACTCTCCTGATGAGAACAGCGATAACTGGTGACATTATACATGTCAAGTTAGAACTCCGATAGGCACTTAGATGACGAGGAATAAATTAGACAAGGCCAACTCACATAAGAAGAGACCAAATCCACAGGCCTGGAGTAGTGCTATATACCCAGAGGAGTCACTACCCAGCTCCTCGAAGGTCCGGATCATATCGTGCGAACCTCCGAGGATCATAAATGCCGCCACAAAGCCGAACTATAACTTGGTTAGATTGCCAGTAAAATGGTTCCTTGCAGACGGATATTATACCATTGGTGGCAGGTAGCGGAGGTGCTCGTGCTCCGAGCTTGTAGAATGCGCCGGCGATATACTCGGGATCACTAGAATCTCCAAAGCTCGTGCGGCCCCCATAGCTAGAAGGGTGTGCCCGAAAGATTCATGCACGCTCTTGGCCAACTTAGAGTCTTGATGATGTGCGGCCATCTGTTGGCCCCAGAGAACACAAATCAGAGCTAGCATGAGGTTCCTCCTGGGTGCGTTGTATCTATCCCTACTGAGCCAGATGCCAAGCTGCGAGGCAGCAAGCATCACCAGCAGGTAGAAAAGATGTGGAGGGAAACCAAGAGGAGCCTCTAGATCCCTTCCCATTATATCTGTGCCGATAACAACGGGGATTAATACAACGCTCATCCCAGTCGTGTAGAGGCAGTCATAATATTCGGGCGAGCGACAGTATCCGTGTCGCCCGATGCCCGCGGATGATGTTAGCCAGAATGTGGCAAGACCGATAATGAGCAAGGCAGGGCAGGAGTGTGCAATCATGATCAGGTTGTGGTGCAAAATCCCGAGATTATCCAATGTTCCGCATGTTATCTGGAACCAACCGAGGACGAGGAGCGAGACGCTAGCACCATGATACGCACTCTTGACGTATTGTGTGCTCAGGGTATTGCTAAGGGCGGCATATCTATATAAGTACCAGTATGTGAATGTATAAATGCAAATTAGGAGGGTTAGAGTCAGGTTCAGAGTGAGGTAACCAAGAGACCGGTTTCCGCCACCTATCCAGAGGCCGATGAGGGAGCAGCTTGTTACTACAGTCTGTGCGAGCTTCGCCGATCGAGATTCCGTGATCTATATGGCGTCCAACGGTCAATATCTGGATTCAGAAGGCGCTGTTTATCGATTGTCCGTAAATATGGAACTACTTACATGGAGAACCAGGGCATAGGGCAATAGGAACCCCAATGATACGACCTGTAAAAGCACAGAGAGTCCTTGCATAACGCCCTGTGTAATAAATTATTTTTCACCTTCCTGGTTGTCGGGACAGATTTATCCTACCATGGTGGCCAAAAATAGGAGTTTGAATTGTTGTAGGATAATTTATGGGGTGGTGGAAGTGCGTGATATACCGGGACAGTGGTCTAGTCATATATAGTACGATATAAAAAGATAAACAATCCAAAAGATATACAAGCTACTTAGGGTCAGGATAGGATCGTGTTTCCGCGACTACATAAGAAGGTGGGAAATTGGTTTCGACTTTGGTACAGAAATCTGATATCAAATCTTCAACTGGAGTTCAGCTGAAGTATCGAACCTGACGGATCACATCACTAGCGCGTGGCGACTGAAGTTTTGACATCCTCAGGCCTTGAGATTAAGCTTGCCGGCCTTACAACTGGTGTATTTCCTTTTTTTTTTTTACTCGAAATGTCCAGGATTTGATCGACATCTTCCGCCCCTAAAATGCTCAGTCAAACGATTTCTCCAGTGCGCTATCGCCATGGGCATTGGTTTATTCGTCATTCGACGCCTATGTCTAAGGAAGAAAATTTGATAATAGAGCATTCCTCCAACCAGAATCCGCACATCGAATAGTTTGAATGGGTATTCTATCGCCTGTGGAGTTTTAGCCTTTGTCAGATTGGATACAGGACTCGATCGTCGAACATTGCTTTGCATATTATCCTCTTGCTCCACTTGGCAAAACTGCACACAAGTAGATTCTGGGTTTATCCGACAGCCCGTCTGCTCATTTCAAATGTAGTCTGGTTGTTCCTCTCATTGGATTCGCAGGTCTATCTTCTCAACGCGCTCCTGCCTGAATACCTATAGCGTACGACAATGCTGGCTATTGCGGTTTGGCACTTCCCCATCATCTCCGCCTCTATCTGGCTAGGTTGGTCTGTGGCCAGTGAATATTCTATTAACACAGGACTAATTTATACAGTAATGCTGCTCGGGATGTCTGCAAGCTGGATAATCATAGGAAGGCCGAGATACACTACAATGGTGGATGGACAAATTTACCCGTATTAAACCCCGGCTTTGGTCATCTTCCTGGTTATTCGACTTCGTTCAACTCCGTAACACTTTCATAGGTTTATCTCAAACATAGGAGCGGATGTTCAACCTTTTTTTGTTGTCGGCAGTCTTATTTCCATGCTCTTTCTCAACCTCTCCGTAATAGAGAAAGAATGGCCGCTTAGAGACGCGAGAAAGCTGGCCTGGTCAAAGGTTCCTATTCACACCGTCTGCGCATACTCTTCGATTCTCTTGTCCATTGCAGGAAGTATAGGGCTGATGCTGCTATCGTGCTTCGATTACATCCATTACACGAGCGTGCATTATTCTTCACTGGCCTTATTTATGTACGTTCATTAGTTATCTAGAGAACCATCGATAAATGCTGACATATTCTTTAAAGAGCCGCGCATTCTATCTGCGCAACCCTCCTCGTTGTTCAATCTACCCTTTCTTGCATTGCTACCAGGTGGCAACATCGCCTGCTATTCACCATCTTCATCATTAGGGCCTCTCTTGCTATTATCGAAGCTACGCTTGGCATTGTGTTTGGCTTCAGCATCCACTATCCCGGCCTGGATGGGGACTTTTCTGCGATTCTTGAGTGGGGGAAGTAGTAAAACTCCGTAACCTCTATTTACGGCATATTCACTAACGGTTGCAATAGTTATCGCGTTTTTCTTCACGGGACATATTCTCTGCTTTAGTCTAGATTTGCTGCCATCGACTCAAGAACAGCATGACGGGTACGACACGGAAATCGGCAAGGCTTGGGAGGACGCGACACTCCTATAATTGGACGAAGTCACTGGTATGGGGTTGCCAATATTGCGACCGGTGATGCTTTAGGCGATGTGGCTTTGTTGGCATTAATAGTGATAATAAGTGGGTTCATTTGCCTCTACTTCTACGGCCAAGGTTCCTGCAATCTATATCCAGAACACACGTGCTTATCCGAAGTACCTACACCTGTAGCTTTCTCACATCTGGTTTAATTTAACCTACTCGTGGTGAAACTGTGTCTGTAATGCAAACCAGAGCGTGCATGAGTTACAGGTATTTTCTAGAAGGACATGCCAATGCAGAGAACAAAACGAAATTTACCTTATTTGGACTAAATAAAGAGCGTCAGGAATAAAATGATGAAGGAAGCCTTAGCGTAGCCCCTTGCAGCCAGAAGTTTAGATCTGGGATAGTTAGCTAAGAAGATATGGCCTGTCATTTCTCCTTGCAATAGGACCTTCTTTTGCCTTTCCCATGAAAGTAAAGCGAAGAAACGCAGTGTTGGGCGTGGGGGAGACCTGTACGGAAAGCCTAGGATGATTGTCGCAGATTCCTGCAGGAATAGATTTAGTAATTGATCTGGAGGGCGGGTCCTCAGTCGTCACTGTCGTGCGTATCATTGCTAGATTCTCCCTAGCTTCCTTTAAAACAGAGCAACATTAGTAGAGTGACCCACAGCAACCCGTTCGTAAGGTTTTACTACTGGAAGACACATTACGTTTCTGCAGTGCAGGTGGTGCTTCATCCCTTGCTTTCTCGCGACGCTATTGATTTAACTACGTGACTAGAACAAAGGAGAATAAGTTTAACAGCTAGTTCAATTTCTCCTGTGGAGTAGTCACCTAACTGCGTCCGCTTGCGGAGGCACTGAAGGTTTTTATCCATGTCGATTGCAAGTATTTGGATTGGATACATGGCTGCGTTAGGTAGCTATTTTCAGTGACTAAATTGCCTCTAGGCTATCACTTGGCTCGGGTCAGGTCGATCGTGATTCTGATCGTCTGAACTTTGTGTGCGAGCCAACCTGTTATTGAGTGCTAAGACCCCGCAAGACACCATCTTAGGGATCCATGACCAGATACTGCTGAAAATGAGATGGGCGGCCCTCTGGGCTCGGCTAGATTACCACGGCTACGTGAGAAATATTATAGGATACACCGGTGAGCACAATGTGGGTATAAAAAATAATAATGAGCATTTTCCAAGTATGGAACACAGTATAATAATGACGTTATAACCTATACCACAGCTAAAGAGATCCTTATATTATCAAAGAAGGTAAATCGATATTCAGTTGCCGTTCTATTGCGCCGATGGCTGTCTCCCCCAGGAAGGCAAGCGAATCAAAATCCGTATTTGCAAAGTAATGGGTGGAATTCTGGCAACCCTCCGGCATCGTCAAGCCATCAAACCTTTCCTTGGACCAGGCGAGGGCCTGCAAGATTCCAACCAGCGCCAAAGATCGATGTGATTCCTGCGTTTGCATGCGATAGTGGATCCTAGCATCCTCCTTACAATACCAGGACACAAGGTTATCCGTATCCACCGTGGGACTGGCCTCGTCATGTGTACTTTCATAGATGAACATTGGCATGGTGGGGACGTCTTGGCCAAGACTGTTGTTGCTGAAAATCTCCCGGACATCGGGGCTGTTGAGGAATTCCATGCTATGGAAATAGGAAGCGATCTTTTCGTAACCGAGTGTGCTGCGTAGCTGCTCACTACACATCGGCTGAAATTCCTCGAACTGCTTCTTTCTTGTGATATTGTGACTGAGGCTGCCTTGCATTAGACCGGAAAGTGTGGGATACTCGCTCGCGAGGCCCCAGATGGCTGCGAGGAGTGTCCAGTCCGAGGGCATCAGGTAGTTAACAACGCTCTGGAGGTTCGGTAATAACCCTCCTACAGCAGTGCCAATGATGTTCAGCTCCGGTGCATACGCTGATTTGATCTCTGCCGCTAGAGTTGTAGGAGAACTTCCTCCCGAGTATCCCATCATGACCACTGCGGCGTCGCGGCCAACGCCTGTAAGATCACTAGAAAGCAAGGTCGCCCGAATACCATCTAACACGGCATGAGCCCCTCGACGATTAGCCATGAAAGAAGCATCAAGTCCCTCATGGTCGTTTAGAGTGACAATCCATCCTTGGTTGAGAGCTGCTGCTATCGAAATACGGTGTTGTATAGTAACAATGCTATCATACGGCCCCATCTCAACCCCATCGGCGACAAAATAATACGATGGGGAGCAATCCAGGCCGGCGGAGTTCATAAAGGGTTGGAAAGCGACTATCTTGGTGAGATCAGGATTCGGGGGAATGAGAACGGTCGTCACGGCGGCGACTGGCCTGCCATAGCTATCCGTGGTCCGGTAGAGGATCTGGTATCCCTTGTCAACCCACTCGGTAAGTGGTTGTTTATAGCTGTAGGGGGATTCACGTGAACGGAGGATGGTGCCAGGTGCTGCAGCTCCGAGGCTTAATGGTTTTCTATAAAAGGGATCCTGACTCGGGTGAATGAGAGAGCCGATCACATTGCTGATGGCTAGGAGACAGGAGAGGAAAAGGAAGAGACGGTTCATTTCTGATACTGAAGGTACAACCTTTCAGCTTGGAGTAGGCGCCTTGGTACACGCTGGCAGACGTACCTGCTTCCGTATCCCCTAATTAATACTTGATAATCTTGTACAGTTTACGAGAAAATCAGTAGCCTAGATGTGATCATAAATGCTTCTGTCATATTTCCCTTTTGTGGGCTGTCACACGGATAAGATCTTCAGGTCTGGATCCACCGCCGATCGGTCTGCAAGCTCTCTTTTTAACATTCATTAAAAAGCGAATACCCCTGGACTATCCAAAATTAGACAAGTGACAAGTCAGACGAATTTACCATGTTTACCTGATATTGTAATGGTAAGCATCACCCCTGAAAGCACGTACACCAAATTTCAAGCGCGGATACCCATCCGGGCCAGTGGCTATCAACAACCACTGGGGCCTCTTGAGCGCGATGCACAGTTATCGCGAGGTCCATCCCGAAACAATCGCAGGAACATGGTTGTCCACATCCAGACCTCAACATCGATTTTCGCGAAAGATCTCACAGAGTCGATTTAGATTCTTGGGGCCTAACCGCGAAGAGGAGGCTGAATCAATAAGCTTCTTATAAACTTATTACCCCATTCTTACGTTTCTGAGAAAGGCAGAATGTACCACATTTTATCGAAACCTCGGATCGAGGTTGAGCTGCGATATGGTAAAATTATATTCAACCGACCGCTCCTGGTTAGTTGAGCGAGATTGGTCGTGCACGAAGAATGTCGCACCGGTTGCTCTTTCAAGGACTCCGCTCTTTCGAAAACGCCCTTCCAGTATGATCGATTTCAAAGGCTGTTTTAATAAGGCTCTCATTTGAAGCATATTGATCGACTTCGTCTGACCGGAACAGGAGATGCGCTCCAGAAGCCCTTCCATTGTAGGATCTGTGACTACTCTTACTCTCGTCGCCGCAGGTCAGATGACCCTCACATTGGTGAACATGCCCTAATTCCAATTCGGAGATCCATTGAACCGACATCGCGACATGTCAAACTTACCTATACCGACAAATCGATGCACAGGGCAACCTGAGGATCTCAGCCCACCCTTCCTAAAGTGGCTCAGGCCAAGGTCCGCCCTCTTAACCTACTCGATCTTACATGCCTCCAATTAATCCAAGCTTGTACAGAAGTTTTAGATCAGGTTAACGCCGCCAGCGTAGATAGTAGAGGCCCCGAGTCAGGAATCCTACTTCGTGGTAAGACTCGCTCGAACGGAAAGTGCTCAACGGACCAACCACATCACTTTCTGCTTCCCTGATCTTTTACGCCAACGCTTTGAATCTACCGTCTCCCATGTTGGTCACGGAGATCTGCATCCATTCTCCATGTCTATAAATAGAATAGAGGGCCCCGGCCACGTGGCTATTTAATCCTAAAGGTTTAATACTGTCAAACATCTCCACTATCTCAAGACTGTAGGATCCTACTGTCCACACAAAGTTAGAATTCTATTCACTCTATTTCCTTTTAGCTGGACAGCCAACGCCAGTCATGCGGCCTATATCCTAATATATACGTTTCCAGAATATGGCTTTACATTACTGGGTGCTCAAGGTAGTCTGACATAATCTGTAGATTAGCCGAAGCACCGGAAGATGCTATACATCGGTTGCCACGAAAGTACATGAAGCGTATTACTTCGCCTAAGGCAAAGAGCAGTTTATGTAAGAATTTAAAGGAAGGCGTCAAGCCAACCTAATACACATTTTTATGCTCTAGTGTATTAGCTATGAATGAAATTCATGAATGGTTCAATGGTCTGCTTAGTACGACTGTCCCCAAATGGCGCCGATACCTTTCATTGGTAAACCGCTATGGAATGGAAGGTCTAAGATCTTTGCGGTGTAATAAATTGTATCTAATCACCAGATCATAGTATGGCTAGAGGAGGTGGAACGGAACCTAAGCCGATGTTGTACAACTAAGTTGTCTATTCAGTCGCTCGCAACATCACCAGTCAGAATAAGATCTCTGGGGACGGCCAGACCAGTACTCCGGTCGGCGCCTGCAATAGGGGAATGCGCCTTAAAGATCTCCTTGCCAGGGAAGAACACGTTGGTGGTGAGGAAGTAGTCCAATGCATCCATGCTGAGATCGATGTTCGGCTTCGGGGCACGGATGTTATCATAGAAACTTGGGTAGTTCAATCCGCCCATCCAGCTGAGCCAGAAGGTAGGTTTATCGGCCGTCTGAATTGTTTTGTATTCATTGTCTCCTTTGAAGTCCAATTGGAGCAGATTAGGATGCGCAGCCGTGCCGCCAGACCAACTGCCAACAGCGTTCCAGGTGAAAGTCAAGGTAACATTTCCACTAGCAAGGGTTGGATTGGCGCCAGCCACGCCAGCGTCCTTATAGTAGCTCCAATGACTGGTCTCCGAATTACTTGTGAAGCTGACGGTCACGGAGTCTGAGCTCGCTGTCACCACATCCTGGCTCACTGTTATATCCGTCGGCGGCGTGTCGACAGGCAGGTCAACACCCTCACATTTGCTGTACTCCCAGATGGCAGGCCAATTTTGGACTTTCACTTTGTTGTCCAGTGTCTCGACGTAGATGTTTTCGGCCTGCATGTCGCCGGTGAATGATAGCTCTGTTGGCGCGTTAGCACCTGTGTAGACATTCCCTTCTCCCGTGGTCAGATTATGGCGTCTTGTGCCATTTCAACTCACCTTTTGCGTTATCCTTCTGCTTCACATGCTTGAAACTACGTGACAGGTTTGGCTAAATGCAGGGTAAAGAATCTTTGTCAGCACTCCGTACTGGGAAACGTACAACAAGTCTTGGTTGGTACATACTATGAAGAAACAATTAGCCATTGTGTAGCTGCTTATGATCACACTGGCCGAGCTGCCCTTAGGAATTGGGCATTGAACGTCGCCACCTGGTCGGAAATAGAGCGGGCTCTGCCCACTGGGCTTTTGGCCACCCCCCTCTCCACCTTTCACGCTGATCCAAGTCGTAAGAACACCAGGAATACGTTTGTCATTGTCCGGGGGGGTGATGCTAAAGTTGAAGGCCACGGGCTCCAGCACCTGGTTCGCGGAGCTGGGCGTATACTTGGACACCCCCGTCAGATAGTAGTAGATCTGCTTGGCATCGGCGAAGTGATCGGTGATGCCCCTTTCAATAGGCGCGGACAAGGTTTTCATAGTCGTATCGGTGGATATAACCTTCGCTTCGACATTGCGAAAGACAAGGCAGAGCCCATTACCACGACCGTTCTTGGGGTCCAGTTGAATGGTGTAGTCCTTGGGGGTTCCCTCGATGATGCCGTTCTTGGCGTCTGGCACAAAGGTAGTCCTGCCATTGCTCTCAATGCGCTGACCGGCACAGTTAAACAGTGACACTATCAATTGCAACTGAGTACCTGCGGGTATGTCTTCTTTGGGCTTCCCGACAGTGGGGAACTCGTACGTGCCCGTGAGCTCGCAGACTAGGGCCACCTGCGTAGTGCCCGCCAAAAATTGAAGGCGAGGATTCTTGAGCTGCAGGTCAAACGTCCCTTCCGCCACTATAATCCAGAAGTCCACTTCTTTGGTGAATGGCTCTATCTGGAGGATATCCTCGAGCTTGGTTGAGTCGGCTTGAAGCAGGTCGTTGATCTTGTCCTCGTCGTAGGAGACCACGACATCCCATTTGTTGGTTGTCTGGTTACCCTTCATGAGGTCGACGAGATCCGTCAGTGCAAGGCGTTCCATGGCCACGGGGCGAAGAGTAAAGATAGGCTGTCTTTAAAATACTTGGAAGGGAAATGAGAAAACCGATTGTTTGAGAGCAATGGGAAACTGGTGTAGCGACTGAGAGGACCATAACGTCCAGCAGCAGAACTTGGGTCAATTTATCCTCGATCAAGTCATCAATTTACGGGTAGGTACGTCTGATTTCGGTCGCTTTCACCTTCTCCCTAGCTGAAAGACCTCCTCAGCTGAGAGATCTTAGTGAGCGAGGCGATGTGTGGTGGTGGTGATATGAGGTGCATTAGTCCCCCCCACCACCTCTGCTCCTAACGGCGAGCTATCGGGGGTTTCCATATCCGCCCCCTGTCTTTTGTTTCACTTCAGCACTATATAATGTGGCAACCGTATGCACCCCTCCCCAACAGGAATCGGTAAACACACGGAGTTATTTCCACGTCGAGCAACATGTAGATTAAAGCGCAGGGGGGAACATGCAATTGACCAATGATCGCAGGTCTGGCAATATAATATCTAAGTCATGTATCCAGCAGCTGAAAGCTGTCATGAATCAGCTCATATATTGTTTTTCCATCAGTGACGCGTCGTCTTTCCTCGATCGTGATGCACAGACCATACCATTGGCTGGTTAACAAGAACAGACGCTCTCGACTAGCCCACACTACATGCCTAATGACGGTTATACCGAATGCAATGTAACCTCGTCCATATGCGAGTATGTGCAGATGCCGTCGTCCAAGTCGTGGATAGACTTTTGTCCTCTATGATAGAGGCTGTGAAGTTCCGAGCTAGTAGTCATGAGGATATATAAATTACCACGTCACCAAGCCATGGAGGGACGACATCTCTTCTTTTCTTTGGTGAGCCAGCAAACATTATCCATAGTATTCAGACATGAATCGCGGGGCAGCGACAGATGATTTCGCCACCGCAGTGGTGGGCGACATGACGTTGGTCCTATCGACATCCGAGACTCCTTATGAGATCGGGAAGAACTTCCACTTCACGACCGGAGCGTGTCTCATCTATGCGGAGCACATCACAATCTCCGATTCTCTCACGTTTCCCGGGAAAGACCTCGGAATCTTCTGCTATTCTCTTGAGGTGACTAAGAGTCTGGATATCGATGTCTCTGGCAAGTCCGGCAGTGCCGGGTTGCCAGTAACTGGAGTGACCGAAGAGGGCGAGGCAGGGGGGGATGGTGCAGATGCAGGCAATGTGTGGGTCTTTGTCCAGGAATTCAATGAGAAGATTACACAAGAGCTTAGGGTCAAAGCGTTTGGCGGCGATGGTGGCCGTGGAGGCAATTCCACCGGCCCAGGAAAGAAAGGTGGGGATGGAGGCAATGGGGGAAACGGAGGTACGCGTGCTTGCTGGGAACTACTAGTTACCCCCCCCCCTAACCCTTGTCGCACAGAAGTCCTACTGATTGAAAACAGGAAGTATCGAGTTCCTGTATGGAACCAAGGCTATGAAGTCTCTTAATGCTGCCGGTCGTCTATATTCTCAGCCTTGGCCCGAGGCCGCATTGAATTTATCCCAGGATGTGACGGGTACAGGGCTCCCCGACCTAGTTCAGGCCACTAACAAGCCGGTCATAGAACTCTACCGTCAGGTGAGCGAACTAATGAGCCGACTTCTTGGTGTACTGGGAGGCTTCGAGGATAGCAACAAAGACGTACCACTTGTACAAGAACTACTGGTGACAAACTTGAAATCAGTCAATGCCCCAAAGACTGTTTCGGCTTCAAGTGTCCAAGAGCTCGAGCAGGCTCTGCAGAAGCTCAACGACAATGATGTGGATGGAGCAATCAAGTTGATGCAAGTGAGCCTTGTGGCGCTTCAACCTGCCAGTGGATCAACGTTGACCACAATTGTCCTGGGCGTGGTGATAAGGCTCCAGTCTACTGTAACAAGCATTAAAGATAGTGTCGCGACCATGATTAACAACACAAACGCTGGTGTGTATGAACCCGCTCCCCCATTCCTATCATTCTTGAGACGTTGGCTAACATCCTCCATGGATAGGGGTGGGGGCAATTGGGGGCATCAATAGCAATTACCCTTCGGCTCCATCTGGAACCACAGGGAAGGATGGACAGACTGACGGTGCTCGTACAGCCGACAATTTGCCCCTTGACGGATCCGCAAAGGATGCTGCCTCCAGTCACGCCTATGCCTTCCCAGACCAGTGCCAGATGCTCCTGAACAAGGCAGATAAGTCGTTCTTCGCAAATACCGCTGCAGAGCGAGACAGGGCATCAGGCCTGTACCAGCGGATCATTGCACGTTTAGCATTCTTGACACAGCTCGAGCAACAGGATAAGAGCTCTAGTTTAGGCGCTGCATATGAGGCTTTGGAAAAGACATGGAAAGTTACAATGTCACCTCTGATTGAACTGCGCTCGATCCGTACCCAGGCAGAGAACAGATTCAACAGGTTGATACTTGGCCAGGATATGTTTGGACATGGTCCTGACTGGGCCCCACGCCTGTCCTTTGATTATTACAAGGAGGAAGTGGAACGGGAACTGGCGGATCTGAAGGACGTAGAAGGAGTGACGGATAAATACTTGACTGCCCTCGAAGAAGACCGTGCGACGGAGAAACTTGTCGCGGAGGGAATCAACTCCATGCTCCCTAGTTACAATGCCGCGGAGAGTAAGATTCAGCTATTGACGAGCAGCAATGGGCCCCTTGCAACGAATGCCTTTAAAATTGCTGCCTTCACACCGATAATCGAAGACATGCGCGCAGACCTCCAACAACGGTTATCGAACGTGCCGGTCCACTCCACCTCCGATAAAAGAATGGTCCTCGACGCTCTGGCTACACTGACCTCCATCAACCCTAGTTTTTCTTCCCTGGTAGATCTCTCCACGTTCGGATACGATGCATATAAGTCGACAACGGTAGCAACGGATGTTCAAGGAAACAAATTCAACAAAGCCTATGTGATCGACCAGCTGGCAATATGCGGCGATACTTTACTATCGCTGTCGACCTCGTATGAGACAAGGAAGGATAAGACCATTGCGGTCGACGACCCTAGTTGCATCAAAATATTAACCTCGGTCGATAACATCAGGAGCATTCTCAATCAGTTCAAAGGCTCCATCGAGGAGCACTATCGCGAGGAATTGAGTGATGCCCTCGACGATTATGTCGATACCATATTGACGCGAAACGACGCAATTCTGGAGTACAATGCCGCCATTCAGCTTTTGTTCGAGGCCGAGAGCGACCGACAGTATTATCTAGCACAGGCAGAAAAACTCGGACAAGAAGGCATCAAGGTGAACCCTGATCTCCCCGCCATTGTCTTCTGGCTCCGGAAGACCCAGGATAGTTTCCGGTTGTCGCTCATGCAGCATCTTAACTACGAAGCTGCCGCAATCAGGTTCTGGGGTCTGCAGGATGACATTCCTCTGTTGGAGCCAAGGAGCCTTCCAAGTTACACGTATCTCCAGTCGTCACAGACCCAACTGCGCTCAGCGTTCGAAAGGAGTCTTGAGCGATATGCCAGTAGCGTGCGGACGAAATGGCCGACTGGAAATGACGTCGGACTCTTGTATCAGCTACCTGAAGACGTAGTGGAGCAGCTGAAAATTCGCAAGCCCTCTGCATCGAAGCCAGGACAAGATATTCATACGGCTGTTGTCTCTCTTCCCGAACATGCCATCCCGTTCACAGGTCGTGCTGACATTCGCCTCAATCAAGTACGACTCTGGCTTTTCCCAGTCACCATCGACGCGAGCGATGGCTTGGGCCGAAAGTTCCTCTCCATCCAATTGATCCATACAGGAAACGAGGTGATCCTGGATGATGACGACACTTCGTACAATTTCACTCACGATGCGGTGTATCTTGATTTTGAATACAACGTTGCCAATATTAAAGAGTTACCAGACATCCAAGGTGCAGAGGTCCGCGGAGAACAACAGATTCAAGGAGACCATACCATGGGGACATCCACGGGAAAGAGTGCTGTTGCTGCTTTAGGGCCGTTTACTAAATGGCAGGTTATTATTAAAACCAGTAATGTCATTAACAAAGGGCTCAATCTGGACAAGTTGAAGGAGGCGCACATGGAGTTTTGGGGAACCAACCGTCCCTCGAGGGTTCGTCGGAATGGGCATTATAGTGTTTGACCAGTTGCTATATATAGCTGTATCTAGAGTGGTAGCCTTCTCGGTCGTTATACCGTGCAACCTTCGATCGTTGACTGCCGATGCAGTTGCAATGGTGTGCTCGCTGACCTGAAGAGAATACGAGTCAAATACGGTGTCTCTATAGGTATCCAGGTAGTGATTGATCTTCCGTATCTTCCATAAGTCAGGTGGACTATGTCACGTGCTTTTCCCTGGTCAGTGACTCAGCTGCGATACGTAGCAGCCAATCGGCTCCACTCGATGGGATGGGTTGAATCGGTTGATCACCCGCGCCTGTGAAGCACACGCGCCATCGCCCGAACGGGTCAGCCGATCCCCCGTTCCTATTGGTGCCGGTATGTTTTCCTCCACGCGGCAGCGAACTCCACTGTCTCCTCTGACTCCGATCTACAACACTTCAACCAACATGCCTCCCCAACGCCGCGCTGGCTCCACTGGCCAGAAGAATAAGTCTGCCGGAGACGCCAAGAGGCAGAAACCGAATGCGAATGCGAAGTCGGCCCTCGCGTCCCTGGAACGAAAGAGGCATGCCAATCTCGTGGAAGACGAAAGGCCAGAACTACGGAGAAAAGACCCCAAACGACGAAAAGGTAAACGGTTCTCGTTCTCCCCCACCCGCCCTTGCGTCTTCAATTTGCTGATATCGGCGCACTTGCCATCTAGAGCAACCCGTACTGCAGATTCGTGTGCCGACTCAATTACTAGATGTATACGTGTTCGGAACCAATTGCTATGGTGAACTGGGTCTTGGCGACCTGACGAAGAAGTCAGAAATAGTCCGGCCGGTCCTCAACCAAAAGTTGGCCGCCGACAGTGTGGGGGTGGTTCATC